TTCAGGTTTTCGGCAGCCTGTTCATCTGTCATAACCATTTGTTTGATTCATCGAAAGCCATCACTTCCTTTATAGATTTGCTGTTCCTAATATATTTTAAGGTTTCCTGATGTTTGTGTTAATGCCTTTGTAAAGTGATTCACCATATCCCATTTAATTATGGAAAAAAAATGAGTCCTTAATTAGTATGTACTCCGGACAACACAAGGAAACAATTCACATATATAAACACATGTTCAAAAACATGGAGAACAAGAACATGACTAGGAACAGGTAGCATGGATTTACCACAGGCAAATTCCACCTAAGAAACAAGATAGCTTTGTATGCTGAAATGATTGGCACTGTGGGCAAGGAGAATACGGTAGGATATGTTGACTTTAGCAAGACCTTTGTCTTCTATAGCCAAGTTGGTGAGATATTGGCTGGATAAGTGAATGATAGACAGAAAATTGTTTGGACTGGCAGGCTTAAAGGGTTGTGATCAGTTATCCAAACAGAATAAAAAGGTAGTTTTCTCTGCAGTGAAGCTAATGACCCCCTACTGATTTACATCTCAAGTGGGAAACCTTCCAATACCTAAAGAGGGCCTACAAAATATCTGGAGAGGGACTTTTTACAAGGGCACACAGTGACAGGACAAGGTGGAATGGCTTTAAGCTGACAGAGGGTATATTAGATCAGATATTAGGAAAAGTTCTTTACTGTGAGGGCAGTAAGGCACTGGTTTGAAAGGGCTTTGAGCAACCTGGTCTAGTAGAAGGTGTCTCTGCCCGTGGGAGGAGGGTTGGAACCAGATGACCTTTAAGGTCCCTTCCAACCCAAACCATTCTGTGATTCTTTGATATCTTCTAAGGACAGTATCCTTGCCTTTGGTGAGGTTCCTAAAAGGGCTTCTTTGCTCTACAAGATTTTCTGGTTTATTTACTGAAGCTGTAAGAACCCAGTGACTGTAAGGTTTCTATCTCTTTATTAAATTTGGTAGAAATCAGTCACTAGATTGAAAAAATAATTGGGAAGACAAGTATTAAGGCATAAGGAACATGTATTCATATGTCTTCGCAAATGTAATTCACACACATGTATATGCCAGTTAATGAGATTCATTTCCTTAAGCAAGCAAAATAAAAATACCTTCACAGAAACACACACACAAAAAGTCTAATGAATAACACCCATCCCCAATAACCCAAAAGGTTATTTTCAACAAAACAATAATTTAGGTTCAATTATTAATATTTCATATGAGCAAACTGCCCACTAGTAGAGGCAGCACACACCTATGCTATAAAACTCCAGGAAACAAGAAGAAGAAAAGCAAGGAAATCACAACCTTTTATTTATGTTATTTGTACTCTTCCAATTATGAAAATCCATTTAAGGGATGATGAGCCCAGCAGGATTACAAAGGGTCTGCATCAGCATTTCCAGATGCTCCAGCCCTCTCCAACAAACACACTCAGCTTCTGCTCTCAATTACTCAATGTTCATTGCAACCACTCCCACCCAGCTCCCCACCTAGCTGGAGAGGACTCCAGGCAGTAATAGCCTCCTCTGCCCCCATGACCTAGGACAATCTGGGATAGGCCATGGCACCACCTGTGCCTGCTATCAAACTCATACTTCTAGCTGTGCCCGCAAGGCAAGCATTAAAAATAGTAACGCTGACAGCTCTAAGTCAAAAATTCATGGGAGGCTCTTTAGGCTTGCTTGGCTGTGTTTTCACTCAGTAATTTCCAGTCTTTTCTGTGCCTGTGCAAATAAGGAGACCATCACACCCAGCCATACCACATGTTCCCCACCACCTGCTTGCTGTCCTGAACTTTTTGTGCTGGTACCTTGGGACCATCCACCTCAGTCGATGGAGGCCGTGGGTAGTGACATCCATATGAACCAGACCTACTGCTGGCATGGGGCTGAAAGGTTAACTTCTGTCTGCAAAATGAAAAAAGATGAAGGTCTTGAAGCATGTTTCAGCAGTAAAACTTAAACTGATGTAACAACTGATACTGGGGAATCACTGCAAATGTGTATTGTGAACGCTGACAGATCCACTTAAACCTAACTTCCACCTTCTTTTTTTGTACCAATATCTATCAATCCAAACCAAAATTTAGTCAGTAAAAAAGGATATTCACAGGTAGATTTACACAGATTATCTAACCATGTGACTTAAAATTGGCTTGGTTAAACTCACATAGGTTTTGAGGCTAGAACAGGAGTAAATTGCTAGTATGATCCTTTCAACTGCCAGAGTAGAAAAATTATATATTCTAAAGAATACTAATCATTTAAAAGAATTCTAAAATTATTCTAAGTGAAAATTATCATCTCTTTGGGAGATGAAAGTTATGGAGGCAAGATTCATTAAAATGCATCATTAGGTACAGGAAATACAAAAGACTGATCATAAAGCAGTACAAACTAAAACCCTGAACTACTGAAGGTATTCCTGAAGGATTATCCCAGAGTCTTAAAAAGGTGATTTGGATTTGATCAAGAGATTTTAAATCAGGGAAGAAAATGAGTAAAAATTAAGCTGCAGTTATGCCAATGGGAGCTCGGTAACTGAAGTGTTGTAAGAACTTTGTTCTACGTTTATAATATAAAATAAAACTTGCATATTGGCATTCAGGATGAAAGCAGTACATATGCAACCTTAACTTATATTTATCTGCTTTTCTGTAATTTCAGAGCACGTAGGGTGGTCTTCCCCCAACCTTCCCTCAATCCATCAGTTCCCTCCTACTCAAGTCAGCACCAAAAGTTCAATTCCATTTTTTTTCCTTTGAGAAGTTTAGGGCAAAAGAGATAATGAAAAGAAGCGGCACTGCTTTTTGTACTTCAGTGCATACCCATGTTGCCATGCTATTACCCTTCTCTTTCTTCTCATGCATTCCCTGTTACCCAGCTTTCTAGCACTTGATGGCCATCTGTGCCATCATGAATGCAGCTCTTAGGACGAGTATACATTCTTGTTTTTTAAGATGCCTACCATATTCTAAGTGCTTATAAAAATATGAATGATTATATTGTACAGCCATACCTGGCTACCTTATCTTAAATCCTTTTCACCTGTGGGCCACAGTGTAAGTCTGAGAAGTTAGCAGGGAGCTTAATAAGTAACAGGATTCATAATTAAAATAGCAATTTCCATTAGTTTCTCAGAAATTAATTTGACCGATTCACAACATAACACTGCCTGTCAGCCAGCTGAAGTAAGTACAGTCATTAGTTCAGCTGTTTACAAGGCTGTAATTTCACTCTATGCTCAGCTGAAAACATGTTTGACCATTAGGCTAAGACAAAGCCTGCTGAAGTTAGTTCAGACAACAGCAGTTCCAGAAGAGGGACTGCAAATAAAGTAGATGTAATTTCCCAGGCTAAATGAAATACTAGAAAGATATTTGGGACTGGCAGGATAAATCCATTTCTTATTCATAGCAGATTACTGCTGATTTTTATCTGCAGTTTTTACCTACTAGAGTAACAATGGTGCAGTTACATAGAGCAAGGTCTCTAGACAGTTTAGCCAATCCTGTAGATTTTTTCACTGGCAATATTACTGCCTATTACATTCTGTGGGTTTAGCAACCACTTTTCTAAAACTTCTGTTTGACCAGTTTGAATTTATTCATTTAATCTTGCAGATTAATTTCTGCAGGACGTCTTTACATAAAGGCTTCTTTTTAAGCAGCTAAACTCAAGTCCGTGTTGTTGTCTGCATCACAGAAGTAAAAATCACTGCGTATCTCTTAGATTCCCCAGTACTTAGCAATACGGGTTGGATCCTACCCCAGGTTATCAGTCTCAAGGTACTCTTCCCTTGAGGCTGCGGTGTAGAAGACAGAAGGCTCTGCACATACTGGAAGCAAGTCTGATGAAATAAGGTGAGAATTGGGCGATTAAGCCTTCTGTTTAAACTCTTGTAGGACTATCTCACAAGACCTTCACACTCCTACATCCCCATTAGATGAAAACGAACTGATCTGAGTTTATCCTTCTTTCTTTGTAACACAGGCTTCAAAAAGAGCTCAGTCAGCATGCAACATCATCTCTGTACCACATCAGTAACACAGCGGCTCTTTACTTTCCCCAGGCTACATGTATCTATCCTGCTCCAAAGCAGGCTTCTTTAAGTGCCATTTTGCCATCAGGTTCTGACAGTCCTGCTCACCCACATGCACACCAGTTGGGACCAAGGTCACAATCAGGTAGGACTACGGCAGGTAGGACAAGGTCAGTCGGTGATCCTGGCACTGTCTCTGTCACAGCCGTTACAAACCTCTACAAAGCACATGCGCATTTGGATCGAGCTCTGACAGTACATGTCTGGATGTTACAGAACTGCTTCTTCACAGTGTGTTTCACTCGATAGAGACACACTGTGTTTGATTTAAATGGTTTTTTCCTTATCCTCAGCCAAGAGATGCTCACTCTCTCTTTTAATATTCTGTCTTAATGAGACTATTTCTATTTTTCATTAAAAGTGAGCAATTTCATCCTGCTGCAGAGTTGTCCTTTTCTTTTACATTCATATATTAAGACTAATTTGCACGTATATATAAAAATTCCTTGGGGATGAAAATCAGTCTTATCTTAAACTACACAGTACACCCCACATATAATATTTTTCCAAGAATCGGTGTGTACTTCCCAATCCATTAATTATTAATAGGCTTACCATCTGTATTCATCTTTAAATTCCATCAATTAATAGACTCAAGCCTAGAAACATTGTGGGTACAGCTTTCATAATGTGCAAAATCTGATAAGCAATTCATTTTACAGTGAGGAATTTAACCCAATACCAAAGAGATTGTAAGAACAGATTTGTTGCAAAGACTTAAAATAAATTGATTTAGTTGGATGAGACAACTTTCACAGGCATTCATTTAAACACTAAACTTTACTAGCTGCAGAGAGTTAACAAATGTGCTACAAAGCTCTTCAACTCCCACACAAGCTGACTCACACAAGATAACAAAACTATTAGTTCTTGAAAGAACTCTATATTTTTCTTTATTGTTCTAATGACTTTCCCAGTTTTGAGGGGCACAATTTCAGAACTGTACACTACAGAGAAAGTGATATTCAGAGATAGATGGGTGACCAGGTTATAAATCAAGGGAAAGAGTCCTGGTGACAAGAGCTTTATGTCTCCATCCCAGCTGCAAAATCCATCCGAAATGCAGTAATTTATCCAGCTGCATCCAGTATTTTTCCCACTAGCTAGCAGCCCATTCCAAAGCTAGCACAATTGTTGTTCAGTTCCTTCTTTTCACTGCATCCCTCTCATCTCATCTTTCTTTTTTTGTTGCTCTCATTTCAGAACTTGTGCCACATGTCTTCAGTTAATTTGCCCACACTCCTCATTTATTGGTCCAAATGTCATTTTCTGTGACTCACATGTTTTCTTCTAATACTTTTTATCTCAGTTCCTCCACAGTGAAACTTTTTCATTTCTGCTCGATCTGTACAGTCCTGTCAAACACAAATATGAAGTTTGTGATTTGTAAACGTCAAATTTAGATCAGATATGTCTTTGGTTTAATTTTGATTTTCTATTTCCATTGGTACAGTTACTTCTAGGATCATTATTTCTTTGTGCAATGGATCTGAATATATTGTTACTAAAAGTAGTGACTTGCAGAGCAAGTAACACAAGTGTAACCTTGTGTTTTCCTTCTATTTTGCCTAACTTGGGTCCAAATACAGATAAGTAACAAAAACAAGATCACAAAATGCCTTGGTGTCCTGGTCTTTCTCTGGAAATTTGGGCTTGGGCAAAGAGGAGGCACACACAGCAGCTCCTTCACCCTGACATCCCCTGTTTTTGCTGGAGTGAAAGCCAGACCACGTGAGTCAGAACTACCTGTGACCTGAACCATCAGGGACTATCACTGCAGAGGTGCTGCTGTACCACACACATCAATTTGTTTATACATAGCATTAAGAAAATAAGCCAAATTATTGAACCGTATGAGATGGATTAAGTCTTGTACAGGTAGGTCCCTGAGAAAGTCAAGAACGCCAAATAGCAGCCAAGAATAAAAATGCTTATAACAGAAAGCCTGCTGTGTTTATGACAGGAAGGACAAAAAACTGCTCAAGCTGAGAGAGGCTTGTGGGAAAACGTTGTCAGACTGGAAAGGGGGCTCCATAAAAGAGCTGATCAGAGGAACCCAGGTGATACCTGATGAGAAGCAGAAATTCCCCAGTTTGGGTTGGAACAGACCTTAGAAATCACCTAGTTCCTATCCTCCTGCCAGAGCTGATGGTATATCTGAAATCTGAAAAGAAGTAAGGGAAGGAAGAAAGAGAAGATCAAGTTTGGATTAAGGTTAAATTTGAACTGGATGTGGTTATGGAGAAATTGCAGAAGGGGAGGGAGGGTATGCAGTGGTTTTGGATAAACCTTGTCATCAAGAATTGGAATTCTTGGATCAGTCTTTAAAAGGCTTAAGAGAAACAAACAAAACTCCATGCTGATCTGTACACTGATATATAGAAATAAGATTAACTGCAACTACAAGTTGATCTATTGATTAGATGCCACCAGATGATGAACTGCGAGGTAATGGCAAGCTATTACCCATTTCAGTCTAGGAGCGGTGGAGTAAATCAATACATAGCAGATATCTGACTTTTTTTTGATGGTTCTGGGGGAGGAAAACCTGCAAGTTGCTACATTCTTTTGGGTATGCACAGTGCAGATATGTACCTTAGGAGCTACATTTTGCTCTTAGATTTCATGGAACAATTACATGTTTTTTCTCAGCTGACTTCAGTGGACTAACTGGACCATCATTATGACAGCCTTACTCCCAGTAGTACCAGAAGCTTCATTGCTCAAGCTACATAATGGATTTCTGCCTGAGAGGTAAAAAGAGGGAAGTCTGTACAGGAGATGCAGATAATACCTGGAACTTTTCCATGGCTGGAACATCCAGCTTCAGTCAACTGTGGAATTTTCATTAAAATTCTGGAACATGTGGCTTTCATCCTGTCCCTTATGCAGAGATTAGACCTTGCTGCCCCTTAAACTTAATTAATTTTGACAATGTTTATGCCATTATTTCTAGAAGGTGGAAGAAGAATATTTTTGCAGTTGTCATTTTGAATATTTGCAGAGTTATAGCACTCTCAAGTTGAAAACCCAAATTGTAGAATCAGCAATATCAGTGACCAGATGTCATATACTTCAGTGCTGGGATAAGTATATTATTGTCTCTCCAGATTTAAAACCTCATTGAGATGACAAATATGAAAAGGAAACTATCAGTTCAAAATGCTATGGCTTCAGGTTAATACATTTCATTGGACTAAACAATGGAAAAACATGGAAATACTGCAGCAAGGCCAGTTAAGGGCCATCAGTATGACTGTGGCTGAAGAACAAGATGTACGAGGAAAGGATGAGAAACTTGGCTTTATTCCACCTGGAGAAAAGAAGGCTCAGTGGGGCATCTTACTTCTGTCTTCAGCTACTTGACAGAAGAAAACAGAGAAGATAAATCTTCTCTTCTCAGAGGTGAATGGAGATGCAACCAAAGACAACAGAGAGAATCTGGGACCTGCAAAATTCCTATTAAATACTAGAAAAACCTCTTACACTACAAGGGCAGTCAAATACTAGACCAGGTTTCCATGAGGGCTTATGAGTCCTCCATATTTGGAATTGTTTGAAACTTGACTGGATGTGGCTCTGAGTAATCTGATCTAATTGGATCTGATGTCCATAAATTTGTCTAATCTATTTTGAACCTGCTGATACTGCCTCCACAGACTTTTGTAGCAAGAAAATCTAGCAGTCTTTGAAGTAAAAAAAGTATTGTTTCATCTTAAAACAGCCTCCTATTGGCTCCACCACACTTTCTAGTTTGGAGAATACTTCACCAAGTATTCCTAATACTGAGGAACTTGCCAAAAAAAAACCAGTTCTGCATTCAGCTTGTCCAACATCTCCACAGTTTCCTAGAGCTTAATCATAACCCACACAGCTTTCTTGTCTCTTGTTTGAAATATCTCAGCCTTTATAGTTTCTCCTCATAAGGCAGCTACTTTGTCCTCTTAATTATCTTAGCTGTCTTCTTTGTACCTTCTCCATCCTGTCTTTGATATGCAGAGACAAGAATGGCATTCAGAACCCAAGATGTGGGTGCTACAAGGCATTATATAGTGATAAAATAACTTTCCCTATCTTATTCTTAATACCCTTTCTTATGTTTTCCAACATTTTGTCAGCTATTTGTGCTGTTGCACATCAATCCAATAAATAAATAAAATTACTTGGTTTAGTCATTAAACAAAATATTATTAAACCCATCATGATATTATCATGATATGCATTAATCTTTCTGAACTAAACTGCAAGCTTAGAACCATAGAATGGCCATGGGCAGGGACTCCTCCCACTCGACCAGGTTGCTCAAAGCCTCATCCAACTCGTCCTTGAACACTTAAAGGGATGGGGCAGCCACAGCTTCTCTGGGCAACCTGTGCCAGGGCCTCATCACCCTCATAGGGAAGAATTTTTTCCTAATCATAGACTGGTTTGGGTTGGAAAGGACCTTAAGATCATCCAGTTCCAATCCCCTACCATGGGCAGGGACATCTTCCACTAGACCAGGTTGCTCCAAGGCCCATCCATATCTGTCGTGGTTTAAACCCAGTCAGGTAGCTTGTTCACTCACTCCCAGTGAGTGGTGCCGAGATGACAACAATCGAGGTCCGTGTCCGTCTCCCCCCCCGCCTCCCCGCACCGGGGCTCTCCCCTTCCCCGCTCCCGGAGGAACGGGGAGGAGGATCGAGAGAGTGCAACTCCTACGGGCTGAGACAAAAACAGTCCAGCAACAAATCACCACCGCTACTATCAGCTAAAACAATGATAAGGGAAAATAACAAGGGAAGAGAATACAATACCACCGGCCAAGAAAACGAGTTCCACCCGGAAGCCCCTGTCCTTCTGGGTAACTCCCAGTTACCCCTCACCCCGGGCATGACGTGCTGCGGTATGGAATACCTCCCCGGCTAGCCTGGGTCAGGCGCCCCATCTCTGCTTCCTCACAGCTTCCCCTCCTCCCTGGCAGAGCATGAGCCTCACAGAGTCCTTGGTCAGGGTAAACATCACTTAGCAACAACCGAAAACATCGGCTTCACCAACACTGTTCTCAAGCTGGAAGTCAAAACACAGCACTGCACCAGTTAACACAAAGGAAAAACATGACTGCTACTGCGGAACCCAGGACAATATCTAATCTGAATCTACCCTCAGTCTTGATACCATCAAATAGTGTTGTGTTTCTTATATGTTTACAATTTCCTACTAACAATGAACATGTCTTCTTTTTTATTATGAAATGTCCATGATAATCTTGAGCATCCTTCAGGACTGATATAGCAAGAATGAGAACAGCAAGTATAGTATTAAGTGTGAATTACTGTGCTTTGGGGCTAATAACAAGGATTTGTGTTGCCAACTAGTTTACTAATACCAGAAGAAGAGAAAAAAAAAAAAGAGGTTTTTTTAATTGATTATATTGTTGATCCTAATCAAAGTTGTCAAGCCTGGGGGTGATTTTGGTTATGAAAACCATGTAATTTAGGATTAATTGGATAATGCAAAAAGAGGATTGGCACTACTGCCATTGGTACTACTGCCAATGGTAAATCCTAACTTGGAATGCTGTGCTAGGTACCCATTTCCACGCAAATTGAAAAAGATGCTGGGATGGTCTAAAAGAACAATTAGGAAAGAAAATAAAAAGAGTCAGAGAGCTCAATTATTAACCCAGCAAAACAAAGTCGCAGTTTGAGATATAATTCCTCTCTAGGAATATAAAAAGGGCAACATTATGGCTGGAAAGAGCTATATAATTCAAAGCAAAACACCAACACCAATGGCCATGAATAAATTTATATCAGTAATTGAAGACCAGAACCAGAAGAATGGGGGTAACAGATTGATACAGAGGCTGCTAATGTGCAGTCGCTTATTAAAAATTGCCCCCCTTTCTTCAATATCATGCAGATTTCCTTGAACAGTTCCTGACAGAAACCACCTTCCTCAGCCAGGGACAGTCTAGCACCTTGACCCACTTCTCTGTCATTAACAAGTTTAACAACCAAACAGAAGTTTCTGCTGGGAGTACCAGTTTTATAAAGAGGCCTTGGCAAACATTAAACCTCTAAAGTGCCAGAAACTCAATAGTGAGGAAAAAAATAAATTTCCCAAGAAAGATTACAAGAAGGTACAAAAGATTCAAAACAAGATGGAGATTTTTAGCTTAAGAACTATGGATTTTGTCAATCTGCCAGACTGCTGCTGGCAAGTATGCATCTGCCTTGAACTTACTCCTCTCTCTCAAGGCGATGCTGTGGTAGAGGAGCAACAGACCTGTTTGGTCTCAGCTGGAGAACTTTTTTTAACTGTTTTCAAATACCTGTTGGGAGAGTTCAGGGAGAAGGCACAAACACACACATGCAGAAAACCAGTTTTGGAAAGTATCCTCTTGTGAAAGGAGAGGAGCCTGCCCACCCTGGGGAGAGAATCTGACATCTACTCACAGATACTGAGCAACCAGGATGTCATGAAGAGAAAGGCTCTCATGCAGTCAGATGACTTAAGTTCTTCCTTCCAAGTGGAAAATGAGATGGTGAACTGCAGAATATGTTTTCTCAGGAAGATGAAAGGCCATTTGCAGAGGAAAAATCAAGGATCTGGTTCTAGCAGTTATCAAGCTAGAGACTCCATATATGCCAAAAATAATGCTAAAGTTCTCCTTTCCCTTTAATTGTTTTCATATTGTCTGAAAATATCATTTTTCAATCAAATATTTCACAGTTCAAAGACGGAAAGGAGCATAAAGTTTGCACTACCCCTCTCCTCATGCCTCCATGCTTATTCTGCAAACCATGGAGGGCTTTTAAAGGTAAATTTTGTTTCTGACACCTCATGATGGTGTTACAAGAACGGTTTCTCACAGAAGATCCAGTGTTACTTCTTATTTCATTCACTTCGCTCTCCTGTTTTGGTGCCTCTCCTTGTTAGAAGCCATTGCAGCAATTGTGTTCACTGCAAAACTGCTTCATAATTTTTTCATCTCTCTGCCTGCTTTTTTTTTTGTACATACAGCAGTCCTAAGGAAAACCTGGGGAGGCAACTACTGACCTAGCCTATCAGTTAATGATTATGAAGTGGAAACATAACAAGATCAATCAATTTTGGAAAGCCCCATCTTCAATTTTTTTCTTTATTCAATAGACGCTGTATTCATCCACTTCAATAAAAGATTCCAGATAGTACAACAAACTACGATTATAGATCACTTAAGTGCTTGAATTGTGTCTTTCTCCATGGACTGAGCAGGAAATTATGATCACCCTACCGAGAAATTTCACAAAAATCCTTCTGTTGAGAAATATAGCTTTTTTCTGAGAATGTGAAGAGGTTCCCATCAATCAGATAGTTCTGCCTCTTGGCAGCTTTTCAGAAGTTACCAGCATCAGTCAGAAAGTCAAAGTGTGATGAACTGGATGAGGGCAAGCCCTTCCACGGAAAGAAGAGAAAAGCTTGAGAACACATGTACATACCCTACAGGGAAGCTTTCAGATTAAGATCCCTTCTGACTCATTTCTGGTATCAGGTCAGTGTAAATTAATGATCACTTTGACTTTTCAAAAGGAGCCAAAATCTCTCTTAGCTGATTACTGAAGCTGTGCATAGCATATTATTAACCACATAAAGGCCTGATTCTATCATTATCAGCAACCAGTCTTGCTGCTCCTCCTGCATCCCATAAGAGCCGTGGGGATTTTCCTGCAAAACTTAGAAGTCTACTACAGAGACTGACTCTCACAGGATCTGGATGTCTTAGGATCTCTGATCTATCAGGGAGCCAAGCCCAGGTGTGGGGTCTCTAGTCATACCTTCCCACTGTGGCAAAACTGTGACCAACACTAGTCATGCATCAGAAACTCAACAAAAAGCAAAACCTCAACTTTCAATTTCAAAGTTATCCTTTGCTCTTTTGCCTTCAAAAGAATTTTTGGGAGCTGGATGTATTTCCCTGACTGCTTTCAGCTGTAATTCAAACCACCAGCCTTCTTTTGCTACACAGCATGCCTTCCTTGTACTGCACTCAGCTGATGCAAAGCTGGCCAGCTGCCCAATAGGTCTTGCCTTCAATTTGTGCCAGGCCCGACAAATCATAACTAGCAAGGTTAATATTCACAAGCATGCTTCTCCTCTGAAAAGACATGTATGCGCAGAGCCAACACTCAGCAGGAGTAAAACTCCCAGGGTTAGCTAGGGATCTCGAAGGAACCAAGAGAAATCCCAGTAAGCTGCTGGAGACAGCTCTCCTGCTGCACTCCCTGGCCAGCTGGGGCTGCAACCTTGCACCTATCAGCCTGGAAAAGCAAAGCTCACGGCAGACTCCTAAAGGATCCTTCTCAGAAATCTGACGACTGATTGGGTCTGGAGCAGAAGAAAAAGGAGCATCACGAGACTTCTTGGAAGAAGAGTCTGGTGGGCTGCCATCAGGCATTGCACAGAACATGGCTCACCAAGGAATAAGCTGCCTCCTTTGAGCTCTCCAACGCATCCAGACCTCTACATCCAAACACGACCTTTTAACCTCTCTTCCCCATCCAAGCCCTTTGCTCCTTGACAGCCAAATCCACCAGCATCTCATTGCCCTTCTCTGTGGTCACTGAAGTTGCCTTCCACCTGCAAAATTAAATATCAGTAAATGGTCATTTAGGTGTAATTTGACAATAAAATACAACAAACTAAGAAACTAAATGTACTGATGAAACAGGCAGTTAGTTTAGTTCAAAACCTGAGTGAAAATATCAAACTCCTACTCAGAGAGCACATGGTTGACAGGAGAAAAAATCCTGACAAGTTCCATTTGCATGTTGTCTAGCAGAAGAGGAGACCCAGCACATCAAGAGTCATTTACTAAAATTTAATTTTTCAGGAAGTGTGCTCTCCACATTTATTGTTGGTTTGTTTTTTTTTCCCAATAAAACATAATGTGTTTTTTTTTAAAACAAGAAAATCAAGAACCTGTGAGCTGAGATGGTCAAAAAAAAGAAGCAGCAATATCTTATTTAAAAAATAAGGATCAATGTTTTATTTTAAAGAACATTTATTGAACTTATGATTTATTTTTAGCATATGATGCACTTCCCTGTTAAGTATGCTTTCCTGTTATAGTATATATATATTATCAAATATAATGTTAAATTAACACAAGCATCAATTTTGTATTTAAATGATACTTAACGGTTGTAATATAGTTCACTTTCTTTTGGTTTTCTAATAAACTATTAGAAGTTCTTACATTGACAACCAAAATTCACTTAATTGAAGCTCAGCTTCAGCAGAATTGGTCTTTAGCAGATTTCTGTAAATGGTCCAAGTATATTTGCACTAGGAATGTGTCCTCCTGCTGCCACACTAGAGATAAGAAGGGACTTTCAGACTTTCAAAACAAGCAGAAACACTCAACCGAATCTCTCTGAACCCACTATTTTTCCATTCATGCTTATAATTTAGTAAAATATCTTTTTTTCACCATCAGTTGCCATTTTTTCCATGCAGTGTCTTTATGTATGAATGCCTATGGCCAAAATTTGTCATAAGCTTTTGTTCTAATTCCTTGTTTGATTAACAAATTATGACTTAAGCTTCAGCACACACAAAACCAAACTATTTAAATTTTAAAAGGGTATCCATAGAAACCTTTTAGCACATATTGAGAGAAATATAATTACAAAACTGTCACTGGAAATAACTGTGATTTCCTTATTTTCATTTTCCTGGAAGAATTTGAAATTGCAATTGTGCAGTTCATACCTAACAGTAATTTATATGAGATAAAAAACATTTTAAGTTTCTTTCAGCTGCACAATAAAGAATTAACCACCTTGTGGGGACATGCTTCATTACTTTCTCATCTTCAAAGCTGACAAAATTAAATCTCCCTTGTAATTCTTAAAGTCTTGACAGACTCAGTGCAGTATACGAAAGCTTACACAAATCTCAGGACTAAATAATAATGCAGCTACCACATGTATTATGTAATACAGGAACTAAACAATTAGTTGAAAACAAATAACTTTCCAATTTTCCATTAGCGTGTATACACTTCAGCATTATCTGTTACAAATGATACACTATCATAATGATGCATTATCAAAGTTCAAAGCTGGAGTATATCTCTTGGAACTGGAGACACTACTAATGGGGTATTATTAATGTCTTGAAAATAATCATGTGTGTGGTGGATGGTTCTGCTTTAACTGTACAGTTAAAAACAATTACGGGAAACATTTTGATACTTCTGTGATTTGAGTCCAGAATAAAAAACATACCCATTTCAAAAGTCTGTTTTCTCAATTGAAAAAAGGATCTAATGTATTGTTAATATAATACCTGTATATACTGCTGTACCAAGATTTATCATTTTAGCTAAGATAATCTTAGAAAACAATACTAATTTGTCATCATTATCATACAAGCTCTGCAGGTGACCTCTAAGTGCTATTGTGCATTTTTCTTGAATCTTAAGCAGCAACCTTGCAATTTTATTTTATTTTTATAGCCCTAAAGAAAAAATTCTGTGTGTTTCATCTGAAGCCATGATCAAACTTGCTTTTGCCTCTCATCCAGCAGTCCACTACGATTTACTGAGAAACTTCTGCAGAAGCTACAGCAAGTCACACTCTCCACTACTATCTTCACCAAGCCAAGCAGCTCATTTCTCCTCTCTATCTAGAAAGTGTAAGGGATGGGTATTTTGTATTACAGCAAGAAGGTGACACAACCACATGTTCCCTAGCTGGTGGCTGTGCAGGCGGCATGACAAACTCTCTGGGAAGAGCATGACCTCGAGGTGGCCAAGCCCAGCCAAAACCTTAGCAGTAAATTTCCAAGCCTTGTGGCAAGCACTTGCTGAACCTCTGCAGTAAACCTATCTTGTCCCTGTTCTCACAGCCAGTAGCACATCTTTCCAGGGGTATTTTTCTTCAGTGTCAATTCCCTACCCAAGTTTAAAAAAGCAGAGAGGACAGGGTTAGTAAGGTCTTTTAAAGGGCAAAAATGAACAACTATTTATCTTTCTTTGTGTGAACTACATTGCAACCTTAGCTAGAGACATGCAAGAAATCTTTCATTACCAAACTTTTAGGGTAAGTAATTTTCTTCTTAGCTTTGATTTTAGTTTTTGTCATAAGATTTAATTTCTTTGGGCTGCCTTAATCACTAAAACAAAATTCCAGTGCTTAAAGCTGCTTTTTAAAGGTTTGCTTACCTGAGTCAAATTTTACCTTACTCATATAGCAAATCAGAGTCGGTTAAAGTAAGGAACCTGTAGAAAAAGATAGTGTACCATGACTTCTTCATCTGATAGCTGTCTCTCTAGAATTTAAAATGAAAATGTCTAGTCTGCATAAAACAAAGTTATTTTCAAGGTAGTTAAGAAAAAAAAAATCTCTATTTTTAATAAGTTTCTACTTGAATTGGAAGGGGGAGGGTTGTGGTATTTTATATGTGTGTGTGTGTGCATGAAACTCCAGCACATACACATGGATAGTTTATACATCATGGACAAACTGGAATGAGTTCATGTTATAGTACAGCAAGACTGCCTCCACATGTGCTCCAAGTGAGATACTGGATGGATTTTTCAGGAAATTCAAAGCAGCAACAAAGGAATTTCACTTATTTCACTCCTGTCAATCTGAGGAAGGTGGGGGGGGGGGGGTAATTTTCTTGTAAAGATGGCCAGTTTTATTAAAATAGAAGAACTGACTTCCTTTAGTTTTGTGCCATAACAGGGAACCAATCATAACCATTTATCTGTAGGAAGATTAAGTTATCTCATATCCAAAGAAAAGAGCCTATTGCAGAGACCTCCAGGTGAGCTGCCCTGTGCACAACATGCTGCTATGCAGAGACACCAGCTCACTTTCATCAGTGACCACAGGGACGGCTCTCCAAGGCAGCCCCATCCTCCACAGCCCTTGCTGCACTTTCAGCTCCAAAGGCAGCACACAGCAAAGCCGTCTCTTGTGCTTTGATACCAGTTATGCCCTGATGTAACTATAAATTGGGAAGATAATGACAGCTCTAAACTCAGTCTCAAATTTTCATTGCACATCTTAGTGCTTAATTTCCCTATTCCTTTGCTTTTGAGCTTGTGGCTGTCAAGCTGGCTTACTCATCTTCTTCTGTATCAAAATAAAAGCATGGCTAGTTTGAAAGGGCTGACACAAAATCCTGTAAACTGAACGAAAGAAAGCAAAACAAACAAACAAAAAATGCTGCCTCAGCATAATTGTCTCTATAGCATGAGAAAGATGTCACTTTTTGACAGCAATTCTCAGATTTTTAAATTCTCTTTATTGGTTTGTGTTAATGTCATTGCTGAAATGTGAATACAAGATTGAGTTCTTTTACTGAGATCTATTCAAAACTTTACTAATAGCTTAACAAATATATAAAAATCTCAGCTGCATGGAGGCAGACATCCTAAAAGGTATCTTCTCAATCAGGGAAGAGTTCACAGAGCTGCCAGAGGGCATTATATTCACACTAGAATACAACAAACGCATTTGAAAAGTACTGGCACAGGCACTAACTCTGCTGGTTCTGCCCTGCTAAGAGAAAGGCAGATAGGGAAATTTATTTTTCTTAGTAGTAAGTTATGATTTGACTAGCACAAGGAGCTCATTTGTTGAATTACCTTAAAATCATCACATTTCAGAGTAGAACCACACTCTAAATATGGGGAATGTTATTTGCTGTATATGTATTATGTTATTAAGTATAATTAAAGTTGAAAGCCACAGAACCACACTCAATGCTACTGCAAGACTATAGAACATTTCTGTGGCCAGCACAATAAAGTACCATATGCTGAAGACACCAACAGCCAAGTAATACATATAGTAGCCTAAACTAAAGCATGCTGTGGGCCAGTATCTGTGCAAATATTCCAGAAATAAGTAATGAATAAGTATTACAAGAAACAACTATGCCACTGCAAACATCATCATTTCTAGATATGCAGACTGCCAAAAACAAAACATAAGCCTTGAAGAACAAAAATTCTTTTTATGAGTGCAAAATTCTACAGTATTTCAATGTTTGAGGTATCTCAAAGATATCATATCTAGCTAAGGTATTTCACCTTTTGACTTTTCTAGAAGACTTGCTGTGACTTTTTCAGGCACTAAAGTCACACAGAATATTCTATGTTCCCTTTGTACACTTCAGAAGTAGACAACAAAAGCTTTTTTTTTTCCCCTTACATTATGTTTTATTCATAACCATTGAAAAGAAAAATTGAAACTATGGTGAGAGCCACTCTTTAGACTTGTCTCTATTAGAAAATTGAATCAGAACTGGAAATAGTTTCAGACATAGACACCCGGGACCAGCACTGAAAATAGAGCAAGAACTAATGCAGATCTGGAAAAGGCAGTTCCAGTACAGTTTAAAAAATGAGACTGAAATGAGATCTGATTTGCACCAGGGTTACCACTGGAATTGTTCACTGGTGAAAGAGGAGAGGGCTACTCTGAGAACAAAGAAAATGGACTCCAGAAGAGCCACAGTTTACAATACGCATCCTCTTCCCAGCAGATCTGGATGCTGAACACCTTCAAAGGAGTGAACTCCCCCAGGAAAGGCCACCACTGGCAAAGGTGCTGTGAACATGATCCACAGTGGCTCTCCCTCAACCAGAGGCATCTGGACTGATGCTCTGGGATGTTTCTCAGCTAAAACCGTTTTTCAGTCTGTACTGAAACAATCCCATTTATTGACCTACATAGCATTGAAATTATGACAGTCAGAGCCTGATTCTGTTACAGATTCTGCCTGATTCTGACTGTTCTTTCTCATACTTTGTAAAAATGCCCACTAGGAGAGGATACAGGAGCCATGTTCCCAGCCAGTAATACATAGATTGCATTATCAGTATGTACCAAACTGTGGCTCTTTTCAGTCTTATACATTCATAGGTAGCCATGAGAAATAAATCATACATTAGAGAAGCATTACCATTTCATCAGCTTGCATCTGTAGCCAGACTGTTCTCCAGGTATGTGGAGCACAAAACTGAAGTTCTTCCTAAGCAAAGAACCAAAGAGATAACGAATCAAGACACACTCTCTAAAGAAATTGCTATTTGACCAGTTCCCATTCCTTTAGCTCTGCAAGAATTCAACTAATGTAATCTTGAGAAGAAATCGTGGTATTTTTCCTCAGAGAAGAAGAGGTCTAGCTGAAGTGATAACAGGGGCTACAAAGGTGGAAGAACTTCAACAGAGATAGACCTCTGACCATGGAAAAATATAACGGTTATGAGATGTTTAGGCAATTTATCACCATTTATACTGCACTACTGGTATAAATTTATATGTGAATATACCAGTGTTATGGTAAGGGGAGCTACAGAAAAATCTGTGTATAAATAAAAGTGAATTACATTTAAAATAAAACTTTCACCTACTATCTTTCTTCCTGTAGATTACGTTAAACAACATTTACCAATGAATTTATCATCAGGGTTCTTTCCAAAAGAGGAGGCACCCCGCTCTATTTTTTACCATGTGTGGGCAGAGAAAAAAATAATTCACATTCCTTTAAATACCACAGAACAAAACAGATTAAAAACCAAAATGAGCTAATATTGAGATAAATACTATTGCAATTATGTCACACAGTTTTTTATATCAGATGAATTGTAGCCTCAGAATGTTAATAAAAACCGTAACGTCTTCATCCACAGTTCACTGTTTAAAACAACGACAACTCATAACAGGAGTCCAAAGTATTTTACACATACTACTTATCCACTTAAAAAGAGGGCAGAGGAGTTAAAGACAGCAAGGAAAGCAACAGGGGCCTGATCCTGTTCCCATCAAAGAAAATGGGAAGTTTACCATTAACTACAAGAGGCTAGATTGTGCCTTTGGTTTGCTGGCAGAATTGCAGGTGTATTTTGCGTTTTCTTTTGTGGCTAAAACACAGTAATTTGCTGCCCTCTAGAAGCAGATTATGGCACATACTTTGGTTTTCTTCAATACAAGCCTGTTCCCAGCTGTATTTTTTTAAATGTATGTAACAACAATGCAGAGCAATTTTGAAAAACTAGAGTGATGCAATGATCTATGAGATTCTCTAAATACACAGACATTCGATAACATGATTGGTCATTCTGGCAGATAAATGGAATGGGGTCATGTATTTCTCCTGGGATTATCATAGTTAACTTCCAAGAAGAAATTAACTGAGATCATTCCATTACCCTGCTTAATAAAACTGAAAATTAGCAAAAGAGGGTCATGACTGCATTTTCTGAAGTACAGCCCTCACCACACTGATACAGTTCACAGAGAGGATCAGAGATTCATCAGGTCATGCTAAAAAAATCACAAAATAAGTCAGCAAGTTTAAATTATATTTAACAGTTAAATTTTTTATTGCCCCCAAAAGTAGTAGCAATCTCATTTATTAATAATGACTATTTTCTTATCAAGTTCTTAGAAATTTTTGTTCAATTCTACTTTGGTTTTATTAGTGCAGAATAAAAAAGTCTAAAAAGTGCTGGGAAGTGTCTTGTTTCCCCCAACTCTAGAATGATCTAGAAATGGCTGCTGAAATCTCCTTCAAATAAAAAAAAAAAAGACAACCCTCAAACCTTCCAACCTCAGCTCCCAGCAGAACTCAAAGAATCTAGGTGTAAAAGCAATGAATAAGATTTGAATGTAATCCACCATTCAATTATCATCACATAATGCAATTAGATCATGAGTATACAATTTGTTTTTTTTCACTACCACCACTAGTGGATTCTCTGAGTGAAATACTTGAAAGTAGGAATATTTTTCTAGTACAATCCCACAAACTGCCAAGTGCCATTTACGTAGATCTCACATCATGCTCATTACTACATTATATTCCCCAAAACAAACCAAGGACTTGCAGACCAAGTCTTGAACAGCTGAAAGGTCCTTGATTTACCTTAGATCAGACTAATACTATCAGAAAAACTGCACTAAGCTACAAAAATCTGATGTATTCATATTTACCAGCCTTTTTTTTTTTTTAATCTTATCTTGTTTCTTTTCACAATACTTTGACAACAAAGACAAGAAGGATGGACTTGCAACTTTAAATCTGAATTTAGGTATTAATGAGAATCAAAGTGAATGAGATTGCTGTGCCATATATATCATTTTAGAGACTCCAAATTCTCCAAATTTAGATTCTGGTTGGTGAAATATATTTCTGATGTCTCATTTAAATGTCAAAAGTTAGGTAAAATGAATCTGTAGCTGTTTGCATCTTGTAATAAACATTAATTTATCAGCAATGCTAATGTTGCACACTTTCCAGAATGAGTCTGAATATTTTTCCTTTGAAAAGTGCAAATCAAAGATTTGAGAACTTATTTCAAGTACATTCTCCTCATAACTACATCTATGCTATTTTGGCTTCTAATTGACTTATCTAAAATCAAAGCTTGTTTTAAACTGAGTCACATGGCAAGGTCAAGACCAAGGATGCAAGGATCTAAACAAGTTTTCCATGAATAAAAAATAGTTGTACAGTCTCCAAAGAAGAAAACAAAGATAAAGAGTGTAATCACTTTATTTGAGTCAACTGCAAGGTCAGTAAATATGTATACTCCGACACTAAGATACAAGCAGAGGGTGTGTCATGCACATGTCAAGCCCTAAGCATACCAATCAAGACTGGCATAAGCTTATCTGTTTTACATACCCTTAAAGAATGTCAACCCAGGTACTCAGAAAATCTCAGCTTGCTGGCTGTGGAGTCTTCAGCTAAATAAAGCATGGAGTGGATGCCACCAAGTGGTAGCTGTTATCACATTACAATTATCTTCAGCCTGACCACGCTTTAGGCCGCCACTTCAGCTGCAGAAAATATTCCTGGTAGAGCAGTTAGTTGGGAACAGAATTCTACTGCTATAAAAAGGGGGAAACAATTCACTAAAGATAAAATTCAGCTCCTACTGCTAATGACAGAACTGCCATGGATTTAAATGACACCAGTATCAACTTCCTTTTGAAGCCTTATAAAACACTGATAATCTTCTCAGTGTAAATCCAAGATTGTCTGAAAGCCCAGATCTGTATAGACAACAAACATGCAAGAGAGACCCTAGGTGCACCTAGAAGAGACCCTCTGACTATAACTGATTATTTGGGTATATCTACACTGCTAAACGTTACAGGGCCATGAGACAAAACCAAATATTGCTTAATTGTTTTATCACTCCTCTACTCTGGCCAGTTCCAAATGGCTCTCTTTCAGACAAAGTACAGGCACAGTGCTGGGAAAAATTTACTCCAGGGAACAATCACAGCAGTCAGTTGGTTGAAACTGCACCAGGTTTGCTGTGTCTGCTCCGCAATTGACTCTCTCCATTCCCTACCATCCTTCAATATTATTGCAGCAAATTTTGCCCCTCAAATATCTCATAAACCACATCCTAGTACATATATAGCCGCAGTTCCATGCTATAAAAACACTCAGGAGGGCTATTTCATGCCTTTGCATTATTTCAGCCACAGTGGCGCCACAAGAGACCCAGAGGAGACATCCAGGCATAGAGTACAGATGCAGCCAGCCTGCTCTATCAGTACTGAGCTAGTAATTACAGTGAGCACATAAGATGACCCCTGCCACTTACTGTTGAGATCCCTGGGAAGCAGTTGCTTATATGGAATCATAGAATCAACTAGGGTGGAAAACACCCTTAAGATCATCAAGTCCAACCGTTACCCCAGGACTGCCAAGTCCACCACTAAACCATGTCACTAAGGGCCCCATCTACACTGTTTCTGAACACTTCTGGGGACAGTGATTCCACCACTTCCTTGGGAAGGCTGTTCCAATGCCTGACCACCCTTTCAGTGAAGAGGTTTTCTCTACTATGCAGTCTAAACCTCCCCTGGCACAGCTTGAGGCCATTACCTATAAGAAGCAATTTAGAAACACGCCTTGTCTACATTGTCATTCTTGAAGAGTACTATAGACATTCTTCAAGAATCCTGCCACAAATGACAGTATGAGTCTAGCACAGAAGACATGAAGAAACGTCCATCAAAGGTATCACACCTGGTACGTGTTGCAGATGCCTGGTCCAAACACGAGCTCCATCCATCTCACTATTGCAACCTCCCTTCAGTTGTAAAGGATCTAGGAGAAATTCCTTGCCTGCTGAAAGGCAAAACAAAGAATTCTTTACTCTCCAAGCTACTTCTCAGGCAGCAAAATGAATTGACACCAGTTTTGTATTTATTTTAATAAACATGGAACTGAAAAAGAAAAATTCTGACTTGCTTGTTCCTGTTGACTAGAATTCATTTCAATAATAAAATATGTCTGGAAAATAACTATTTACTAATCAAAATTATGTACTATGTTAATAATGCAAGCGTCTATTTAATTAATGTGTGTATTATCACAGTTATCTGAAAGCAAAAGGCAGATTAGATTGCTTCTGGCACTAGCCTGAGGGGAATGGCAAGACAGCCTGGCTTCATTGCCTACCTTCATCAGTCAGAGCCCTGGAAAGCCAAGTGAGCTGCTTCAGTGCTACTGCCACTGAGGAAGTGAGGGATGGTGCAGAAGAATGGACAGCAGGCCCACTCTCCAAAGCTGCCTTTCCTCACTTTCCTCATTTATACACTGATTTCAAATAAATCTTTTGCTTCTTACTAAATATTCCCATGGAGAAGTTCAATAATAGTCTCCTTGCAAGAGTCCCCTCTGCCCTGGCTTTCCAGCAACACAAGTAGATAGGCATGGGTTCTTCAACAATGTTCATAATGTGCCTAGATGGCTCAGAACCTTGAGCAGGCTTTGGTAAAGCACTGTGACAGCCTAGTCTAGGATTTCTACAGTGCTACCAATAACAACTGGATCACCATTTATTGACACTAATGAATAAGAACATTCAGAACAGTCTAGACCCCAAATCCAGGAAACAGATGTTTTCCGAAGCTTTCCCTGGCATATGAATCAGTACTCACTACACGTAACTGAGATCATGGTCTGCATCACAAGTGTGATTGCCTTCAATAGAGTATTAAACATCATAAAACAGTGTCAACACAGAACATCTTCATCTGTCAATATATGAGCTGTACGTCTTAATGATAAATCAGAAATAGTGTGGATTAGGTAGACTGGAGAAGCAATTCAAGGAGTAAGGTCCTACTACATAAATGAGAATTTGGGAAAAACGAGTCTGAAAGTGCATATGGTATAGAAAAGTGGCAGCAAGACCAAGACAAAAACTTTCTGACACATCACTGAAAACAGAAGACATCAAATATAACTTGTATAGCAGCATGTTCCAGACATAATTTGCATTTCACCTTTGAACTCGGTTTGCATAAGTACAAACACAGGAGTATATATATTTACCCAAAGGTAAGCAAGGAAGCAAACAGAAGAACTTCTAGTTTATAAAAAACAAAACACCACAAAGCCTGCATGCCTATACCGAACAAGATTAAAGATTTCTCTAGACCTGCCTCCTACCTCTGACAGTGGCCAAACCTCTCTTAAAGAACTAAGAACACAACAGGCAAATGCATAAATCAAGAAGCTTCTACACTCTAACGAATACTGACAAAATGGATGACAGAAGGTTATCCCAGCCTACGGGTATTAGCCTGAGGAAAAGATGTTTTACTGTTTTTCTAATTATGCTGTCATTTTTTTCTCTAACAAACTAACTGATTTTTAATTAAGATATCCAGAACTTGGTATTGGAGACTTGTGCACCAGGGAAGCATGCTTCCCACAAGCTGCCTCATGTTCTTGAGAAAACACAGAAGTAGGAATAAGAGGTGGTCTAGTAAAAGAACTGCACACCCAAAGTAGTGAAATAGCAGGAAGAGGGGAACTATTGTACCAGAAGGAAACACTTGAAATTATTAAATCCCAAAGAACAATCCCCAATCCCCCACTATGAGCTAAACTCATATGCTAAAATTAATGTTGTTTGACATCCAAGGTCTACAGTGATTTTCTATACATATAACAGGATTTGATAGCATAAGTGGATGTGAAAATGGAAAACCTTTTCTTTTTTTTTTTTTAGTTTAAAGATTGTAAAAAATATTCTAAAGTTACAAAACTCACTAGGAGAAAAGAAGCAGTCACATGAACATACAGGCAGCTCATCATTTACAGAGAATTCACACAAACTGCGGTGCACGGATGAACCTCTGGACCCGCAGGGATCAGTTTGTGACAACTATACCATACTGATTAACGTCAGTTAACTTACATGAAAGTGACTGAATATTTTATTAATATTTTACACATATATCCAGGACAAACTCCTTGACAAAATGTGAAAATCCCACCCAGAAAAATGGCTCTACCTTACCAATGGCTAAAGTGTTCCCTAAATATTACAGAATAAATTCTATCCCACTTCATGTTCTGGAAGTTTCCACAGACATGCATATCCTGTTTTTTCTACCCAGCAATGACAGGCAATTCTTCACCACTGCTGAAAACTGCTAGAGTTGTATATAGTGTTGCTCAATACAAGAGTACAGAGAATTTACTCAAGTTCATTTAAATCAGGAGGACTCTGTTGCTTATGCTCTGAGGGAATATTGGAAAACACTGTCAATTGAATATTTCAGAGCTTTCGTATCTTTAGAATTTGTCATTCATAAGATGTCATCATCTTTACTGTGTTATTCTGGAAACTTACTTAGAGGTAATGAGCAGGAAATTTGGCATTACTTTCAACATCATTCTCCACAATTATTTCTAAATCACAGTACAAAAATATTTTCCCACTCCGTGATTTATGCAGCTTGTGCTCTTCTGCACTTTCTGATGACTCAAAATTTCAACAGGCCCTTATGACATTACTTTCAACTTTCTATGTGCAGCTGGAGCTGGTGGACCACACATTCCAGGACTATCTGCAGCATCATATTAAGAACTATTAAGTCCAGTTATGTGCAGAATCAGCATATGCAGATTTAGTTTTTTAACGTCTATGCCAAGTCCTGTACTTCAGTTTGCAGTAGCTGAAGATGAGCTGTCATTCCTCTTTTATGTCTTGCTCCAGTGACAACTATTTTGAAAATAAGGAAAAGTTACTTGTGATCAAAAGCAAAGTGACTTGCTCAAGTGTCAAAACCTGCACAAGCATCAGTCTCTGTTTCTCATTAGTTTCTCATTAGTCTCTCATTTCTTATGTTTCTCATTTGAAGAAAATAACTGTACTTCTAACAGTGTTTAGATAGCACCTCATACACCATTCTGCTGTATATTAAGAATTTCTGGGTATTCAGGTACTTGCTTTGCTTGAGCTCTCCTAGGTGACCGAGTGTAAACATGCTCTCAGTAGCAGCATAGATGTTTTCATCTTTCAGAGCCCTTAACACTACAGAAATGGGTTATAATTTGTGAGCTAGAGGTCCTGATGCACTACAGGGTCTTGTAAAGAGACAAGACCACTGAGGGACACCAGAAGATTCTACAAAGAACACATCAAGGGCAATGATTTGTAATTTAGCACTTAAGACCAAGATGCTATGTGAGCACAAAAAACAGTGTATGGGGGGAGGAATTAACAGGGTAAACCTTGCTCTGATACGTCAATTGTTCGCATAAAGGACAAAGTGCTTAGACTTAACTGGGTCTAAGTAGAGGAATCATGACTGAAATGGAATGGTGTGTCTCAGAAAGTGTACAAGGTAAAAAATTAGTAGATAGCATGAACTATAAGATACTGCACCCCAATAACATGCAGTGTGACATGGTAGAGAGGTGATAGAGCACCCACAGTGGTGCTTGTGTGTAATGAATAAGATTTAAGAGTGGTAAACTCAGATATTGCTACAGTGTGAAGAATTACAGAACTGCACATTAATAACAGTGATGTCATTATTACCTAGGTCATTAAACTGATTTATGAGATTATTAATAGCGGTTTGGTTGTTGAATCACCATTAAAAACTTTCATATCAGGCCTGCAGTCAAAAATTAAGGCCATCAGGTAACAGCTAACCTCTCACCTCCGCATCCTCTGAAGGATATTTTGGCATTAGATGTATTAGTCTGCCAGGTCCTCAAGGACTGTAAACCTCTGTGGTTTTACCACTGATTTCATAAATTTTCCCTTGAGAAAAATGGCACCGTTTCATTTTAGCTTGGTTGGTGCAAACCATTAAATAGATCCTCATTATCTGAAGATTAGTTTGTGAATTAAAGTTTCAATTTAAGTAATCTAAATTATTTTTAGCAGAAAAAAAAAATAATGAAAAGTTAAAAGCCAAACCTTAATTAAATCAGTTTCTCCTCACATGCACAGGCAAGCATGTCAGATTTTCTCCTGCATGTTAGCACTTGTCTAAGCCCTCAGCTCTCGTGCATTGCTGTACGTTCGAGTGGGTTTGTGTTGGACAAAGCACAATTCCTCCCTTTCTTCCTTTAACAGCCTTGCCTGAGTTTGTCTTGCACACCACCCGCTGGGACTTTGCCAGCAGCCTTTCCTCAGGGCCAGCGCTGAAGAGCGTGTCACGCAGCCCCTAAGCAACATTCCCAATACATTGTCTTTACAGAGAGGGGATTTGGGGTTTTGTTTGGGCTTTTTTCCCCCTTTTCTTAAAGACCTTTGCTGGTGCTTGCAGGGATTTTTCCCCACGGCTGCCCAGCCTCAACAGCTCTCCGTGGCAGACTGATGGGCTATTTCCCCTGGTACCGCTTCTCACTTGCCAAGCCTGGAAAGAAGATTTACCAATTAGTTTTACGGATGTAATATTACTAATTTTAAAATGAGACAGACTCCAGCCTTCCCACTGTCTGCTCCTGCGCCGGTACGGGCTTTGAGCTACACTTCTCCGGGGATGAGCCACCTCACAAACGGAAAGCCTCGGCTCAGCCCTGACCTCCGGCGGGCCCAGGGCCCGGCCGCGCTCCGGCCGCCGGGAGGGACGGGGGTGTCGGCGGCCAAAAGCCGGTCTCCGAAGCCCACCCGGAGCCGCACCGCTGCTGCCCGCAGGCCGCACAGCCCCGCGCCAGAGGCGGAGCCGAGGGAGGGCGTGCGGCGGTTGGGTTGGTGTCCATGGAAACCAAGCGCACACGGAGCACCGCCCTCCTCCTGGCCGGGTCGTCGCTGCCGCCATCATGATGCTGCTGGGCCGCGGGATGGACGCCAGGTAACGGGCCGGCAAGGAGCGGAGGAGGCCCGGGGGTGCTATCGCCTCCGGGCCTATTGCGGGTCTCTGCCGGTGTCCCGGAAGGCTGCTCTGGGGGTTCCTATGGCGGCGGCAGGCTGCGCCGTCTGGCCTTCTCGGGCAGCGGAGGAGGCCCGGGCGCAGTCAGGGTACCCGCTGTGCCGCGGGGGTCGGGGGCCATGCGGGCCCGGTCCCCCTTAGTGCAGCCACCCCCCTGAGTGGGGGAACCGCCGCTGTTCGCCTCAGGGGAAGGCCGCAAAACTTTTCTGGGTTTAGTGTGCTCTGCAGAGATACAGGTTTAATCGGGCCTCTCTGATAATGTTGTGGCTACCTCTCAGTGGTCAAAAATAATGAGGGGGAAAAGCCCTTTTCACACCCCCACCTAAGGAAATTTAGGGTTTTATGCCCCAAAATTAAGTATTGTTTGCATGGGAGTACTGTGAGATCAAAATTGCAAAGTAGGTGAGGAAACGTGTTCAAGGCTTCCCCCTGGGAGAGGAACGCTTTCTGACAAGACCTTACAGTAAAGTAGAAAAGATGTACTTTTTACTGAAGATTTTATTAGATGGTACTAACTTTGAAATACAGCTTTATTAGTACTTAACGAGACTCTTACCTTCCCACACACTGGGTGAAACCTTTCCTATTCAAAGGGTTCTATGTTCAAGCATTCCCTGGAGGACTGAACAACTTGTATTTTTGTGTTCTTTGACCAAAATCTCTTTTGAACAGTCCTCTAGACTGCTTGCCAAGAAGTAACACAACCAGGGTTTGCCTGTAGCAGATCTTTGGCATGAAGGATTTTTTTCTGAAGAATTCCTGAAGAAGGGTGTTCTTCATTTGAATTGACTGCATTGTTGCTTTGTCTTAAAAGTATTAAAATTTGGGTTTTTTTTTCTAATACTAAGTATTTAAATGTTGGCCAGCATTTGGAGCTGGGATAGCTTAAGGATGTGAAAGAAGCTTTTGTTTCTGTCCCTCACCATGACAGTGGTACGAGTGAATTCTGTTGCTGAGAATTCCAACACTTGACATGAATTGCCTCATGTAGACCATAGAAGCTTCTGAGGACCCAGTATCTGGCAGTTACTGATGGCTAAATTGTCCTGTAGTTGACTCAGTCAGACCAACAACTGGCATGAATTCACTGACAGTGATTTGGTTTAATAGCATCACTGAAGCATAACTAGAACAAGACCATCAAGTGATTCAGGAATAGGAAAGCAAAATACCAAGTGAAATATGTGAATTAAAAACTCAGAGTTAATTATTTAGATCATTAATAATCACAGAATGGTTTGGGTGAGACGGAACCTTAAAAATCAGCTAGTTCCAACCCCCCTGCCATGGGCAGGGACACTTTCCACTGGATCAAAAGCCCCATCCAATCTGAATCAGTCAGGGGCTTGAAATACACAGCCATTTGGTTCAAATAAGATGAATGTTCTTTCTGTGTTTTTAGAGTTTTCAACTCTGTACTTGTTTCCATTCACTTTTCTTCTGTAATTCTTAGGTATATTTACCCTCTGTAGTGCTGACCAGGAGCAGTTTAGTACCTGTTCACAATCTAAAGAACATTTAATATCTTTGCATATTTGCCCTCCACTGCCTAATTTCTCCAGCCATTGACTTGTCTGTTTACATTGCAGACTCTTGCAGGAAGTTGTGTGGCCCACTCTCCTTTGAGACCTGCAGGTCTCTCTTACCACTATGTTAGTAATTAATGCCATCAGTAATAGTGAACTTCTGATTAACCACAGGAGGAAAACTTCCAATGCTGGTATTCGTAATTAGGGGTTTCCTCCATTGGATCTTTAAGTACAAAACTTGCGCTTTTTTTTTTGTTACTAATTCATAATACACATAGTACATCAAACTGTTACAACCTTATCTTTTTAAGAGTAGATTTGTTTTACATTGAAAAGAGATATCCAAAGCATGTATAAATTACTAATAGTATAATTATATAGCTTTTCTTCTATATGTGTTGTAAACATTTGTCCCCTTCTTATTTCTCACATATTTTTCTTTGGTATCCAGGGACAATCAGACTAGACAAATACAAGATGCTGTTTCAAATGTGGAAAAACATTTTGGTGAATTGTGCCAAATATTTGCTGGATATGTACGTAAAACTGCCAGACTACGAGACAAAGCAGATCTTCTGGTAAATGAAGTATATGCATATGCAGCCACAGAGACACCAAACTTAAAAGTTGGACTGAAAAACTTTGCAGATGAATTTTCCAGACTTCAGGACTATCGCCAGGCAGAGGTACAAAATTAAAGCTGTACATGTTGTGTTTGCCATCTGAACTTTTCAGTCACTTATCTGTGATTAAAAAGGGAAAATATTTACTCTGGTACCACAAGAGTAATATAGGGGAAGACACTTTAAAATGTATTAATGACAGAGCAGGACAGGCTGCCAAAGCATTCATCATTTACTCTGCTAATAACTTTAGTGAAAACTGCCTGTGGTTAGTCCTGCTGAAGTCAGTGGAACTATCCGTACGAGCACTCACACATATAAGACAAAGTCTTTTATTTGTCTTAGGCTTTGGATTATGATTTATGGTTAATAAAGCATTCTTTTAGTTTTGTGACTTGAGCTGTCCAGCAGCCGATGAGGTGAAATCAGTCATTTTCCTTCTGCCGAGTCTATTAATAATCAGAAGCAATACAGAAGAGAATGCTACCTGGAATCCATCACTGGGAACTGACAGCCTCTCTGAGGTGCTATTGGGGACCACTGTAGAACTACAGGCTTATGAAATCAACACTAGAAATACAAACTTGATTTGGACCACGTGACAACATAGTCATGTTTCTTCTCAATAAATGTGAGTGTAACAAAAGGTGCTTATGCCAATTAACACATCTGTATGCAGGGCCACTCAAAGTGTAATTTATGATCCAGAATTCCAAAGATTTAGGAAAAAATAAATTCAAACTGGGTTTTAAAGTACATATCTATTCTTTCAGTAGGGCATAGAAAATTCCTAGTTATAGTTTTGAAAAGCTAAGAAGCATAATTGAAAAAAAAAAACCCAGCTGAAGTAGCTGACACTTTTGATGTTTTCATACAGGACTGTTTTATTTTTAAGGAAGCATAGCAAGTCTTTCTGTATTAACAAAGTAGAAAAAGAAAACCTTTAAAAACAAGTTACTAGACTGGATACCTCAAAAATTAAGTAGATGGTTTGAAAAACAAGAAAAACCCACAGATTTTTAAGTGTATTTAGGGCCAGATTTTTAGGAAGGAGAAATCCAAGGCTGTGGATAGTGGGATTTTTATTTTCCATAAGTGCTTACGCATCTGGCTGCAGCTAAGCCACACATAGGTCCTTATACTTCAATTGACGCAATAGGAATTTATCACTCTGTTAATGAATTAAATTTATATTATGTCCAAAGGTGTATGTGAAGTCAGACTGCATGACTTCTGTGTCCACTTTCACCTTTAAACAATGAATCTGTAATTTCACAGTACCTATGTAACAACTTGAGTTTTGCTGTTTTCAATTTAAGTGTGTTTTGTCGTGGTTTAAACCCAGTCAGGTAATTCGTTTGCTCACTTCCCCCCCTTTTCTTGCCCTCCCCCTGCTCTCGGAGGTACGGAGAGGAGAATCGAAAAGAATGCAACTCCCACGGGTTGAGATAAGAACAGTTTAGTAACTAAGGTATAGCACAAATCACTACTGCTACCACCAATGATAATAATGATAAAGGAAATAACAAGGGAAGAGAATACATCATCTCACCACCAGCCGACCGATAACTCGCCCCCCCTCAGCCCGACCAAGCACCGACCGATACCTCCTCCAACCCTGCAGTCCCCCAGCCCTTCCGGCTAACTCCCAGTTACCTCCTGGGCATGACGTGCTGTGGTATGGAATACCTCTTTGGTCAGTTTGGGTCAGGTGTCCTGTCTCTGCTTCCCCCTGGCTTCCCCTCCTCCCTGGCAGAGCATGAGGCTCACAAAGTCCTTGGCCAAACCAAAACATCCTTGTTATCAGCTCTGTTCCCGAGCTGAAAGTCAAAACACTGCACTGCACCAGCTACCAAGAAGGGGAAAAATGACTGCTACTGCTGAACCCAGGACATGTTTTTAAAAACATCTGGCCTGTATCCTCCTGCCTTGCCTGTCCCCAAGCCCCTTTTGAAGGACAAAAGGCAGAAGCAGCAAAAGAAAAGAGAAGCTTTTATTTAAATCCAGTTCTCCTTTGCTTGTGAAAATCAAATAACCTTAGCTTTATTTCCATTGGGCATCACATTAATAACCAGTTTTCATATACACTGGCATTGTGGGCAAGAGAAAATTAGCTTATAAGGGTTAATGATTTCTGGTCTCCAGCAGCAGTGCTAGATGTGTAAATGCTGAGGTATGAGGTACTTGCACAACATGTGGAAGGATAAGTAAGCAAGATGGGGAGGTTATTTGGTATGTCTGTGTCACATGCTTCATTTAGAACCTTACTGCCCTATTCTTTCTATTGGCAGTTTAAGTGAAATTAACAGTTTGACAGTGCACTGGTAGAGAGTAGTAAAGGAGAATTGTTTGCACAGTCAGCAGAGATTTTGGCTGACTAGCGACTGCCACTTTAAGAGGGGAATGTAATGTCTGTCAATTTTAGTAGAAGTATGTACCTTGTCCTAATTTGGATGTAATAACAAGGGCCAGATGGTACAAAGTCATCAGCAGCTTATGCTGGGGCCATTTGGGCAGTGTATTCAATTTTGACAAGCAGGCAGGTCTTATCCTATTGCCTGTCTGACCATATGTAGCTGTTTTTCTAACTAGGAGAACTGAAACAAAAATTCAGATGCACTCATCTGTGAGAGCGTTCATGCATTTTACACAACCTGTTGTTGATATTTTTAAGATTTTCGTATCTACGATGCTGTTTTCATTATTTTTAAGAAGTGTTGCATTTCATACAGTATGATTGACAGTTTATGGACTAAGCCATCTTTGCTATCAACAAGTGTAGAGCAAATACACTGATATTTAACTTTAGACAGAAAGCTAAGGATCTCCAAGATGCGGTGTTTGATGTATTTAGTGCTGCTCAGTTATTAGAATCTCCATGTTCCATTTATCCTGATGAAGAATAATTCTGCCAATGAAGTAAAAGGAATTCCACTAGAAATCAGCTTGAGCTCCTCAAAATATGAATGATTTACTGGTTAATATATTTATTCTGGTTTTTTTGCAATATTTTTAAAACCTTCACCCCACTGTCTTTTAACCATAAATGGACTAAATTCCTAATAAGATGAATCAATAGTAAAACCATTTCCTGAATCTGCACACTATAGATGTGGATTATTTTACGGACCTTGTGATTTCTTTTGTAGGTTGACAGGCTTGAAGCCAAGGTTGTTGAACCTCTGAAAAGTTATGGCACCATAGTGAAGCTTAAAAGGGTAGGTTAAATGTCTGTTTTCTCACAAGGTACATTTTGGTGTTCTGGACACTCGGTTGCAAACTTCTACTGTATCATAATATATATAAATCAAAAGGTAAAATGACCATTATTTGATGGTATTTTACATACATAAATCTTAGTGTGTTCATCATGGTTAATTTGAGTACTTTGTGGCATCACATCTCAAACTAGCATTTTTCACGGTTTTGTTCTTGTATCTTTTCAGTACTGTGAAGAACAGAGTAGGGTGTTTTGAACTCACTGCACAGCTGTCTCAGTTGTTAGAGAAACAGTTAGGAAGGAAATGCATCCTGCACTTGAGTGCTACTGCATGTGGTATTCCTTAGGAGAGTCGGAGCCTACAGAGCCTGTATCCTAGAATTTGGTGTCTTAATAGTCACTGTGAAACCAGTTTGTGAGACCTAGACCTGACGGAGTATTCTATAGGATGTAAGTGTTGGGATTGGAAGACAAGTTTAATGAGTTTATGACAACACTGCTGAGGAGATACAGAACACTACTGCAGTGCTTGGGTCTTCCAGAGCATTGAAGATACTGTCTTGAAATGCATCACCACCAATAGCCAGTAAATGTCAAGGACAGAGGCGACTGAAGCCTGGTCATCCTTTGTAACAGTAACTGGTATTTCCTCTTGTCTTTGCCTGTCGCAATGCCAGAAATAAATGCCAGCATTACTTAATGTTTATCTTAGCTAGTGAGTACAAGAGCATTGTTAAACTGTAGGTGGGATTAACCATGTTATCAACATAACTTTGAACTGAGAGAGACTTCACTGAAAATGTAGGCCATTAAATGGTTTTATTCCCTCCCCCAGTTACTTGGCAGTTACCATAAACCTAAGCTAAAACTTCAACTGTCTGGTCTTCAGTTATCATCTCTAACCACTGGGGTATTTTTAGTGAAAAAGGAAGTTTTGTTACTGATGTAAAGCTAGCACAGGGTGCTAGCTGCAGGACTGCCTCACCTGTAACTGCATGAGCCAATTAAGTAAAGCCAGGCAGAATATGTCATTACAGCATGTTATAAAAAGGGGATGTTCTCACTGATACTTGTTGGATCTGTTCCAGGGTGTCTACAAACTATTTCTGTGATCTGTCTAAAAGGAACTGTTGCTGCTTCTGTTGTGTTAAGACAGGAATGTCCTGTGGTATCAAATGCATTAAAGAGGCCCAGGTCAATCAGAATAGTGTTGGCCTTTAACTGCCATCACAATAAAATTGTTTCATTCACATCTCCAGGTTTACTATGCTAAGTAGCTATTTGGCAGCTTCAGTGGAAACTAGTATAATATTCTTGTCCTGTAATGCAGCTTAATTGTAGGATTCTAGGATTTCTGTTTCACTGTTCTGTATATCAGTCTTCACTTTTCTGCTTTTGGGCAACTGTTCCTGGATGCTTTTCTTCATGTAAAAACAGGACAAGGTGATCCACCTGCAGAAGAAACGATTGGTTTGCTTTAATAACTTCAGTGACTAAAGCAGGTAACTGTACAGTGCTGAGGATCTGCCAGCTCCTTGTCTGGTGGATGGACTGTAGCTGTACTTCTGTATGGTTTGAAATTAGGTGGGTGACCAGAGTTGTTACGTGTGACTTGAATTCATAGTTCAAAGCCAGAGGGACTATAAATAATTCTGTATTCTCTGTACTTGTCCTTTATCTCACTGGCTATTCTGTCCCATTTCTCTTTGGTTATAATTAAAGTATTTTTCCAAAAATGTATCAAATCTTTGTCTGAAGATACTGAAGAGGAATGTAGGAGAGTTTGTAGTGTAGTTTTAGTTAGTGGTTAGTTGATGTTTGTGGTGGTGTTTTAAATGGAGTTCACCAATGTTTGGTTCTTGTTATATGTTCCACTGAGATTAAAGAGCTCTGTGATGGTCTGTTTTTTTCTGGATTTAGATGCTAGTAAAAACAATTATTAATTCTTTTCATATAGCTAATAATTTAGGTTCACCATAATGGCATTTTCCCCAGCTTCTGAGTATTTTGTTCAGGGTATTTTTCTGCACCTTGATTTTTCAGCATCCTGGAGAAAATATGTACCTTTGTACATCCAAGACTTGCATATAGCTCCACCACTATAGCCACAGTAGCAACAAGTCTTTCTCAGGCTTTGGCTAGCAAAGAAGTATGTTTGATGGAGGCTGTTGCTACAGAGAACAGAGCAGTAGAGAAGGGAACAGTGCTGTCCCTGTAGGTACTTCCAAAGTCACTATGCACTAGAAAGAAAATGCTGAATTTGGTAATGGTAACTCTAGAACCCTAGTGGCTTCCTTAGCATTCTCAACAGTATACTGCATGGAAGTCAGAACTTTCAGGCACAACTTTAAATCTGATTGGCTGGGACGTCAGTACTGTTACCACGGCCATCATTAAATAACACTAAACATGCATTAAATACAAACCTATTTTGTTCAGTGGTAAAAATAAAGGTCTTCCTGTTTTCTACCTTTAATTCAAATTTTAAAATGTAATGCTATTGGTTTTTTTCCATTATTGCTCTTCTTGCATGGTTTTCATACAGGAGAAAGGAAAGCTCCCTCCAACAGTCTTTCAGATGGCCTTAAAGGTGGTGTAAACTCACTTTTGAAAGAACAGCAGCAAAATTAGTTTTGAAGGACTAAAGATGAAGTTGCTTTTATTATAAGAAACTATCTCTCTGTCCCTAAAGATGAAACAAAATGACAGGCATACACACAAGGACATGCCAACAGACAGTAAGGATAGAAACAATGAAGAAGCTGCCATGTTTTGACCCTGACCTCATGTACAGACTCACTATTGAAGAAACAGAGCATGTGGAAACTTGTCATGTTTGTGCTTATCACTGACTAGTGGTCTGGACCACAGGTCACAAGATCGCAAAACTTGTAAAAGAGATGCATTCTTGGTTGTGTGTCTTTACATGTGAAGGAGACCTACAACTATGTTAAAATCCTGAAATCCAAGGAAGGAGCACAAGCAATTTCCCAAGATGATAGTCTTTAATCCACTGTTCTGGCCTTTTTAGAAGAAATGATGGTTTGAAATGCATGCCCAACTCCTGTCTCAGATTTTGTGAGACGTGATTCCCTTGGGCTGTATTTCCCCTTGATCTAAGGCATTGTTCCTTTAAATTAGAGCCATCAAAATTAATACCATTTCCCATACCAAGGTCAATGGAGTGATAAACATCTGACTGGCAATTTTATATTCCGTGTATGCCAAACTACTTGCAAAACACAGTTTTATAGCATGAACAAGAATTCCAGAGTGGTATGTAACCATTCTTAAAACTGTCACAGGTCTTCCTGAAGTACATCCTCCTTCAGAAGTGAGAAGCATAAATACTTAGCAACAGTTTCTGCCTTTTCTAGATCAGCAAGTTTCATCTTTTCTAGCTTTTCTTGTTCCAACTCTATTTAGGCAGTTTACTAACTGCATTTATAAATACGCAGTTTAACCCTTTCAGACATGGATTTTCTATGCCCCTTAAGCTCTGTTTAGCAGTTTTGTGTTCTTAATAACTTCTGACTGGTATTGACTGCTGCCTGTTTTGTTTTTTTCTTACTGATCTATTAAATGCCACTTTTTATTTCTAAGCGACATCTTTATTCCATTGCTAAGTCTGCAGTGGGCCTGTCTTTGTGTTTTGGGGATCTCAGCTTTTGACTATCTACTGTGTTCTTCACAAAAAGCTGTAAATATTTTTTTCTCTTTTCCCCCCACATTTTAAATTGTAGTGTGTGCTACAGAGAGTTGTGCAAGGTGCTAAACGCTCTTGATCTCCACTGACTTCTCTTTTAGGGGATCATTTAATAGAATAAAGATCAGTAAAATCTGGTTTTACTTAAAGCAGAAGTTTCATTTATGTTTTCTAAGCAATGTATGTGTGAAGAAAAGTGCATTTTGTGTTTTCCTAGATCTATTTCAAACATGTCTAAACCATTTTATTTCCAGAATGATCTTAAAGCAACTTTAACTGCAAAGAACCGAGAAGCCAAGCAATTGTCTCAACTGGAAAAGACACGTCAGCGGAATCCATCAGATCGACACATTATTGTATCCTCTATTTCTAATGGTTATAAGAAATATTTTTAAAAATTCTCAGGAATTAAACTAATATGTTTAGAAAGTAGTATGAGAAAAACGCTCTTTGGAGGGACTGTTTCTTATACTGATGTTCAAACTTTCCTTAAACCTTATGATACAGCTTACAAGAGCTGCTTTGTTAGTCCCTTTTTTATTAAAACTACAAAGCATTTGATATGTTTATGCAGAGGTAGGCACAGATCACATCTGGGGATTTGGAGGTTTTTGAAAGTATAATCAGACAACTCCTTTTTTACTTATGTGGGGGGTTGGGGGATTTATTTTTTCCTTGTCACTTTGGTAGTTGTGCTTCCTTGTACCTAGATGATGCTCTAGATGGGGTCTGACTTTCCTCCAACTGAGATGAAGCATGAAAAGTTGTTATTGTTAGTAGAATACTCAGACTACTCTTGCTTTCAAAAGACCAGTGACCCTCTGCAGTATGCTATTAGGTATCACAGAGGGAAAAATAGCTTCCACAGAATTTCCATTAAAATCTCACTGAAGTTTCAAATTCCAAAGCAATCAGAATCTAAGAATGACTAAAGGGGATCAAGACAATCCCACTTCAGTCCCTGTATGAATTATGGTACAGCATTTAAGTTCATAATAATGTGCTGTTTATTACACTCTAGTACTGGACTCAGGAGCAAGGCAGTCTTAGTCTTCATTGGATTTCATCAACTTTTATTTCAGAAATTAGGATCTTTCTAGTGTTTGGGGCATGGGACTGCAGAAAGAGCAGAAATGACTCTGGTGGTCAGATGCCACCCAGGGGAATTACGTTTTATTTTTGTCTCTGCCAAAGAATTCCCATTTAATATTAATTAAAGCAGTTAAATTGATTACTAATTAGAATTCCCCATGTAATAGACAAACAGATGTCAGCCGTAGGGTTAGAACTTGAGCTGTGATGCAGTTTTCTTCCATTGGAAGTAAATGCTAACAGTAATCTATTCTCCCTAAAGGGAGACTGGGCGCATTTTTCTCCCTCTTGTGCTAATTCCCAGTTGATTTCATGGGTATGTGCCTGGCACCTAGCTTCTTTCTTCCTTTCTCTTTTCTAAGCTACTCCCAAATATCCTCCTGTGGCTGAGCTGCTTGCAACACCTGTGTTTTCTATACTTAAGACGCTGCCTGAAGAGTTACTAAACCTCAGTAGAGTCTGGTTTTCATATGGCCAAAGGGATCAAATGCTGTATATTGGCATTTTAAAGTGATCAACACAAAATGCATAAAAAGTACTGGGAGCGGGAATATGTTCATTTGATCCTGAATATGTGTGCAAGTCTGCTTTTATGTTTGAGAGAGGCTTCACCATGTTTGGTAGCACACCTCCAGCAGTGGTTCTCTTATTCTTAAGCAACTGTGATGTAACAGTTTTGGCCACAGATAATAAAGGCTCCATACTTACTCCCAGATTTATGTCTATCTTATAAAAGATGGGGATGGTACAGCTTTGAATCACAATTATTTTTTATCCTGAAATGGTCCACCAAAGCTGTCTGGTTATTTTTATTATTTTATTATTATTATCAGTATTTAAATAAGTAAATAACCAAACTCCCAATCCAAGACAAACAGCTGTCCTGAAATACTTTGGCCTGGATACTTGAATTCTAGCAAAGCTGGAACAAACTATATGTAATGTCTTACAGTAGGAAACTTCAGACAACATCGTAACAGCACCCTCCACATACACAAAAGTTTTGAAATACCCGAGGTAGATACTTCACAATGTGAAAACAGATACTTCTATGAATATTGTTTTGCCATTGTTTTCCTTTACTAGCATTTCCAGTCACAGGTGAGTGCTCCAGAAGAGAAAATACCAAACTGCTGTTGTGCAAACTATGCAGGTTCTGCAAGTTTAGGCGCTTCACTCTGCAACAAACAAAATTCCTTTCTGAAAGCATCGGGGCACAGAATCTTGCCAGTCTGTTTAAGATGGATTGAGAAGATAAATTTATTTATCCTAGAAATAACATGCTGTATTTGCATGTGTAAGGGCTGCTTATGCGTAACAGTTGCCTTCATTTACAGAGAGTGACTGATAGTAATAATTGACAATTCACAAAATGTCTTTCCTTACTCTGATTCCCTCCTGTGTTGGGCAAAATTAAGAAAGGGAGATGAACACGTGACCTTATATATTACTGAAGATGATTATCAAGTTTGTTTGCTTGGTAATGGCAGAGTTGTGCCTATGACTTTAAGCCATTTTTGTAAGACTGTTTCAAATTGATTGTGTAATATGAGGTTAACAGATTTTAATCAGAGAAAATGAAGAGACAGAGCACACTTTATGCCTTAGGTTTCCATATACCTGTAACACTAAAAACTAGATCTGGGAAGAATCCTACATCTTGACTGTAGGATTCAATTACTTGATCCATACACTACTCCCAAATCTCAGGACAAAATATATTATGATGATACTCACTAACAGAGGCTGTAAGTAAATATTTCTTCACTAGTTTTGTTTGACCAGTAATGTATGGAAAATAAGTTTAGACCCAAATTTTATGGTCTTCAAGCTCTTTACATCCTTACATTGTTACTTTGTAATAGTACAACACAGTTCTCAGACTTTACTTAACCAGAATAGCTTCAATACCTTTATTTAAATGGTAGTACACATTTCTATACAGTTTGTAGTTATATCTAAGTAAAATACGTATCTAAAATGCTTTTTGAAGCAACAAAATAAGAAAAACTGTATTTCTGCATCAGGGACTGACTGGTGTGTCCACTTCCCGGTGCCCTACTGCAGATGTTTTTTATAAAATATGCTAGTAATATAAAAATACAAAATACCTGAAATGCTTTTAGATCTAAAAATATTAACTCTAGTCTGCTGACTGAAATACTTACATGAAAAGTGCATTAGTTCCAGCTGCTGCTCTATTGTATATTTAAATAATTTATAAAAATTTAGGAAGATGAGGTTCAGCACATGGAAAAGATTAATCCTAGACCCAGCAGGCTGGTCTGTGCTTGAAAATAAAGGGTGATCTTTTCTGCTCATCCACCACTCTGGCCTGTGCACTCCTGCCCTCTCCTTTACACCGTTTAAAAGGTGTAAAGGCCCTCTCCTTACTCCTTTAAAAAAACCCTCAACTTTTCTGAAGGGTAAACCCTTGAGCTGGGTTTATTCCCTGAACTCAGTCACTGTCATCAGACTCAAAATTAGCAGATGACTATTATCAGAACATAGATTAGGCCAGTGGGACTTTTCCTGACTGGATGCAGCTAGTCATTTTTCACATTTTGAAAGTCACAATGGGGTGGAAGGCACCTTTATTTGTTTATTAAGATGCAAACAAATTTACAAATACACTAATTTAGATGTGTAATATTTTGAAAACCCAGACTTAAATGTTTTCATGGCAATTAGAGCAAATATCTTTGTATCAAACACAGGACTAATTTCACCTTTATGTTACCTTTACCAGGCTGAAAGTGAATTGCAAAGAGCTTCACTGGATGCTACTCGAACAACTCAGCAACTGAAGGAAACCATTGATAACTTTGAGAAACAGAAAATAAGGGACATAAAAGTACGTGTGCTCACATTTCAGTGTGACATCACATTTCATCTTGCATAATTCCTATACTCTTTGGCAAGATTAGCAATGTTTAGTATTAACATAAGCCTACATAAATGCAAATCATGTGATATTCATGAATATTTCATAATCCAAATATTTTGAAGTTTTGAATTTAAAAAATCAGTTCATTATCCTTACAGTTTATTGAATTCAGAATTTTGCTGTATCTAATTGTTTAGTGCCTGCACCTTCCAACATTTGCTGTGTTCTACTTTACTGGTAGCTGCATTTGTTAGTGGAATGATGTATGTAGATTAATATCAGCAAAATTATCAGAAACAGTGGTAAGTAAATAATATATCTATCCATGCTGAGACTTGTGGGGGTTACTCCAGTTAAAATTTTTACTTGATGCCAGAAGCGCAAAATGTTTAGTAACTGCAAGTAATCAAAGCCTTCATTTCTCTCTTAATGTAAAACATGAAGTGGCATAAGTCCCAAAGACTATAGTGGCTGAAAACCACCTGCATTATGTGATCTCGGATTTAATTATAAAATTGTTGATGTAAGATACTTTTTTGTTGGAGGGGAGACAGACTAAATATGAAAGAACAAAAGATGGTTGAAAAAAAACAGCCAAACCAACGATGTAACTTGATGTTACCGTAATATGAAAAAGATTGCATGAGATCTGAAGATGTCAGCATTAAGTAGGGGTTTTATATATAAAGTATATTTTGTTATATAAAATGTCATCTGTAAATCATATATAAAAATATATATAATTTTTATATATTTATAAAAATTGTATTTCTGTACCGATATATAAAGTATATATTTATATGGAATATAAATATATATTATATACATATATATATTTTTATATAATTTAGAGATAATTTATCCCCAACCTGTTAAAAAAGATAAAAGTAAAGCAAAAAAAAGATACAGTAAGGCAAAAAATCCAGACTACATCTTGCAAATACATACTGGGGAACATTAAGTGAGTTTTCAGAATATTTTATTCATTCCTAATGAGTCCGCACTTGCTTTTCAACTGTTTACTTAGAATTTAGTATGAAATGACAACTGCGCAAGTGACGGCCCAGCCAGCATTTATATTTGATTTCTAAAATTCAGGTCCAACTACTTAAAATTACTTGGTATTGTGCAGTTAATTGTATCACGTAACTACCAAGTACAGAATTCAGAAATTTCTTGAAGTGAAAATGTACTTTACTGCATTAAGAAAACCTTTGGTTTTGTTTGCTTTTAGAACATATTTTCTGAATTTATAACCATTGAAATGTTATTCCATGGGAAAGCTTTAGAGATATATACTGCTGCCTACCAAAATATCCAAAATATTGATGAAGAAGAAGATTTAGAGGTAAGAGTGATTAAGATTTTCTTTTCAATTTACATACTACATAAAAAAAATTTCCACACTTAGGGACTATCCATGTCACAGGTAGAAAATGTAACGTATGTTTCTGGTTCCCAAAGCAAGCTTCTTACATATACCAAGCCTTTTTTGCACTTCTGCAGCAAGAGCGTACAGGTTTACAAACTCAGAGGTGTTAAAAACAGAGAACTGCAGTGGCAATCTAATCTTTCCCACAAAACACAGATGAGACTTTCCTAAATTAACTGCCACTCCCAGCTCAGCTCATCATAGTTCTTAAAGAACACCTCTGCAGTGATCTCACTGTAAAGATGCACAGTAGAGACAATCTTACACTGCTGTGAGAAGATGTGCTAAAGACTAATTCATTAAAAATATCTCCTTTCTATTCTGAGTTTTATTTGCTTATTTTTGTCTTTCAGTCATTTTTTATTAGACTGTTCTAGAATTTGGAGATATTTGTAATCAAATTGCTTTTTTTTACCTTATGGCAGTTACACCTCCTTTTCAAGTCACCCTTTCTGTTCTCTGAGTTACAGTCTCCCTTTCCCAAGACATGTTTTTCAGCCCTTTATTCATTCTTGCAGTTCTTCTGGATGTTGGACTTTTAAACTTGTACGTTGCATATGTGTGTTCAGCTTGTCAAAGTTGGATCATTTTTGGTCTGTTTGGTTTTCTTTTGTGGTTTTTTATTTTTTTTTTGGCAAATCTTATCAGTCCTTATTTATTTTTATTTCATTTTCCATAACACAGCCGAGGAGCAAGGATGGCAGTATTCATTTAGTGTAAGACATATAGAATCATGATTCTTTAGTGACAGTCACATTTGAGACTGCTTAGTATTTTTACTTTATTTAAACTACACCGTGGCAGTTTTGTAGTATTCTAATTTTACAATTAAAATGTCATGTGGCACCAATTCAAAAATATTCTTCAAGTCAGTACTTTCACAACCAAATTTCTAATCTCCTTTTAAACTGCCTGTTAATTGGACAATATTTACTCTCCATAAAAATACTGACCATAATTCTAGTATCTTGACTTTTTTAATAGGTGTTGCACAAGCAGCATCAGGCTGTTAAGTCTTAAAATTTATTCTTTCTGTCTGTTGGAAAGAACTTATAATGTATATTCTAGTTTCTCCTGTACTCTAAGGGTTTCCCAAATTTTCCATGAGCTGCACAGGTGAACATATCAGCTGAATTTTTTCTGATGCAGCTGTGACTGGTAGCAAGGATTTGCAGGTGAAGGGGCTAGGAGTTCACCTCCCAGAAATGTAGACCTGAAGGGAGTTGCTGGGGCTGGTACCTCTAGGTTAGCCTGAAACTCAGCTGTGTATGTCAGTGGGGAACTACTGCAGTTTTCCACCTGGTAAATTCCCTCAGATCTCTTTGACCACAGTAAATATGACAGATCTCAGGCTGAGCAAGGATGTTTCAACTAGAAGTGTTGATCAACTACTGTTGATGCAGATCTCTAAAGCAGGTTCAATTGTCCAGTGCTGCATTTTTGTTAACGTCAGTCTTGGTGAACGTATCATGGCACCCAAGTCACAGCCTTCTTCATCTGAACAGGTTTTTCGGAGCTCACTTCATCCACCTGACTATCAATCTCGCTTAGACATAGTTCGTGCAAATTCGAAGTCCCCCGTACAAAGAACTGGCTCCTTAAAATCTTCATTGAGGACAGTACAGGTAAGAAAAAATAAATGCTAGATCACTGTATTAAAAGAATGTCTTAAGGTAGAGCCTTAGCTCCATGGACATGTACATGGATGCACTCACTACATTTACTCAGTTCAGGACAGTTCCAAAGATAAACAGTTTTCCTGGTGCACAGTAGTTTTTTTTTTCATAGGATGGCTCCCCACTATGAGAAAATCTCTTTAGGGGTTATGGTCTTTTTTTAAACATGACTATTTCAGATACTTTTACATAATTTCTGAAAAGGCTATTTAAGTACTCATTATAATCTTTTGTAAATCCCTCTGTTTACTTGGCAATTTTAACTTCAGCATTTCATTTTATTGAAGCAGGGTGGTATGTTGTAATTTAGGCAGAACTACAGCAGAAGCGAATGACCTTTTCCAGATATTTTAAATTAAACTTAACTATGCAAGTTTTATCCACAGGCATTTAATATAGCCAATTGTTTTGCACCTGCCCTCAAAGTATCATTTTAACCATGGTTGAAAATGTCTATATCCAGTGCTCCAACACTGTCTGCTGTGTAAGACATGAGAAGGGAACTGGCATGCTTTTTGTAGTAGCACACAGTGAAACATGCAGCTTAACTTAAGCAAGGACAGTCACCACCTATGTGCAAACATAGGAATTCATTTTCACATGACATTTTGAGCAACAAATTGTCAGATTCCATTACATTTTTTAATTATTTTTCTCAGCATTAAGTAATCAAAAAATGAATTTTCATGTACCTGTATGTTCTAGCTTTATGGCAAAATAACATGAATTAATTTCCTTTCTCACTTTATCCTTACTCTGATCCTTTTTGGCTCTTATGTTTAGCTATCTGACTACCACCTCACCGCCACCAGTGTTAATATTTAATTTACTATTGAGTTAATTACAGCATGGTCAGAGGTACTTGGGTAGCAAGCAGAAAAAAAACCTTGAAGCCAACATAGCACCTCCTATTTCAGAAATAGGACTGAAGTTCTTCTTAAGAATTTTAGATGCTCTTAACTAGAAAAAACTTGGAAAATGAGTCTATCCAGTGCAATGAAGCTACCTTTAACAGGCTCAATCTGCAGCAATCCTTGATCTCCAATTACAAATCAGTATCATTGTCTTTTTCTTCTTTCACAGAGTGAAACAGTGCTGTTTTAGGCATTTAGATTCAAGTTAACCCAGCTTCATCCAATTATTAACTCCATTTTCTGTTATATTCAGAGATTTGTAAGCAAGCACTTCTTCAAGCTAAATTATGTACTTTGTGAGCATCAACAAGACTAACGATTTTTCTGCTTTCATTAGTTCAATGATTGCAGTTTGCTTTATGCATGCACAAAAAAACTTTTGTTACATACATAGCTGTGTGAATTATGAGATCTCAGAAGTCAATTTAATAACCAGCATTTAAGGACTTTTAAAATAGGGGGTTGGTTAAAAAAAAAAAAAGGAAGTTTTGTCTTCAATACTGAATTTTTATTATATCACTGTGTATAAGAGAACTCAGAAAATATAACCAAAATTAGAGCTGCAGATGCCCTTAGAGAACTGCTGAACCTAAAATCATTTTTCAAAAGCTTTGCAGATGACTTGGATAACTATCTTTGAATTTAGTGTTTCTTTTCTTGTGGGGATAGAAAAAAATATGTATTCTACTTTAAATTTTAAATGTTGCATCTTCTGTGAATAATCTATTTTCAATAGGAATAAGATTGAGCCGTCATTAGAAAAAAGTATAGATTGCAGAATCTGTCAGATGAGATGAGAGCTTGGCAGCTGGCACTTGTTTTTAACATTTGATGAACCAAAAAAGGATCATTCTGAAGGGCAAGCACTGATGGGCAGGGAAAGAAGTTCATACATGAATCAAGACTCTTCTAGTAAACTTTGAATAATTTATTCCCAAAACCATCTTAGAGCAGCACAGTGCTGATTTTTTCACTTCACTGAAGAGGTTTGATGTCTTTCAGATAAAATTACATCTTAATAGTCATCTTCAGCCTGCTGCCTCACCAGGCAACTTGGAAAAAACCTGACTTACAGCTTGTTCATTTTTAACATTAATTTGATCAACACATAGTTTTCCCTTCCCTATAATAGGGCTCAGGATTATGGGGATTTTCTTAGTTTTAAAAACTCGTTACTGTACTTACATTCTGTGCCATGTATCTTTCTGTTGGCATTGTGCATATTACTAGAAGTTGAAGGGTTAAAGGATAAACTACTTACCCCTCACACACACACAAAGGAACAACCCTCAAGTACTTAGACTAGGAATGCTAACAGAAATGTTTTTCTTTTAGGAGAACAAACAGTTGATTTACTTTTGTTGGATTTTTGTTTTGGCAGATTTCCAGTATGCTGAGAAAAGAGGAAGAAGAAGAGGAGGAAGAGGAAGATGAAGAGGAGGAAGATGACGAAGAGGACGAATTAGATGCTCCAAAAGAAGTGAGATAACAAAACTGTTCTAAAAGTCTTTTTTTGATTGGGAAAAAAATATTTCCCTTTATATAAAGTCTTTGTGTGTTAATCAAAAACTTCACTGAGGCTGCATTTTTAAAATTCCAGCAGAAGAATTGGCACTAATAGTAGAGTTCCAATTTCAAATAATGGAACAAAATCTGCTGAAAATCGACAATTTCAGTAGCTAGAAAATGAAATATTTAAGTAGAATCCTGTATTATACTTGCATAAATGTTATACCGCAGTCACATTTGCTAAGACTTACACGATGAATGTTTTTCAAAACTTGCACTAAGCTGACAAGCAGTTCTGAACATAAGGGTTTGCTCATTACTTTGCCAATATATTACCTTACTCTCTACCTGCACACCTCTTGGATTTAGTAAGTCTTCTAGCTATACCTATCAGAATTGGTTTATGTGTCCTGAAGCAACTGTAGTACTCACCAAACTCATGACAGCAATAACCCTGTTAGTGGGTAGCCAAATGAAATCTTTGGACAGCAGAAGACAGGGTGAGGTCTGCTGTTTTCTCATTCTATCTTCAGGCTTGACTAAGATGACTTTTGATTCCTTTACACATACAGAATGAACGTTCACCAAGAAGGACCTAGCCCGATATCTACGCTGAATGCTGCTTTGCTTTTAAATAAAAGTGCCTTTATAATAAAACTAATTGATATTTTATATAGTTGATATTTATCAGTTGACATGCTATATACAGTTCAAGTTTCATGTGTTTAACTGCTTGATTCAGTTACCGATTAAACATACAAGAAATTACACATTTTGAGTGTAATTTCTTACCCTGTTTGGAAATAGTGGTTCTGCATGTTCATTTCTGAACAGCATACAACTGTCTGCCAGAAAGCTACTACTGTATTGTTCATCTCTGGCTTTAGCATCCGCTGAGGAAAGAACACATGTATAAATCTGGAATTTAAACCTGCAACTGGGAAAACAATCTTTTAAGTTATAACCAAATACTCTTAACAGTTACAGAAATAAATGAGGGAGTGCATTTTAAATATTGATGCTGCCTTTGTCAGCTTATGCAAAGTATGCAATGCATACTTGTTCTGACAGGTCAAAAAACAGGTTTTGCCAAAAAATAGTGTGATGAAAATACAAGTAAAGATTTCACAATATGGGATTGTTTTAAACTCAGAAAACGGTTTTGCACCAAAATTACATACTGGTGACAAGGAGTAGAACACTAATGACCAGGAACTTTAAACCAGGTAACTAATTCCCCTCTATTTCTGTAAGTAGGGCACTTCAATAAATATCTGTATCACATCAGAATTATGATGATCATCACTTTACCACTTCATATTCAGTGAAGTCATGTAGTCCATCTCCAAAACTGGTGGTTAATTCCATGACTATACCAAGTTTTCGTATCATATATATATATGCAAATAGCAATTATTTTTGTACTATGCCATGAAAAAGGAATGTGGGGGGGAAGGAAGCAGTGTTTAATTTAATTTCCACTAAAAGATTAGCAGCTGGGGTACAGAAAGTTGTTTTTTTTCCTCAGCAGCTTCACATTCTTTCTCATCCCCTACCTCACAAAAATCAACTTTAGGAATTACAGAACTTACAGCAAGGAAGAAGTACAGGTTGGGCAACTTTGTCCTGCATATATAAGGTTGTAGGTTTAAATGTTGGACAGAAATTGTGTGGCCTCCAAACTATAGATTAAAAAGCCACTGACTGAAGTATTTTAAAGCCAGAAAAATTTAGAATGTAATTACAGCATCAAGTATTACCTAAGATACTCATGGCATGAGTGTTTACTGCAAGACTGACAGTAATACATTTGCTCATATGTATTTTTGACTACTGACACCTACATGATGTAGGCTTGTATCCATTCTTGTTAAGAATATTTTGCCATTCTGGTCCATCCCTTTGGGACTAGGATTATATACTTGTACTCATCAGGTTATCCTATGTTACAGCTTTCCTGAAGGCCTCAAAGCTGCTTCTGTACATGATCACTATTACTAGTGTTTGACAATGGAGATTGTCCTCCTTTATATCGCACTTTTTGGACAGACAATGGTAGCAAAAGCAACTTCAGAGTGTTACTAAGGAAACTAGCTGTATTTTACATCAGTACCACAAACTGCAGCATTGCATTTGTTACTCTTTTTACTATAATGGATGGTACTTAAAAATGAAAAGCAGTAATTCAAGCCATGTCACTGCAGACTCTTATATGTGCTTTATACTTAAAAGTACAGCGCCTCCAAGCCATTAAACATCTAAAGGTATAAACCCCTATTATTATGCAATGCAATGCTGTCACCACACCATGCACCTGTACCACCTGTTTAGGCAGAATCAGAATATGATGCCCACATATACATATGGAGGCGAAGATGGGGAGGGGGGAAGAATGGGAACAGGACTGGAACAGCCCAAAACTAGCAAGATAACACCTGTAAAATGAGCAACAACTGTACTATTAACCTCATTATTTAGCTGATGTGCAGGCTTCCCTTCCCCATTTCTCTATGCTTTAGACCATCAGTGCATACTTTGCACCACAGCTTTTTGTCTTAGAGACTTTTTAAAAAAAAACTACTTCTTTGGCCTCATCTGGCTTTAAATTAAAGGCAAATAATCTATAGGGGAAAAAAAATCATTTTAAAATACCTTCATTGTAATCTCTGCCATTATAAGCTTTAGGACTATGTACTCACTAAGGGTAGAAGTTTACATCGCCCAGACTAATGGTATCTTATCAGCAATTACTCTTTCTTGAGGATAGATAATGCTTTTTCTAAGATATTATCTCGCACTTAGCTGGGAAAAACCCCACTGAACTCCTGTATCTTTCCAGTATCTAAATCCTTCTACAGTTGTGTACAACTCTAGAAGCACAGAAAAAGTTTACCTTATTACTTTCAGTGCTTGAAATCTGCTGTTCAGTAGCTAGAACTTTTAAAACCAACAAATCATCTAACACTGATTCACTGCAAAAGTTAGTTTCATTCACATTTACAACATGGCTGATAATAGGCAAGAATTAGTAGTGAAGATTATGCTAGCCTACAAAGATAACCAAGATGAAGTTTTCAACAGCATGCTTAGCTCAGACAAGGTTTTTGAGTATTCTCATGAAATACCTTTATATTCCTGCAATGTCTTCTGGCTCCTTGATCTCTTTTATAGCTGCTATGAAATAAAAGCACCAATTTGCTGGGGTTTGTTTTAATCCATTTAAATTCAGAGGAGAATTCAGAACAGTAAGCTTCTGAAGCTAATTCCTACCAGACAGCAACAAAAGGTATGCAGATGTTCAGAATTTTAAAATTTGGCCACATTTAAGTTTCTTTGCTCAGAGATATACAGACCTCGCATTATCATTCTCATTCAAAATGCTTTTTCTTGATTTTATTTACTTCTACTTCAAGTAGTTTATATAGAAACTTAGTAATAATGATGATTTTACGTAAAGTAATTAAGGTGATCAGTTACTGATTGATAGTTACTGGAACAGGCAGCCCAGTCTCTATCCTTAAAAGCTAATAAAAATCCGACTGACAAGGCCATGAATAACCTGTTCTAGTTGACGCTGCTTTGAGAAAGGTGTTGGACATGGGATCTCCAGGTCCAGGTCCCAACCTCAACCACTCTACAAATTGTTTCAGTATTGCCTGAGCAAAGGTTAAAACAACTTTTCATCACCAAGTTGCAACTTCGTTGTTTTACTTTAAGAGGGAACTAAAACTTCCTAAAATTCTTTAGTACTTTTCAAGTACTATCTTATATGGTTGTCAACTAAGTCCTTATCCACACAACCAGTTTCCTACTAAACTTGAATTTTGAAGATGCAGTTTCTCCTCACACAGGCTTTTATTTCTTCCTAAAATTTACATATGCTGGTACCAAAGTAGTAGGAGCATTCTAAGTGTTGACGTAAGTAAGTATTTATTTTCTTATGTAAGAAAATAAGGTAGTTGGCTGTCAGCACGGTTGCCAGTGACAGATGTTAGTTAAAACTAGTAAGAGATTGACCTGGAATGCATCTAGAAATCATCAGCAAGTTAATATTATGAACACGTGGAGATAAAACAGACACCACTGAAGTCAGAATTCTTGATCCAATTCCAAAATGAATTTTCTGCCTCAAGGAACTACAGTGAGTGAAGAGGACAAGAAAGCCTATCCAACTGATTACTACAGGTTTTGTTATCAAACTACCTGTTCAGCGGTGTGTTGACAAACTGTAAGAGTTCACTCTTTCCAGATGAGAGAGCCAGCATCATTCTCACCAAGGCTCACGCGTAATGAGCATAATAGTTAAGATCATTACCTACACAACTTTTAAATATAAGACACACATTTAATGGCAATTTCTCGTTTTATTAAAAAAAAAGTTGCAAAGCCAGCTAACGTGAACAGGAAGCTCTTTTGTCTTTTTTTAACAGGAATGCCTGCAAACACATGAAACCGAACAAAACCTCACCAGTTTATACCAAAAAAAAAAAATAAAAAAAGAAGTATTTTTTTTAATTCCATAAAGCTAACCTCAGTAAGACGTGTTAGTTACTAATGCAGGTAGCACTGGAGTTGTTTGAACTGTTGACTGGTCAATGAACCAGCACTTACATTTTTATTTGATGCAATGTAATGGGACATGGAATTAAAGCAAACTGGGGAAAAAACAAACAAACAAACAAAAAAAAACAGAAAAAATAATTAAAAAAAAACACAAACCCAAAACATTACAACTCCATGCCTTTATACCTTGGTGTAAGACATTCAATGTCCTCATGAATTTCTGGGCTCTCTGCTACAAGTAGGCACAATACATTTCTCGTATCTTACCATACAAATATTTCAACCAAGAGCTGAACAACTGAACTAGATATTTACAACCATTCATAGAAACCATTTTCTGCATCTTCCGGTAATTAAAAAAAAAAGTTAAAATAACTGTCAATACTGTCAAATCTAGAAAGTCTTACTCTAGAGAATCTCTTCCTGCTTTACAGCAAGCTCAACTTAACTTTCCGTTGACCAATCGGCCTATCATTCAGTTCATTAATAGCAGCCATAGCTTCCTCATAATTTGTCATAGCAACAATGGCATCACCCGAAGGTAATCCTTGTTCATTGTACTGTACAGAAACTGATTCCGGGATCACTCTGTAGCCATAGAAAAAATCCAGAATCTCATTAGGAGTAGCTTTAAAAGGTAAATTTTTCAACCGAATAGGAACAACATGCTCAGAACCACCACTAAAATTTGGATCTGGCATAAATCTTCCTTCAGGAAAACCTCCCATTTTATTATTCCCAAACTCCATTCTGCCAAAAGGTTCACTGTCACCACCAAAATCCATGAGGGGTGGCGGACCTCTAAAATCCTTAGGAGGGCACATGAAGTCCTCAGGGGGATGCCTAAATTCAGAAGGATGCCTGAAGTTTCCAGGGGGACCAAATGAATGCATAGGTGGCCCTTGTGGTGGCCCAGACGGTGAGCCAACTGGACCTCTGTCATACGGACGTGAATTACCCTGCATTTCATTTGGTGCAGACAACGGTACACTTACACCAAACTTCTGCATCTGGTCTTCAGATATAAGTCTTATTAATACCTCTGTTCCCAAGAATCTCCGACGATTTAAGTTTTCTGCTTTCATGGCTTGTTCTTCAGATTTAAACTTCACTAATGCTTCTCCCAGCCCAACTCCTTTGTCATCATAGAGCAAGTAAATATCATCTTCATCAATATCAAATCTCTCAAAGAACTTTTGTACTTCAATTTTTGACACATCAAATGGAAAATTCCTTACATAAATACATGTCTTAGGGCCGGAATGACCTTCCCGGTAACTTTTTTCTGGTATGGCCTGTCCAAGATGATCTCTGTCCTGTGATCTTTTCCTCTCACAAGAGTCAATTATTTTCAACATTGACTTTCTTGAAATTGGAAAAATGTAAACAGGACGATTGAGAAGAACCCTTCTGTGACATTCCAAAGCAGCCTGATAATCTCTCTCACTCCTTAACATCACAAAGGCATCCCTAGTCCTTCTCTGATGCTTATCTGTTAGAAGCTTGATCTGTTGGCTACATATATCCAGGTCAGGAAAAAAATCTCTCAAATCTCTTTTCTCCACATTAGTAGATAGATTTCTTAAGTGTATGTAATATTCCTGGTTGGGAGATGAACGGGAACGTGTTCTTTGTCTCCTTGGTGATCGTGAATGAGAATGCTTCCTTGAATGCATGTAGCCTGAACTTCTTGGAGAATGGTCTTCACAGAAAAAGTCATCGATTTCATCTGGCATATCCACCCTCCCACCATATTCAATCCACCGTTCCTCTGTAGATGGGCTAATTTCTATGAACCTCTGACCCATGTACTGTCTGTGACGTTTAAGTCCTTCTAAGGCATCACCTGGCGTAGCGAATCTCACCAAGCAATCGCCATTGTTTAAACCATTGCGATGCTTTATCATAATCACTCCGTCCACATGTAGCCCAGAAAGGAAAGCACGTACTTCATCTTCTGTTGCAGAGTAGGGTATACCACGTAGAAATAAGTAAAGATCATCTGGGTTAAATGGATGACATGCCTTTCTTGACTGATAGTTTGATTTAGGCATACCTATATTACCATGCCTTGCACCATTGGCATGGAAACCAGCCTCCGGATGATTTGGGGGACCATAGCCAGGTTTATTCATTCCTTTGGGAAAAGGCGTGACTAAATGTGGCATGTCTCCAACACCAGCACCAGAACCGTTAGTACCTGTTCTTCTAGAGCCAGCTATATTTTCTCGTCCCCCACGGTCAAATCGTTTCCGGCTCATTTCTATGGTATTCTGCATCTCTGCCTTGCTGCTGAGAAACAGCTCTATGCGCGAGTCCTTGATAAACCCTCCTGAACAGCTCATGGCACGCCGTGCATCTTCATCTGTTGCAAATATAATAAAAGCCTCCCCAATCTCTCCTCCAATAATATGCACACCTCCATCAGGAATATTCAATCCCAAGAAGAAACGACGAATATCTGCAGGACCCGCAACAATAGGAAGCCCCTGTAAACGGATGACTACAGCCATGCTGAGCTCAACCCACAGCAAAAATCACCTGCAGACAAAAAGGTACACATGATAGCACGTCTTTAGTACTCGGCTATTACAGTATCTTAACACTTAAGAAGCTAGAGCCTTTTTAATGAATGTCCTTGTCTCAATCGAGAGAGAAGGTATCAAAAAACCCACAAGGTCACAAAACCAAGATTAAAACAAGATTCACTGAAAGTTCATTAGTCAGAACAATTAGCTGCTCCACCAGCACATGTGCACAACTCTATCAATATTCCCTATCCTAGGGGCAACAAAATCCACCTACGTCACTCCTCACCGTCCAAGATACCTACAGAACACCTGAAGTCTTTCATGGCATAGTTACTGTATGCCAGAAATCTCTGCCCAGTCCTAAGGAACAAAAAAAAACCTGTTTATTTTTAAACAGGATGCTTGTGATCGTAACACAGAAAATACTAGATGATAAAAGGAGAAAGGAAAAGAGTAACTGTATCACTGGAAAATGAAGTAATTCACCAACAGTGATGACTTTACTGCTTCGACAAATTGTTCTACCCAGTGATCAATTCTGTTCAATAACGTATGTTTTCTCTGCATTCAAAAATGTTGCCTTTTTCAGGTAGTCAGAGTATTAACTGCAGCAGCCACATGTACTCAGGAGAGCATATCCTAGCTCCCAGCCACAAGTGCAAGAAAAAAAGGCTGAGTACGATCTTGTCACAATACTCAGTGAGAAGTGTTAAGCTTTTGGCAGCTTACCTGTTTCTGCTTTGAAGACCTGATAAATTCTGTAAAATCAACTTAACTGTGGAAAGAAAATGAAACATAATTAATGGCTGATATCTGTACTTTGCTTCATATACTGTGCTACACTGCTGCAGCTCATCCTTAACAATGGCTAATATTAAAGCCAAGCATGTAATGAACCCACAATCTGGGATACTACGAAGAACTCCTTCCACGTCCCAAGATGTTACGCACTGCATCTTTGTGTTTCCAGTTTAGAAGCAAAAAAAAAAAAAAATAAATCACAATTTTAGTTGACTTCTGGAAATGGTGAGAGCACGATGAGATTACTTGGTCATCACTGTGCGACACTGAACTGTTGAAATGAAACAGACTGACAGTATATTGAGGGAAAAACTCTCAATTCAGTTCTTTCCGGTCCTTGAAAAATGCGTGAAGTCCACCTCAAGGTTACAGGAAGTGTCCATTCTTCTGAAATCCGCCCGCTTTCAAAGTTCACAAGAGTATGCTACTCACCAGCCCAGCACTGCACTTAAAGGACACAGCAGAGACAATCAAATGAAAAAAAAACAAAAATATCCAACATGAAGAAACTTCAGGGAGCACTCCGACTGCAAAGCAAATTTCAGTATTTTCTCTATATGTTTACTGCCTTTCAAACATAAGAACAAGAATCAGTTTGATAACACCAACTTAAACCTATCCTGATTTTCACCATTATCTAACACCACACAACACATAGCTCCGCACTCTCAAACACAAGCTTCTGTGCCAAATGATTACATCCCTTTAAAAAAAAACAACACCGAAACACCAAGATTCCAGCACTCTAACAACTGTTTGTCACTATCCAGTGTACAAACTCCCTGCTCAATAACAAATGTAAAGCACTAGATCCCGATCTACTGATAACAGTAACTATCACTCCATCTGTATGTTTAGCAAAACAAGAGCAAATCCCAACTTCAGTAACTAATGAATTCTACATCACTTCTACATCAGCACTTTGTAAGCACAACAAACTGAAAAAAAACCTGCCCACTTAGTAACTTCACTGAAGATCATCTGTTCTATTTCTGTGGCGGGTTGACCCCGGCCAACAACCGAGCACCCACACAGCCAACTGTTCGCTCCTTATCCCCACCAGTGGGATGGGGAAGAAAACAGAAGAACAAAGTCAAGAAAACTTGTGGGTCCAGATGAAGACACTTTATATTCAGTGAAAATGATAAAAAAAAGTAAAGCAAAGGAAATCACTCTTCACCTCTTCACAGGCTGAGTGAGGTTCACCCTGCCTCAAATAACAAGCACCTTGGAAGTCAATAAAAGTCTCCCACAGAAAAACGCAAAATGATCAAACAAAAACCTTCTTCCTCTACCTCAGTTTTTGTTACTGAGCATATTACATGGTACAGAATATCCCTGTGGTCAGTTTGGGTCAGTTGTCCTGGCTGTGTCCCCTCCCAGCATACTTGCCACGGTGGCAGAGTAGGGAAAAAAAGCAAGCCTTGACACTGTGGATGCACTGTTCAGCTATAGCAAAAGCAACGATGTGTGGCCAACACCTAGCCACAAATCCAAACCACAGAACCGTATGGGCCACTATGAAGACCGTTAACTCCATCCCAGCCAGACCCAGTACATGTTATAATGTTATCTTCTCAGCAGATGTGACGACAATGCCAGAAAGCAAGGAGAATTCAGGGGCCGAATTTTCTTACAGGACCTTCGTGTCTTGAAAAATCAAATCCGCTGCCCTGCTACTTCATGATGTATTTAATTTGTAGTATTTCTGAATTTCATCACTCTGCATACTTATCCCAATTTTTAAGCAGCATTCGGAACAGATCTCAGTATTTCTTCCATGATAAACAGCAAGTTCTCCACGACGTGCCAAGGATGAAACATACAACCTTCAGTGAAAACTAGACACAGCGATTCCAGATCACGATGCAATATTTAAGAAGTCCACAAAGAGAAATGCCAGTTCAAATAAGAAGCTTTTTCTGACTGTATACTAACGATCAAGCATTGGTAGAAGGTACAGACAAGCCATCCAAGAATTTAAAGTGAATTTAAAAAATTAAAGAAGAGTAACTTTTGGGTTGAAAGTGCCACACAAAACTAAGCCCAATTCATGAACTCTGCAAAGGCCTCAAAGACCAGGAATTTAAATTATAAGTAACTGACAACTTCATGCCACCAATTTAAAAGCACAGAAGCGTGCACAGTCTTAAGAAATCTTGTATTTTAACCGAATTAACTAGAAAACAGTACTATGCCTATACCTCTACATCCTCAGCAAATTCAAAATAAAACTTCACTAGAAAAAAAACTGCAGCTTGTAAATCACTGTAGGAAACTAAGCCTGCACTAGACTAGTGTTTTTACCGTGACGTAGAGATTACACAGCCTGCATGCAGTCAATATGCAAACTACAACACTCACAGAATTACCCCAACCGTACAGCTGAACCAATATAACAACTGGGGGATCAGAGAACGAATTATTATCTTAAACCTCTTCAAATAAGCCTTAATAGTCGAAGTAAGCTGCTGCTACCGAGTTTTCACATCGCTGAAGGAAGATGCGTGTGAGCTCCGCCTCAGGGCCCACTACACGGCCGGCGTGAGCAGGGCCCGCTCCGAGCGCTGCGAGCTAGAGAAATCCAGCGAGACGCCCGCAGCGGTCCCTACACCGCTCCAGCCACAGACGGCGTCGCACAAGCCCAGAAGGGCCGAGGTGGTCGAAACCCAGGGCTGCGGGTGGCGAATGGGTAACAGGCAACGAGGGGAAGAGGGTGAGGGGCAGGCCGCCACGCGTGCCCTGGCCCGCCAGCAGCCACCTGTGGTCCGACCCCACGGAGAAGCTCGGCCTCGCCTCGGTCCCGGGACAGGGCTTACGGAAGGAAAAGTGGTGGGCAGCCAGGCGACATGAAGAGGCCCCGGGAACGATCGCGCAGCGATTCCACGAGGATTACGCTGCTCAGAATAGGCTCAGGGCGCGACCCCCACGCCCCTGGTTACACGCACCGTCCCAGGAAACCGGGCGCTCTCCCTCACGCCATCCACCCACCGGACACGCCACCAGGACAGGCTCTGCGCCGAGCCCCGCTGCCCGCAGTCCCCGGCACAGCACCACCAAGATGGCGTCCTCCGCCGCCCCCCACAGCGCTCTGAGACGAGGCTGACCCGCGCCTGCGCCGGGCCCGGGCCCGCCCCCTCCCCTTACGGTTGGACCCGCACTAGCGCTTCCGTACCCTCTCGCAACCCTAAGCGCGCATGCTCCGAGCGCGCAAGACTACCAACCGCCGCTGGGAGGCGGGGCGCAAAACAGATACCTCGTGACTCTCGCTTCTGCCTCTACGCATGCGCAGCCGCGCGCCCGCGGCGTTTTAATACACGTGTGCGCCCTTATGGCGTGCTGGTGGGGTTGGTGCTGTGTAGGTTGTGGGCATGAGCGCTCAGAGGTGGGTTCCATAGCGATCGTCTGAAACAGGGGTTTATCTAGGGGATGGCATCCCTTCCATCACCGCCGTTTTGGTGTGTGAAGCGGTGTCTTTGGCTTCTCTTTTCCATTAGTGAAGGAGGACGAATGGTGTAAGGCCATGTTCAGAGAAGGGAAATTACTTTGGTTGCACAACTGCAGCGGAGGTAGTTATTTTATCTTGGTGCTTACCCCACCTGCCTCTCCCTTTTAGGTATTTTCCCTGTGTTTCTGTGTTTATACTGTACTTGTCTGCTCCATTTCAGATACACAAGTCTGTATGGTAGGTTTGTAAACTAAAAGGCTAAATTTTAAATTGGGGCTGCTGTGTTGAGAGCAAGGTGTTAACTTGTAAACTGGACCGCTTTGTTAGCAGCAAGATGAGCCGGGGTAGCCTTGGAGTATGTATAAAACAAGGGTAGCTTGTGAAGATAAGAAAGGAATGACCAAGGCAGATGGGCCGGTTCCTCAAGATGAGGAGCAAATCAGAACTTGGCTAGAACACAAACACAATCGTGAAGTAATTCACAAGAGTCGTCACATGGGCAAGCACAGAGCTCAATCAGGGCAAGACTATCTAAGGCCATCAGAGACCCGCTGAGACCACCGCTTGGCAAGAAAAGTGCATGTGTAATTAAAATGCAAATATTACAGTTAGTTCCACGAAATCCAATGTAATACATTTCCCGTATAGGTTGTAAATACACGTAAGTTTGTTGGATGCTGCTTGTAGATTCCAGGTGCGTTCACCTTTGCAAAATGATTCTCATGTGCGCCCAGCGCTGCAATAAAGAATGCCTGCTTTGTAAAACTCTAGATTGAGTCTTAAGAGTTTCTTAGACGGTCTTTTGCGGTAACAAATTCACCTAGTAACTCAGCCTTTAAAAACTGATTGAACCCCGCAAAAGAAATCCCATGAGGAATTAACACATTTGACATGATGCATAGCGGCTTCCAAGCAATGCTAGTAGAGAAAATCGTAATAGGCGGTTCACACAGAGGAAAGCGGCTGTAAGGGATTAATTAAAACCCAGGACGTTAAGTGCTCTGCAAGGTTTTGGTAATACTTGAGGGAATGTGAACAGGAGCATCTTGGCAGGTAAGAAAGGCAACGGAATAACTTCCGCTGCGCACCCGTTCTTCAAGGTATTCTGTGTGTTTGCCCTGTTACCAGTTTCCTCTCGGCAGGGGAAAATAACACGCACACGTTACGTTTGTATGGAGCACCATCTAACAGGTTTAGAGATGAGGCACCAGAAAGCACAAACCAGACCTCTGTCTTCCCCTGACTTCTTTCCTCCGATCTCGTCCACCTCCACCAGTCAGACACGCTCCTCTGCCCCACGCTTCCCGGCTCTGAGCTGCTGGAGTGTCCCTAACCAACACTCGAACTCCTCCGCGGAGCCTGTGCCCTCCTCGTCCCGCCCACCCTCCGCCCCTCCCGGCCGCGTCGCCTCCCCTCCCCGCCCGTCGTACTACCGGCGGCCGGCCGAGGCGCGCTGTGGTAGCTATGGCGACGCCGTGGCGCTGGGCCGCCGCCACCGCCGCGCTGCTCCTGGCCGTGTCGGCCGCGCTGCCGCCCGTCCGCGGCTTCTCCCTCCCGCTGCAGCGACCCGCGGACTGCGGCGGCGACCGCTACTTCGACATCTCCCGCCTGGCCTGCGCTCCCTGCGGAGCCCACCAGCGACCGAGCGCCGGAGGTGAGCCACCCGGGACGGGGGGAGGCCGGGCTGCCCGGGCCCGGGGCCTGCGCGGGGCCCCGCGCCGAAATCCACCCTCCGGCAGCGGGAGGTGCCGAATCGGGGCTCGGGGTTTAGCGGTAAAACAGCCGTCCTCGGGGCAACGCTGAAAACGCAGCGAAAGGGCCAGGAGCCCGCCAAGACATAAGTGTCCGCAGCACAACTTTGGTTCCTGTGTCCGAGAGAGGTCCCAGAGAAGCGTCTGTCTTTTTATAGAGATACGTCCCAGAGAAACGTACTTTTAATAATGTCTCGTTCCTCAGGCATTTGTATAGTTATAGGTATTCACATTTTTATGAGCAAAATTCCATAGAGAGCTTCCATGACTTTAAACTCCTTGACAAAGCTTGAATGTCTGAGATGTTAAGTGTCTTAAGATTTTCAGGCTTTGCACATACTAATCCAAGTCCCATGTTTAGAGCATTATACAACACACCTTGACAGTAGTAAATGAAAAGTACAAGTGATAGTTCACTTTCTGTAGGAGAGAAAATGGTATGCTAGTGTCTGTCTTTTATAAATACACAGCCCGGAAGAACTGGGAGTTCAGTATTGTGTGTACAGAAACAAATTTGAGGCAAAGAGCCAACAGCACCTCTCTTCAGAACTGGTATGTCAGTCATGCGCTGCTCTGGATGGCTGTTAACCGCTGCGGTGTAAAAGCTGGTCACCTCGTGCACCACCATTGTGGCACCTTAGAAGAGTAAACCTTTGCAGAAAAAAATGCACTGTGATAGTTTTCAGACCTGCTGATAATGTGAGTGTCAAGATCCAGAAATCCCTTTTAGACTTGACTCTAACTAGAGAGGATGGTTTGACAGTGTGGCAGGATTTAGGGGGGCAGGTTATATCTCCTATTAGAGCCACTGATAAAATTTAGTTTTTAAAAACCCACAAAAAACCAAGCTCTGTTCCACCCTGGTTTACAAGTCAACCTAATATTGCTTTCCTAAAACATCTCTGTACACACTGTAACATGAACATTTTTCTTAAAGCAAGATGATTTTCATTCACATCTCACGTGTTTTATTCATCCATCTGATAATTTGTATTGATCTCTTGAGCACAATAGCAGTTGTTCTTAGTATTCTCTGGAAAAACAAACAAAAAAAAAGTTTTATATAGATTAAAAATGTGTTTGTTTGTTGTATTTTTTTTCAGGTAGTTCATGTGTATGTCAGCCAGGATACAGGATGGTTTCTAGTAATGGGGGGTCCTCTGTTGTTTGTGAAAAATGCCCAGAAAATATGGTAAGTGTTAAACTTTTAGTACTTTGCCATAATGATAATGCTTTTATAATTTTAAATTTCCTCCTGACTGCAAGTTATTTTTCTGATTTAAAATTACTTTACACATTAGTCTTTGCTTGGGAGTTTTAAAGACCATGCTTTTAGGTAGTTTTTTTTTCTTCTTTAGAAGTGTTTATTGCTATTATAATGCACTTTTTTTCATATAAATTTGGCCCCCACAGACAAGGTAAGAGTATTTTAAATGTTTAATTTACCTCCACTGCTTTTCTGCTTCATGTTATGTTATTCTTGCCCAGGGAACACTGTTTTATAGAAAGCCAAAGATGCTTTTTAGCTCCTAGGCATCTTACTTGATTATTTTCATAAATCCTATTATCATAATACTTATAGACCCTGATACTTTATCTTTTTACTTCAAAATGAGCTGCTACTATTATGTTACTTTCATTACTTCTATCTTTGTAGTTTGGCCAGTTCTTTCTACTTTTCTTGGCAAATCAGACTGTAATTTTCAATTATATTCACAGCATTGAGACAGTGGCACCAGGCTTAACCAGCTTTTTCCACTATAGTAAATAAATATTTTTTCTCCAGCAATAAACAACTTTTCAAGGTGAAAGCCTTCCTGATAACTTCTTTCTCTCCAGTAACTATAGAAGAAATCTGAAGAGACCATCTTAGTTGTGTAAGTTAGGTGTTTAGTGTGTAATGGAAGTTAATTTCTCTCTTCTTTCCATATTCCTGCTATGTTAGACAAAGACATTGACAAAATACATTGGCTTTTTGATCATTCTGCTGTTTCTTCCCTGTAATGGTGGCATTTGTCTTTGATCCTATGGGAAGCCGTTTGCAAAGATAAAATTATATTCGTGGAGAAGGGAGTAACATCAGTGTCACCTGAAGATGAGCAGTTATCTCCATTTTCCTCATTGGTTTTAATCTGTAGTGCAGCTACTTCATAGTGTAAAGTAAGTGTGGATGTTTGGGTACGTGCAAAATTCCATGCAGTTATATAAGCTGCTTCTCTTAAAACCCCTCCATTTCCATTACTTCTGTATATTTATGTGCATATAGTCTATTTATACATTGTTATGTTTATTGACATTTTTTTCCCAGTGTAGAACCTCTGTATCTTTTTTTTAAAACTTCTACTTTTAATCAACTCTTATCTTCACTAGAGGGTGTTAGCTCATAGGTTCAGAGAATCTTGACACTTTTTATTTTAGCCTATGTCTGCATAGGAATGACTTTTGCCAGGTTGTTCAGCCTTTTTTATTCTTTAAAAGCTTTGTGAATATTACTGCTGCTGTTGTATCTGAACACATTTTCTAGTTAATAACAGCTGGACCAGCCGTTCTTCACAGGTATTGGGTGATGTGTGTATTTTTGAAAAATATAATAGTTTTACATTTTATTTTAGACTGGAGTTACTCAAGATGGTTGGAATTGTATTACTTGCCCTAAAGGTCTAACTTCAGAAGGAACATGTAAATGCCCCCGTAATGAAATATTAGGTAAGAAATATATGCAAGTTATATTTGTGCTTGTTTTAGATATTTGAGTTTATGAAGACATGCTCTTCTAATAAAGAAGAAAGGAAATTTAACATATGTTTACATATCTAGTGTAAAGATTCAACATTCCTTTTGATCTTAAACCTCATTCCTGAAAGACAGCAGATAAATCTGTACCATTGCTCATTGCAATAAAAACTATTATGCAAACATTCAAAAAATAAATACTAATGTATTACTTCCTTTAAGCTTGTTGGCACTAGGTGGAGGCATTAAAATTGGAATAAAACCAATGTCAATATAGACTAAGAAAAAACATTGAAATATTTTGAAGTATTTAATACATAGGTACGTTGCAGTACGGGAATTATATGAGTAGGTGGAACAGAATAGCTAGAGCAAGTCAAGCAAACTATTGTACAATAATTAGTGGATTTCATGCCTCCCTGTATCCAGAGATACAGGCATGTATTTCTGATTTCCTGCAATCTGCTTCCCTGTGTCTGTGCCTCTTTCTTGATGATCCCTAATAGTTGCAGGTGAATTTAGTAGACACAGAAAATTAATTTTAATATTAACTTTAGTGTCTGCATTAACTAAATTTTTGCTTATCTAGCACAGTAAAAACCTAACAGCAAAGTATAATTTTCATCAAGGGTATGAAGCAGATAAGCTCTTGGAAGGTCTAGTTTTCCTTATTTTCAAAGACACAGTATGGAAAAGGCTTTCTGTGTGCCTGTAAGTTTTTGAATAAGTATTACTAATGTCCGCTTTGGTTACATTTCTGACAGAGTGTACTGCAGAATCACTGTTTTCCAGATCATTAAAAGAGTGAATACCAGTCATTTCCCTTAAGCTTTCAAGACATTATGGTAAAATAGTGAGAGCTGATTCTGTAATTTAACATGCAGAAAGAACATTAGTATTGTAATTATTTTGTGGTTTTGTTGGGTTTTTTGGTAGGTTTTTTTTTAATAATTAGACTGGAAATCTCTTGCCAAATGATTTAATTGCTGGAAGATCCCATTTTGAAACTTTGAATTTGTGACATTTGCATGAATAATTTCAGATGAATATTAATTTTTTTTTTTTCCCAGTAATTTGTAAACTTGACACTTGAGTTTTAGCTTTGCAGTGAAGCCTTGGTTTGATATTTGGTTCAAAATAAATAAAAAAGAACAGCATAACTGGACATGAAATACTGCTTTCCTCATTGAAACTAAATTGGATATGCATAGCTGTAAGCAATGCACCTATGCATACATGAACATGCATTTATAGTAGATGTTATTTGCAACTTGCGCTCTTTTTTTTAATAAGCTCTTTGCATTTATTTTAGATCTGCATAGACACGTTTTCAAACTTTTCTTAATGTCTGTGGCATACTGTGTGTCATGCAGTTTTATCACAGTTGAGTTTATTTTCCACCTAGTGGAAAGAAGTGTCGATGGCATTTTGCTTGATGAAGCATTGTGCTTACATTGTAATGGAAGTGAGCAATCCTTCTCTGCTTCAGATGCGTCAGGAAATAGGTGAGTATCTTTTGCCTTTTGTGATGATAAATTAGAGCAGTTTTGTTCTTTTTAAATGAGTATTATTGAGTAAAAGCCTATATCTTTAGCTTTAAAAGCAGTGAATTTGAAATCCTCAAGCCTCAAACAGTATCCTTTGTGTTCACTGATGACCAGCGGTTTGGTTAGTTGGTTTTGCTTTAGTGTGACTAAAAAGATTTGGATTGAAACAGCAGAAAGAGAATTCTTATTTGGTAATTAATTATTTCATTTCTATTGCACTGACAGAAGAAATAAATCAGTTATGTCTTCTGGATTTCAGTTTGAACTAGTGAAGATGCTGACACGGTGTTTTCAGGCATACTATGTAATCAGCTATCACTAAGTAGTAAATCTCATACTTAACTAGATTTTAAGTGCATGCTTCATGTTTGTGATCCATAGGTGTGTAAGATGTGAACAAACATTCATCAATGCAAGCAAGTCTTGTGACTGCAGCAGCCCAAACATTTTAGTAAGTGGAAGAATGCTTATTGTGTAAAGCTCAGAAAAACAAGTTATGTTGACAAGAATCTAGATTTCCGTTATTTTTTTACTTTTTTTTTTTTTTTTTAGACTGGTGGGCTGTGTTTCAGTGCTGGTGAAAACTTACCCCCAAAGGCAGTTGCAACTGTTCGTTTTGCACAGCTGGTAAGTGTGTTTACTCAAAACATTTTCAAGCTATCCCATTATTTTCTTTCAGTAAGCCTTCTACATTCAGTTTTTGAAGGTGGTGATTTGTTGTCTGATCACGGTGATTTCAAGGTAGGTTGCATCTGGATAGAGTATAGACTTGTAGACCAGGCAAGTATTATTCTAATAAAATATGTTTAAGAAAATTCATGCCCTCTGGAAAATTGAAAAGGTGAAGTAATTTACATGAATTTAATATCAAAAAACAGTATCATATGATCCATTGTATGATATGTATTTAAAACACACTCTTGTATCAGAAAAACAGGAGGTTTTTTTCTTTCTCCTTTTTTTTAATATGTAAAATGGGTATTCATGTAAAATATGTGGAAGAAGATACAGGAATTGAAAGGACATTTTTAGTTTTCAGACAGATAGAGCTGATAGAAGAAAATGGAGACATGCAGTTTGCGATTGCGTTTGAAATTTTTGACCACCTTGAATTGGCTAATGGGTGGAAATATGTTCTGTTGAGAAGAATGAAGGTGTTTTCTTTGTTTTAGCTAATGAACTTCTATTAGTTGTCAGATCTGCTCACAGGACTGTTTTCCAAGTAGTTCTGAACTGAGGAAATGCTATGTGGCTAATAAATGTAGTTTGTTCTTAACTGAATTAATGTTAAAGACTAGTGCTTGAAACAAAGCAAAAGGCAGTCTTGCACTTTCCTGATAGCAAATGTTGGTTTGGCTTTCTGAAAATGCCATCTTCTAAATAATGTTTTATTGAAAAAATGTCTTTTCATTTGCTCACTGTATGTACAAAAGCTATGTTTTATTCAAATATGAGTAGTTACAAAAAACAGGCTGTGAAATTGGCTTTTACTGAAGTCAATTATCCTTGAAACCGTCGGTATCTTCAAATGTTAAATATTTCTGCTCTTTTTCTATATATTTTGCCTGAAATGTGTAATGTTTTATTGAGATATTTACAAACAATAGAAAGCTCTTTGAAAAAATAAGTAGTATCTTTTAGCTGGCACAGTTTTCCAGACTGTTATGTTATGGATATATTGTTCTGAACACAGACAATGAAGCAATTCCTTATTTACAGGGTATAACACTGACATCAGCGTGGTTTCTGAAAAACCTGCAGTCCTCAGCCTCTGCCTGTTGGGTGAGTTTTGTCAATGTTTGCTGTTTGCTTTTTTATACAGAAGTCATACTCTATATAAAAGAATGACACTTTAATTTTTGGAACTTAGCTTACCTATTTTTAAAGACTCTTATTTTGAGATGACAGTAGATGAGAAAGAAGTAAATATACAAAATGTTTAGAATGAATACTGAGTGCTAGTCAGTGTTAATGCAAGTCTTCAGGGTTGGAATCTTCATAAGGTGAATGGTGCTAAAGAAGAAATCCTGCAATAGTCAGTAGGTATGTGAACTGTCATTGGGTCTACCCAGTAAGGGATCACTCAGAAAATTAACTTCTTACATATTCACTATTGATTGGCAGCTGGTCTTTACCTCTTTCTTGGCTTTCCATTAGTTATTTTGGTTTGTGATGGAAAAGGGTAACCATACAACCATCCTTTCCAGCTTTTCTTTGCTTTTTTGTATGCAAATGTTACTTATCGTTATGTTCCTCTGGGTGGTGGTAAGCCGGGGTTAGAAGAGTGGTTGCAGCAACAGATTCATGCACACTTGTGAAGAAGATATGCCTCATTCTGCCTCCTTTTTGCGAACTGTTACCACACATGCTTATTTTTTCATCTGTATTCCTCTCCTCAGAATCAGATTTTAACTTCTCCGGCCTTACCTTTCCTCCCAGTACATCAGGACTCAAAGGGTTACATGTCCTACAGGTGTATAAGGATCACAACAGTGGATTTGCAGAATTCCATGATACACAAGCAGACATAGTCCTTATTTCCTACATTTCATTATTACAGATTACTACAAATTATTAGTAGTAAAGTAAGTATACTTACAATTAATAAAGCAGGGTATTTATGTATTCCAATGGGAGCAGCAATCAGTAGTAGCAGCAAGCATATATTTCAATATTACAAGTTACCACAAAAGTATTGTTAGTAAAGCAGCAAATACACTTATGATCAATTAGCTATATGTGTGCCTACATATATATATTATTCAAAGTAGTACCAGTACATTGCTTACCAATCCACTCCCAGGAGTGGGGCCTTAAAATCAATGACAGATGAAGTCTTACTTCAAAGGTGATTTGTGTTGCAGAGTCTATCAGGCAGTGATAAACTTTATCATAGAACAGTTTGTGTAGGCAGCATTCTTTGTATATGTGTGTTTGTGCAAGTGAGATGGGGACAGATTCAGTCTCCATTTTGGGTAAAAAGTAAGTGATTTTTATATTGCCGAGATATAAGGTGGTGTAGGACAGCACTACCTGGGTAGCTGATGTTTTATATTCTCTCAGACCAGTTGTCCTGGGTTCAGCAGTAGCAGTCATGTTTCTCCTTCATGGTAGCTGGTGCAGTGCTGTGTTTTGACTTCCAGCCTGGGAGCAGTGCTGGTGATACCGATGCTAAGTGGTGTTTACCCTGACCAAGGACTTTGTGAGGCTCATGCTCTGCCAGGGAGGAGGGGAAGCCGTGAGGAAGCAGAGACAGGGTGCCTGACCCGGGCTAGCCAGGGAGGTATTCCATACCGCAGCACGTCATGCCCGGGGTGGGGGGTAACTGGGAGTTACCCGGAAGGACATGGGCTTCCGGGTGGGACTCGTTTCTTGGCCGGTGGTATCCTATTCTCTTCCCTTGTTATTTTCTCTTATCATTGTTGTAGTTGGTGGTAGCGGTGGTGATTTGTGTTGTACATTGGTTGCTGGACTGTTCTTGTCTCAACCCGTGGGAGTTGCACTTTTTCGATCCTCCTCCCCGTTCCTCCGGGAGCGGGGAAGGGGAGAGCCCTGGGCGGGGCTCGGTTGCTCTCAGCCCAGCACCACTCAGTGGGAGTGAGTGAACAAGCTGTCTGGCTAGGGTTTAAACCACGACAGTTCTTTTGGTGCCCAGCGTGGGACTCGAGGGGTTGAGATAACAACAGATCTGTCCAGATTAATAGTCACTCGTCACAATGCTGATTTATTGGCTCTCAAGGTTGTTCCTCTTGATCTCACAGTTTCAGTATATCTTATCTTAACTTCCATCCGGTATTTGCTGTATTAGTGTTTTTCAAGTGTGGGGCTTGGGCTAAGGTTTTTGTCTCATTGTACTTTATGGTAATGACTTGTAATACAATAGAATCATTGATCATGAAACTGATCTGGCTTATGTTCCCAGTGTGGTCACCACCTTTATACTTTGGGAGGTATATAATAGAAGTGCTTAGCAATTACACATTTTTTTCTCCTTCTCAGGTGCTCAACCTGTGAAGGAGACATCCTTTTACCCTCCCAGTCGTCCCCCCAGACCATTTACATTTGAGAGTTTTGAAATTTTTGAATGGCCTTTTAATGCTGTTGGGACTTGTTTGCTGATCGTGATGGGAATCACCATGCTAGCACGCATACAGAGTGTGTTTTGCCCACGACTGATTTCAAGAGTTAAGCAGAGTCAGGTTTGGGTCTTGTCTGGGGTCCAACGACGATGTAGGAGGACCAAGAGATTTTCCCTGAGGCTGGACACTCATGAGTGGCAGGGTGTGTGGGATAGTATGGGCAAGTATCTAGGTCAGTGGGCCCCTCCAGTACTTTGGAATTTCACTACCGAACAACTGCAAAATCCAGAAAAATTAGTAAAACACTTAAATGAGGTGTGTGGTCATTCTGGCCATACCAGAGATGGACAAATCATGGCAATATGCTGGGGCTTGTTCAAGACTATCCAGCGCCTTCAAAAGGAAAAGAATGTCAGTGGATCTGAGGGCAAAGCAACAGTCAGCGCAGCTACTCCAGCTCCAGGCACAGCAGCTTCACCACCCCCAGGGACAAGTACTGTTGCTACTCAAACTTTGGCTGCAATGAACAGCGCAGTTACCCCAGCGGCAAGTACAGCAGCTGCTCAAACTTGGACTGCAACAGACAGCGCGGTTACCCCAGCTCCAAGCACAGCAGCTGCATCACCCCCAGCAACAAGTACAGTCGCTACTCAAACCACAGTGATAATCACTGCAGCCAAACCAGAGGACCAATTCGTACCAATATCGGTTGCCCCTATACGCAAGAGAACAAGCAAAAAAGAGGCAAGAAGGGTGAAGCAAGATGAAGAAACAATGAATTCACCACCCGCTCTAGCATCTGATCAGGAGTCATCATCACATGATGAAGAAGAAGAAGAAGAGGTAACTTCTTGACCTTGGACCTCAACCGAGCTGCGGAATATGCGAAAAGATTTTACCCGTCAACCAGGGGAGCACATCATCACCTGGTTACTCCGATGCTGGGACAATGGGGCCGATGGTCACGAACTAGAAGGTACAGAAGCCAAGCAGCTGGGATCACTTGCTAGAGAAGGGGGAATTGACAAAGCAATTACAAGAGCTAAAAAGTCCCTCAGTCTTTGGAGGTGGCTCTTGGCAGCTGTGAAAGAAAGGTTTCCATACAAGGACGATGTTATGAGTTGTATCAGCCAAGTGGGCTACTATAGACAAAGGCATCCAGTCTCTGAGGTAATCAGCCATCGTAGAGATGATCTATCACATCCAGCCGAATAACAGGGATACACCTTCCCCTTCACCCCTTCCATCATCTCAGCTGTGGAAAAACTGTCTCAGGACCTCAAACAATTGAGGGACGATCTATCTGATTTATCCGGCTCCTCACGTGTACCAACACACGTCTCAGCTATTAACAAAAGGCGTCCTATTGTTCGAGAGAGGAGATACAGGAGGTATACCCTATGGTTTTACCTGCTGGATCAAGGAGAAGACATGACAAAGTGGGATGGAAAACCTACTTCAGCTTTGGAGGAACGGGTGAGTGAACTGAAGAGGGGAGCCAAGACTGATCATCCCATGAGAGCTACGGCTTCAGTCTCTGGTGAGCAGTTTCCCAGATGGAGTGGAAGAGCTGATTTTATTCCAGCTCCTGTGATAACGAAGAATAATCCCTTTTACCACGACGTAAGTGTCCAACTCTGTGACGACCATTAGAGGGGCCCTGCCTCCAGCCAGGTGGAGGTAGGGGGCAATCGGATTTACTGGACTGTGTGGATCAGATGGCCTGGCACATCAGTCCCACAGAAGTATAAGGCTCTAGTAGATACCGGTGCACAGTGTACCCTGATGCCATCAAGCTGTCAAGGGGTGGAACCCATCTATATTTCTGGAGTGACAGGAGGATCCCAAGAGTTGACTGTGCTGGAGGCTGAAATCAGCCTGACTGGGAGGGAATGGCAAAAGCACCCTATTGTGACTGGTCCAGAGGCTCCACGCATCCTCGGCATAGACTACCTCAAGAGAGGGTACTTCAAAGACCCAAAAGGGTACCGGTGGGCTTTTGGTATTGCTGCTTTGGAGACTGAGGAAATTGAGCAGCTGTCCACCTTGCCTGGTCTCTCAGAAGATCCCTCTGGTGTGGGGTTGCTGAAAGTTGAAGAACAACAAGTGCCAATTGCGACCACAACAGTGCACCAGCAGCAATATCGCACCAACCGAGACTCCCTGATTCCCATCCATCAGCTGATCCGTAGACTGGAGAGTCAGGGGGTGATCAGCAGGACCCGCTCACCCTTTAATAGCCCCATATGGCCAGTGCGAAAGTCTAATGGAGAATGGAGACTAACAGTAGACTGTCGTGGCCTGAATGAAGTCACACCACCAAGTGCTGCCGTACCAGACATGCTAGAACTTCAGTATGAACCAGAGTCAAAGGCAGCCAAGTGGTATGCCACGATTGATATTGCCAATGCATTTTTCTCAATTCCTTTGGCAGCAGAGTGCAGGCCACAGTTTGCTTTTACTTGGAGGGGTGTCCAGTTCACTTGGAACCGACTGCCCCAGGGGTGGAAACACAGCCTATTAAAACACCAGTTTTTATTTTTCCAGACTGTTTGTCTACTCTTTCAGTTAGAACAGCCAATAGCAATTGCCGATTTCTACTTTCTTAGAATGTTTTCCCTCTTTTCCAGACTATTTTTCACCTTTCCAGCTGATAAGTTGCTGTTACAGTTAATTATTTTTGTGCTTATCAGTGGTATCTCAGGATGTCTCTGATGTTTAGGTACCCAGCTGCACTTCCCAAGGAGGTTTCTGATTCCCAGGCATAGTTCCAAGGCTAGCAGTTCCCAGACGGCAGGCATTCTCTCTGTCAGTATTTCAGCAGACTTCTGTTCAGTATTTTTGCTGATCACTTTTGTGGCTGCTCCCATCACCGTCATACAAACACAGCTCTGAGGTTTTCTCCTACTTATCTCATTCTCTTTTACAAACTGAGACTATCCTCATCACTTACATGAGTTTATCCTGTTTGTCTGCCTCAGCCTGCTGAGGTCTTCAGGGGTGCTGGCTGAAAGTAATGTGCAACTGCTGATCATACCCACAGAAGGCAGTAGGTGGTGGCAAGTTAATACTAGTGCAGTGATAGCTGCACACAGATGCCAGGCCTCACTTTTGCCTATCACATAGCAGTGTTTGTTTACCAGAACTGAAGAGTGGTATAAGTACAACATAGTTTAGGAAGAGCAGACTGGAAAAAGTACTAAAACTGGAAATAAGATACTTACAATACATGCAACTACAGTTGTCAGTCTTTGATGGAGTCATCTTTTTCATAAAGCCTAAGTGGTATTAAACATTTTGATTCATACTTTGTTTTCTAAATGCACTGATTCCATGCCACCATTCGCAGACCTATAAAATATGGAGCCTGAATAGCTGGGAGAAAATATTAGGTGTTGACAAAAAGGAATTACTTTCAAGTAAAAATGAAGGTTTAGGAATGGCTTATTAAAAATAACATCAATTTTATGACTGCATCACTGAAAGAAGGGTTAAATAAATACTTTTCTGTGTTCTTGTGTTTTTCCACTGCAGTTGTACTCTAACCTAACAGCATGCCAAGCTCTCGGAAATATGTGTGTGATGAACATGAACTCACTGGGTTATTCAAGTACTGATGCCTGTGGTTTATTTCAGTATATTTACGTCAATACAGCAAGACTGGGCATTGCTCATTCAATAGCCTTCTGGTAAGTGGCTTTTGCCATAACTTTTGGTCTTTAATAGTATTTTATAGAAATTATCATTCTAAATGTTCTTTGATGTGAAACATCATGTTTCTTCAGAGAAAACATTGTAATTCTTTTCAGGAGGCATAATCTTCCATGGCTGTATTACGGGGATCGACCAGGATTAGCATCCCAAGTGCTTGAGGCAAACAATTTCCCTACAATCTTCAGTTTTAAAGGAACAGATAAGGTAGGTGTTGGGTAGTAGACATAGGGAAGGTGACATTAGGAAGGGGATATAATCACATAAAGAGGTTTAGATTTGTTACAGATGTGGCTCTACAAAAGGTAATTTTTAGGCAGTTAGTGTAACAGAACTCAGTGTGAGATATTATGGAAGAGGAAGGCAATATTTATGTGAAAAATCTCTAGGTGAGGTGATTTTACTGACTTGCACTCGTTCACTCACACATTTGCTTTGCTCACGCTCTCATACCCACATTCGCATAATGCCAAGATGTACATTTCAATTAAAAAATATTATGGTTAAAAATAATAAATACAAATTAATAAAAATATTACTGTTGCAAATCTCTACAAGCTAAGTTGTATCAGAGATGGATTCAGTCTATTACTCCAGCCTTTTCCTCCTCCTACAGTGAATTAGGTGGAAAAAAAGAAAAGAAAAAAAAGGAAAAAGAGATGAGGAAAAACAATCATTTCAATGTTAACAAAGTCGGTATCCATCCCTTAGAGGGATGAACTGCTTAAGTAGCTTGTTAACTGGCACAGTTTTAAGAAGGAATAAAACAGTAAATCAAATAATTACATGTTTTATTTTACAGATTTGTTGTAAAAAATAGAATAACTGGGATGATTTATTCAAGTTAAACTAACCACAGAAAGTAAGTAGTCTAGTGATAACCTGTTTGCCAGTTACACCTCCAAATTTATCTTGTTTTCTTAGTGTCTCAAAAATAAAATAGTAAGGCGTTTTTTAGCCACATTTTTAAAAGGTTGTGTTTTAAATTAAACAGTATTGCAACGCAGCAGTTGTTTTAGCAACTAAAATACTTATTGTTCTTCCTAACACTGAAATTCCTGGAAGCCCTCAAGATCCCAGCCTGGAATACATTGGAAGTCTGCATAGATTTCTGATTAGTTTAGGGCATGTCTATCTTTGTAGACGTTCCTTTGGGACTTTTTCCATGTCACCAGTGAAACTGTAGAAGAATGGTGAAGTATGGGGTTTTTTAAAAAACAAACTACCAAAACTGAGATTAAAAACATAAAATCAAAGGAGGAAAAAAATGCAGCGTTTTGCTGAAAGTTTTAGGGAAGCCTCAAATGATGAGGCAACAGTCCCTAACATATTTATGTCTGCTTTATGGCAGTTTCATTGTTTATCATTTTTCATCATCAGGATGTAAAGCTGCAATTTATTGCAGCCTCATTTGATGCTGCAGGAAACTTTCTTAAATGGCAAAGTTTGGAAGGAGGCATCTTACAGGTATGTTTGATTTAAATTATCTTTTGTTGATACCATAACATTCTGATTGCCTTTAGCCAAACTGAGACAAAAGCCAAGATTTTGGTTACTACAGTAGTGACAGTTCATAACTATAGAGCTAGAATAGCCCTTGATTCTTGCTCACAATGATCTTTATAAAATCAAAAGTATAAATTCCGCAATATTTCCTTCATCTATTGGACCAATATAAATTTGGCAGATTGAAAAGCTCTGAAAAACATCACTAGTCCTTTAGAACTAAAAATCTCTTTCTTCCATTCAGTATACAGTTACCCATGTATTATTACTCCTCCTTTTCTTGTGGAAAAAAGTGTACTTTAGTTCCCAGTCCACAGGTGTTTGTAGAAGTCACTGATAAAGCTTGAGGCAGCACAGTGCATTGAACATTCTTGTCGGGTTGGATGCTGCTCTCCACAGATCTCAACTTCAGTGATGGAACTGAAAAACACTCTGCAAGTATTTATAAGCTAAAGCAGCATTTTAAGAACACCAGTATTAGTACAATCAAGAATTGCATTTACTCTTCAAGATTAATCCCTCTCTTCTTAAAAAAAGTAGAACAAAATATCTTTTTTCACAGTGAGAACTGTGAATACATTAACTGGTTGGGCTACGTGTAAATACTTTTCATGCAAGAAAATACCTTTGATTTAACCTAATCATAATTATGTTTTGTGCAGCTTTGTCCTGATACCCAAACTAAATTGAATGCAGCTTATGCATTTGGAACAACTTACCAACAAAGTGTAAGTAAGAGATAAAACGCTATTCTGAATTTTGAATTAAGTTTTTTTTATACATCATCAGTAATTCAGTGGCTATTGAAGGACCTCTGGAGCTTAGCCATAAGCTGCAACATGGATTTCTTCCTCGTGAAACTGTTGCTTATTTTAATTTATTATTGACTGAAATAAATGTAGTTTTAAAAAATTATTTAAGTGTACATCATAAAACGTGTTTACTGCGTAAGATAATCAAAATTAATTGAACTGGCATTTGTGTTAGTGAGCTTGTGTATACTTAGATGCTAAATTCAGTCAGCCATAGACGTGGTTCTGACAATCTGTCTGGGCAACCTGCACCACTGCTTGGTGACACTAACAGTGAAAAAGTGTTTCCTGATGCTTAGAGGGAGCCTTCTGTTTCAATTTGTGCCTGCTGCCTCTGATCCTGTCACTGGGCCCCTCCCTTCTAGTATTTGTAAACATTGATAAGTTCTGCCCTGAGCTTTCTCATCTCCAGATGAACCATCCCAGCTCTCTGAGCCTTTCTTCATAGGGTTGATGCTCCAGTTCCTTCATCATCTAAATGGCCTGTGCTGGACTGTTATCAGGTATCTCTGTTTCTCTCTTGTACTGGTGAGCCCAGAACCAGACACATTACTGTGCAACTCCAGTGTTCATGCTTCTTGACTTCTGTGTTTATGCAGTTTATGCAGTTTATGCAGTTTCAAATTATGTGTTTCAAATTTTATGTCTGTGAAAGAGCTTCCTTCTCAGCATCAGTCATTCTGGTCATTCCGATAATTTCCAAGGGGTTTGTATAAAATCATTAGGATATTGTAATTACTTGCAAATAGCTGGAATGCCTCGTCTTTTGTGAAGAAGTGGGACAGATTGCGCAATGATCTTGAAGGACAAGAATCCACAACTTGAGAGTATCTTTAAATGGCTAAAGTGGTATTTTTATTTTAATGTTTGTTTCTTACAGTGCAAAATTTCAGTGTCCAAGATTTTATTGGATTTTGCTAATCCAGTTTTTTATGACTTATTCCTTGAATATAATGGTGACAATGGACAACAGTATCTTTGGGACGTGCCAGTTTTAAATTTGAATCTTCAGGACAGTGAAATATTTGTTAATCAAGGTAAGACTGTCATAGTAACATTTTGTGAATTCAAATAACTTTTGACTAACTTCAAATAGAAAGAATTTGTATTAATTACTGTTAGTTGTTTAAAAGATGCCACAACACATCATCATAACTTGTTTCTGTTTTAAGAACTTAATATTTTGTGGGCAGGTTTTCATGCTGTTAAGTGCAAACTTTGCTTGCATACACCAGCCCAGTCAATTGATTTCATTATGTATTTGTTTAAGTTGGAAGTAAGTAATTTTACATCCTGGATACAGTTAGATGTATTATACAGTTATATGTATCCTTTCTAGTAGATTTCATTCTCTTTGTGTGTTGAATAAGTTTCTTACATATTATGGGACTGTTGTGGTTTTTTAAAGGCAGTAATATGAACAGCTGGCTTCTGACTCGTCGATTTTTTTTGGTGGATGCGCTAAGTGGAAAAGAGAATGATTTGGAAAAACTACCAAGAGTACTTCGGATTGCTAGTAAAATAACAATAAGGTGATTAGTTGCATATAATACATAGTACATAGAAAATACAGTAGATTTTGTGCAGTCTGCATTTTATTGTCATAAAAGAAAGTTGTTTTATTATATTGTTTCTAATATGTCCTGTGTTGCTTTTTCCATTGTATACTTGGAAATAGCAAGAGTTTCCATAGGTTGTTCTAATGAGTGGGTTAGCAAACACAGCATTGACTTGTGGGGTTTAAAATTACTGTGATTACTTTCCAGGTATGATGGATCACTGTATGTATGCATAATGCAAGTTAGCAGGCATTCATTCATCTGGAAAGACCTAAAAACTCCTGTTAATTCTTTTTCAGTGTATATGTTGCTGACTCTATGAGGATGCTGCTTCATACTCTATATTGTTCTTTTGCAGTATTTTTACAAACTGTTGCATATTCTGTTATACAATCCAGAATAGGCTTCAGAGAAGTCCTTTAACTGAAACTGTGAGACTACCTTCTAGGATCATTACTGATGGTTAATCTCTGCTGGAATATGTTTTGGAAGAATCTTTTTTTCTCCTTCTTTATGTAATGTCTTTTTCTAAGATGGCAGTTTTAAAAATTGAGCTCTCTGTTTTTCTTTAGCTCTTCTTCACAACTTATTAGTTAAAAAGATGGCTGAGTAGCACAGAGTATTGATCCATACAAGTAACCATCTTGAAGATTAATTTAATGTGCCAACTGCATTTGCTAAGAATTACATACTACATTATTTAAAAAAAAATAAGGATTGCTTATGTATCTTAGGAGAACACCCTTCCATCTCACCCCTTTGAAAAAATCAACAGGCACATAGGAAAGGTCATTCTGTAGTGTTTTGAGAAAAGTTACCTTTTGGAATTGACTTTAGTTGTGGCTGTTGTAATGTGAGCAGTAGGTAAAGATTGATTCAGGTATTTTCTTACAAATAAATAATGTTCCTGAGTTTTTTCTTTTTTATGTATATAAGTCCATGCCTTCACACACTCCTGGTGCTTTTAAAATGTGAATTGCCATGTCATTGAGTTTGTAACTCACATTTTATTGATCAGGTTGCTCTGTCCTTTTAGTATTTTCTTATTAGTACAATTTCAGTTAATACTTTCCAAGCAACTCATCCATTTTCTGTATTAAAAATAATACGCTGTTTATATTGCTGCAGTATTCGTCTGGCATCCCATAATCAGAGAGGAACTATCTACCCTCCTCTACTTACTATTGCTTACACAGACGTGCTTGTTGAAAACCCTGAAACCCAGAGTGTGATGGTGAGATCTTCGTGCTATCTTAATTGAACTGATTTGTTAATCGTACTTTTCAAACCAAAGTCAAAAGACGTCTTAGGTTAGATAGATACTTAAGCTAAAGGGAGCAATTTTGGTGCTACACAGCAATTTGTATTTCAGTCAAGCTGGAAAAGAAATGGTGTCTGAGCTATGTAGAGCTCACTTTATGATTTTGCATATTTGGCGTAATTACATTGAAGTTACTTTTAGTCAACACCAATGAAAGGGCAAGTATCAAATCTTTGGTGTCTCCTCTCAGAAGGAAAAAAATATGCATATTTGGAAGGACTGTGATTAGGTACAGCTAGTAACTTGCAGGTAGCAGGCATCCATCCCCAGCATTACTGTTGGTAAAATTTGCACTGAGCATATCAGAGCATATGCCAATACTAAGTTTGGCATTGTAGCACAATAGGTTGTATGTACACAGTAAAAGAAAATAGGTGTTGTACTTATATAATAGCTCTAGACGGGAATTCCCACCAACTAAAGTGTGAAAACTCCCATTGTCTGTAATGGTTGTAGCATTTCAGAATTGCCATGCATATTTACTTTTTGTATCTTAATATTCAGGTTTCCTTCTCAGTCAGTTATGAGATGAATCAGTCAGAGGCTCAGGTTCAGACTGATGTAAGTTGTGTTTCCCTTTAATTCATCAATATAATGATTTACTTATGTTTTGTGTTTTTTAAAAACATCTGCCAATAACTTTTCATTCTCTTCAGATCACACTGGGTGTGTTGGGTGGGCTCGCAGTGTTATGGTCCCTTCTCAAGACTGCAGGCTGGAAGAGACGCACAGGAAGCTCTGTAATTGACTTGCAGGTATGAACAGCTAGCAACCTAAAAAAGGAGATATCTTCCTCTTTTTAAGGAGACCTTTGCTATCATTCCCAGTGATATAACCGTTCTGTTTCTTAAGGCAACTGAAATAATTTCTAGCCTAGCTGCATAGATCTGTGACTTGAGGAAGTAGGTTTTTTGTCTTTTTTTTTGGGTAGGAGGGGGGTTCTGATTTTGTCATTTAAGAAACACTTTTGCTAAAAATCAAGGTATTTACAGAACTGTTCTGATCAGTTGAGTGGACTTACTGTTCAGATTAATTCTTCTTTGAACAAAGGCCAGCATGTAGGATTTTCAGATACTGAATGTACCATAAATATATGACGACAGTAGAAAAAGTTTGTTCAAGCTTCTTTTCAGTACTAGAGTTTCCTGTAGTGTGATGACATTTTATATGAATGTGCATATGCATTACTTGATTGGTTTTACAGATCTCTACAGTGTGTTTTTATAATTGCAGACAGTTTTGAAGTTCTTACTGTTTTATGCTGGAGACCTTGCCAACGTTTTCTTTGTCACCACAGTGGGCACAGGGATTTATTGGCTTGTGTTCTTCAAAGTAAGTGTTTTTCCAGATTTCGGGGTTATGAAAACCTACTAATATTGCATATATTTTTACACAAGAATTAATTTTCTTTCTTTTTTCTTTTTTCTTTTTTTTCTGGTCAGACTGTTGAGGCAAGTTCTATATCATATCCTGTTCTGTGTGCTGAAATTTCTCTGTTGACGTGTTTCTTTTCCTTAGGATTCATTGTACTTGCATTCTGCTTAATAGTCACTTCAAATATTTTACGAATTCCAAGTGATTGTGCATTAAATATTGACCTGTTTCTGCAAAATGTTATTTGCTCTTAAGCACTTAGTATTTTGTTATTTATGCCATCCATACTATTTCAATATAACTTCTCAATTATAGGGTCAGCAGTTTGTCTCTGTCCTTTTACCACTTCCATCTCAAGAAGAAGATTTTGTTACATACATAGCATGTGCATTTAGTTTAAAGGTAAATATTTTTTTGCTCAGGCATTAAAGAGATTTCAACATATGCTTCTGTATATTTTCAGTAGGCTTGTTTTTAAACATCTTGTAGAGTTCATTTTATTGGTGTATAGATGTAAACAATTATTTTACTCTAAGAATTAAGTAATTTTCCCATAGAAATTTGTTTTGTGGAGTCTTTATATGGAAGCAAATGTCTAAGGAAGATGATCTATGGAAAATTATTCTTTCAAGGTTAAAGGTGTAAAGAAACCAAATAATACCATATCAAGCAAGCTAGTGCTTTCTTTTAAAGCAGAATGTAAGTGCTGCCAATTCCTTATTAAAAGGAAGACATTAGAATAATTATGTTCAAACATACTTGTAGAATTCCAAGATCAGTATTCTGTCTTCATGGGATATACAAGTATTTTATTAATTATGGGTATTATATTGTATTGGAATTCATAATACATGCTAATAGGTTATGGGAAAATAGTCCTTTTTTTTTTATGTTTAACGAATGACTTGTGCAAGGACTGTTTCTTCATCTTTGTCTATATGCTTCTGCTGTCCTTACTTGTTACATTTCTCCTTTTTCTTTCTTAGGCTCTGCAATTCTTACAACTGCTGGTTTCACAGCTTACTATAGACATTTTCTTTATTGACTGGGAAAGACCTAAGAGCAGAGTTGTTAAAGGAGTTGAAGGTAACTCAAACTTTGCTTGTTTGGATAGCCAGCTTTGGTTAAGTTCAGATACGCTATCAAGTATTAAATTTCAGAGCTTTATTGTATGTATTCTTTTTAGGTGAAGGTGTTATTAAAAGTGCTGCTGCACCTGTGAGCATATGGAGGACCTATTTTGTAGCAAATGAATGGAATGAAATTCAGACAGTGAGGAAGATAAATCCTCTGTTTCAAGTGTTTGCAGTTCTTTTTTTTCTGGAGGTACTGTTATTACTATTATTATTATTATTAAGTTTTTATGATTCACAAGAAGATTGTAACATAAGGGTCTGTTTTTTAACTCTTGCGTTCTCTGGGTAACCTTCAAGTTCACCTGAAAACATATAACTTTGTAAAATAATTACTTTAATACATTTTTAAATTTATATGTATAGGTCATTACAATAATTTATTAAGGAAGACTTGGGAAAACAAAGCAACCCAACCATTAATTAGCTTAGAGACCTCTGTTGGTTTTGTTTGGGTTTTTTTAAGGTAATGAGATACCCTAAGTGGCTTAAGCGACTGATAAATCTGTGTACACACTCAATTCCTTATTTGCCTACTGGCTCTCTCCTGCATCAGTCAACAGCTTTATTTCAAGTTTCATATTTATCTGAACTGAAGTGACCTTTCATAAAGCAGGAAATGAAATGTGCCAGTTCTGTTCCTGATGGCATAACACAAGGCAGTATGTCTTCAGATACAGCTTAAGGATACGTGAGAAATTGTGCTTTAGCTTTTTAAAAATATACTGTTTTGCTTCCTCTGCAGTTACTAAGTACTATTACTTAGGGAAGTATTCTTAAAGCATGTAGCATATAGTTGTTTATGTGAGGTTCTTACATATTTCTAATACATTTTTATAATTTTTTTAATTTTCTATTTTTCTTTATAATACAATAAATACACCCAAGCTTTCCTCATTCACTACATCAGTAGTTTTGCTGTTGGTAAACACAGGCCAGGACCAACATAGGTGCCACATTGCAAGGAAAGAATGGGACAAAAGAGAGCATGTATTCCCCAAACTAATCTCATGTTACTCTGCTTAAGCTGCTGGTATTACCGCAAGGGAGAGGCTACTCTCAGTACAGACAGATTATCATCTTGCTCTATAACTACATCTATGAATTTCTCTCTGAAGAACCCCTTTCTTGCCACTGATAGTGGAGAAGGTCATGAAAGATAACTAAATAGGCTAAATCAGTGTTTGTGGAAACCTCAGATAATCTTCATAACTTTCATTGCTATGCTGAAGATTCGAGCTCAGTTTCCCTAGAAGTATAATGCACAGGGGCAGATATGGCAATCAGCTGCTTACTACAAGAGGGAACTTCTGTAATGCCTAAAGCCTATCTTCTTGGGTTAGCAGTTTTAATAAAGTGACTGTTCCATTCTCATTAATCTTTGTGACAAGCTGTAGGGTAGTAGAAAACAAGCCAGGAAAAGTAATAATTGGAGGAAGTTGGAAAGCATGAAAGGAGTCTCCCTCCCCACAAGCCTTGTGTCTGGCACCAAAGTAGTCACTGGTTGGCATAGTCACTATGGCAGTGCTGCCCGCATGGCTGGTGCAGGTACAGTCTGGCAGAAGAATGTGGCTTTTCAATACTGTACTGGGTCTGACTGGGCTGGAGTTTATTTTCTTCACAGCAGCCCATAGGATGTTGTGGCTAAAACAGGGTAACACACCAGTGTACTGCCTATTGCTGAACACTGCTTGAACAGCACCAAAGTCCCCAGCGAACAGGCTGGGGCTGTGCAAGAGGCTGGGAGTACAACCAGGCCCCCAGCTGATCAAAGAGGTATTCCGTACGATATACCATTATGCTCAGCAGTAAAAATGGAAGAGAGGGATTTTCTGGGAACTGGCTGAGCACTGGTCTACTTGTCAGAGATCGTTAGTGATTGCCTTTTGTCAGGGTCCGGTTGGAGAAAATCCTAGTGCCGGACCCTGTTTCAGTTCATGATCCCAAGAGTGAAATTAGGATGCAAATGAGGTCAAGTACCGTAATCGATTAGTACGTTTATTACAAAAGGACAATTATAAAAAAGGGAAATTATTGTAATAAAGGGGACAGTGATAGGACAGATCGGAAAAAAGGGAGAAAATGAAGAAAGGATTTGAGGTGCAGAGAGAGAGAGAGTCACCACCGTGGATCCAGCGGTATCCCGGGGATCTATTGTCCCCATCGTTGGTGGTAGGAGTCCTTCAGGGTTCATAGTCAGTATTGGAGCAGAGTGTCCCCCAAGAGTCTGTCAGAGGTGGGTGTCCTCATGGAGGCATCCTTCTGGAGTCCCCTTGAAGGTACCCTGTGGAGTGTGTCTCGTGGAGCTGCCCTCTGGCCATGTCTCATGGAGGGTGTCCCTCAGGGTCCATAGTAGTCATCCTCACGGAGGTGTCCTTCTGGATTAATCCTCATGGCAGTGGTTCCTTGGCAATGTGTCTCTTGGTGGTTACCTTTTCCCCCTTTTATTACAAGCTGGGGGAAGCACCTGTGTTCTTCATGTCACATATTACATGTTCCTCGTGGACCAGTTTCCCAGGTCTTGCAGCCAGCTCTTGTCTGGACACACACACACACACACACACAAACACACACATACATACACATGCACACACGCATGTCTGCAGCAGTTCTTGGGATAATGGGCAGCAGTTCCTCACTCCAATCCTTGAGGTAATGGAGTCTTAGCTCTTTCCCAGTCATCGCTCAGGCCATGGATGGTGGAGTCCCACTTAAGCTCCTCACACCCTTCTCCCAGGCATTGGAGTCTTACCTCAACTCCTCCCACCCATCTCTGAGCAGTTTCTCAGACCAATCTTTGAAACAATGGACAGTGAAGTCTGATTTCACATCAGTCTCGCACCTTTGCACCACTTGTTGTGGAGGTTTTTTCACCTTCTTCCCTTTTCCTTGCTTCTTGAACTTCTTTATCTTGGCCCACAAGTTTTCTTGCTTTTGTTTTTCCTGTTCCCAGTCCCACTGTGGGGGTTAAACCCACCACAAATATGTTTCCATGCAGCTGTGGTTCTGAATAATGTACACATATTTCTTACCTCTGAAGTGTTTCAAGATGTGGTGTTTCTCTTCCCTCTTTTATTTGGAAACTTTTTCTAGATTCTTTATTTAAAATAGAGTTGGCCATAAAGACAGTGTAGGGAAATATATTTCTGTTCAACAAAACAACTGGAATATATAGGACCAAAAAGGTGAAATTTGGCAGAAATAATATCCCTATGCAGTCCAACAGTAGAATCATTTAGAGTTTTTCAGTAAAAATCAGTGTTGAGTTTTCAGGAGATTTAGGTGCATATATTTTTTAATTTCTGTATCAAAACATATACATACAGTTTATGTTTTTAATCATGTTTCTCAGTAATAACACTGAATCACGCAATTGGGCTCTATCATAGTGAACATGCTACTATTCCCAGGTCCATTTTTCCTAATTTGTAATTCGTATTTCCTGTTACAATGGAAACAACAGTGTCGTAATTAATGCTGTTCATTGCCGCATGTTGTTCATTGGTCTTCTTAATCACTTCAGGTGGTGGGATTTTCAAACCTGGCTTTAATGGATTCTTCTTCCAGTCTTGCAAGAAGCAGTGAGAGTTACATAGCTCCTTGGAGCCGCATTTTAAGATTTGGTGTGTCTGCTGCGGTCTGGTTAGCCATTGCTGGCTTACAGGTATGGGAAACACATACATACTGAATTGTCATTTCCAGGCTGGTTCTTGGAAGCTAGAATATATCACTAGGCCATCCATACTAAGTGTCACAGTACTGGGTATATTCTTAACTGGTTTGCTTGGTTTAGACTTTTAGCTGCTTTAGCATGGTACACCCCTAGAACTCAAAATGCATCTTGTGAGCCATGAGACATCATAGTTTGTAGCCAGAATTTTAATCCTCTCAATTATGTGAATTTATGCTATTACTATGGCTTGTTTTAAACAACTTTGGAGCATCCTGTCCATGGCAGGGGGGCTGGAACTAGATGATCTTAAGGTCCTTTCCAACCCTAACTATTCTATGATGCTATGATCTCCAAGTTCAGAATGGAAAGCAGGTTATTACTACAACTTTACTTCTTAGAGGAAAGATGTCAATCCCATTTCATAGACTCTGTTTGCAATAGTGGCCATTATGGAAGTCTGTAATGTGTGGGTGTTAAACTGTGCAGTTAGCTGCTTAATAAAGTCAGATCTGATGAACTAACAGAACAAAAATTGGTTGATTTTATTTCAGATTATATTTTTTTCTGTGTGTTATGAAAGATTTATTGAAGACAAGATAAGCCAGTTTGTTGATTTGTGTTGCGTGAGCAATGTAAGTATCTCTGTCTCATTTGTACAGTGGCATTTTTAATAGAATAATACATAAGATAGTTTTAAGAATATTCAATAATATTTATTAATTTAATTTGAGATTGCAAGCTAACAGCCAAAGTAAGTGTTTCTTTCAGCTAACTTTATTGGTGCAATCTACAAGAAAATTTCAGTTTAACTTTAAATGGAAAAGGATTTGGGAACTATAGGTATCAGCATGTTCTTCTAGGTGTGTGATTTTTAAGTTGTTTATGAATTTAAGTTGGTTACATTTGCACATACAGAATTTAAAAGTAACAAATCATGACAGAATTTGCTGCCCTTCTGTCCACTGGTTTGCATTTTAGTACTTTTGTCTTATAGCCACAGCTGTCTTGGTATTAGTTTATACCAGTTTCTGCTCCTATCTTGTGGTTGTCCCTCAAATAGCTGAACCTCATGATTGTCCCTTTTGGACGGTTACCAGCTTTTTCATGCATTTTCACTTGAACACATCTAAACTGCTTTGCTTTCTCTAGTTTTAATATGGGTCTTGAAGCTTTGCACTGCAGGAATTCCTTTTTAACCAAAGAAGAGTGCAGTCGGAACAGGTTGGATTGTCTCATTTGTACAGAACTTTTTAAAATACAGAGATTAACCCCTTTTATCAGCCTTTCCAGCCTTGGTGATTCCTCTTCTACCCATATAGTGCATGGGTTGTCAAGAGATTCGGGGGTTTATGTGATACATATAAACATTCTGTCATACTGAATGAAATTCTATTAAATACAGTCTCCTAGAAACTCAACTGGAATCATGCATGTATATTATGTATCACAGACATAATTTTTGAATCAAAATAAAAGTTAGTAACTTTGTTTTAATTTTTTTGGCTCTGGAATTAAGTAGTGATCCTTGTTGATAAACTAAACTTGAAGCTGGTGTGTGTTTCTAGTTAAACATAGATAAAACTTATCAGTAGAAGAGTTACTAAATCTTTTTCTCCCATATTTATTTTGGTACCTGCCTACTTGGTATATGTAGAAGGTCTGGCTGGTCTCCACTGGGAATTCAAGCATTAATAATAAAGTTATAATTTTTAATTAAACTATACTTCTTTTCCCCCATCTCTTTTAGATTTCAGTGTTTCTCTTGTCACACAGCTGCTTTGGTTATTATATCCATGGTCGCTCTGTGCATGGACATGCAGATACCAATATGGAAGAAATGAATAGGAACCTAAAGAGAGAAGCAGTAAGTAAAAGTACTAAAGTTTACACCTGCTCTAGTTATTTATTTTATAAAAATCCCCTACATCTTTGCATTATGGATCTGCACGTGTGCATTGCATTGCACCAAGCTATGATACTTAAAAGATACCACCTATTGGTATGTGTATATAATTCTTTTAACTAGCTCTTTACTATTTCTTCTTCTGATACTTCTTCATATTCCATAGATAGATAATTTCTGTTTATCTAAAAAGCCTTTTTATGTATTTAAGAACCTTCTTTTTTGATATTGAAGCTTTTCATAAGCGCATGGCTTTCCTAATAGAGAAACATTTATTTTTGCAATAAATTCTTTTTTTTCATCTCTTCTCCTGTGGTGGTATAACTTATTCTTTACTAAAATTAATTTCAGAAGTATTTTTTTCTAGCTTTTCATATGTTGTACCTTTACTGTGAGGTCGGGCAAATGTGAAATGTCTCATAGAAGATTGGTGCAATTTGCATTAAATTCCATGACATCTTGCAGCTTTGTAGGGACAAGCTAGACAAAGTATACTGCTATTTCAATGATAAACCATCAGAAAAAAAAACAAACTATAATCATGTGAAAATTAAACCTCAAACATTGAAATATATAGGAATCTCTTTATTAATATAATTTGTATAGGTGTTTTCATGTATTTTTTTTCCTAATTGCTTAGTTCAATATGATTTTTGAAAAGCAGGTTTTTCCCTATGGAGGTACCTAATTTTCTGTTTTCTTGGGGGGGGGGGGGGGTAAATTTATTCAATGTGGCTTGAAAAACATATGGAAAAAGTCAGGATCCAAAGCACAAAAAAATCAGGACAAATATAGAATAAATGATAAATATAAAAGAAAGGGCTTCAGAGTGGATGACAAAAGATGTATTAGAAGGTAATGAACTGAACATAGGTTAAAAGAGGAATATAACTTTGTGACAGCAGGGGTCAGGATTTCATGTCCTATGAAAATCTGGCTATAATCGAACCAAGAGTGCAGTCAATTCAAATATTTAGTATTATGTGTACATGAAAGAGAGGAAATGAAAAGCTTTTGATTTTGGGAGGTCTATGAATGAAACAAATAATGTTTTAATAATTTACAGTTGCTTTAATTGTATAGGAAAATCTGTGTAGTCAGAGAGGTCTGTTACCAAACACAGATGGCCAGACATTTCAGATGTCCATTTCAAGAAAAGTGCGACTGCACTATGACAGGATTCATGAAACCCTGACAAGAGTAAGTGAGATACTTGTATTTTGTTAATGTTATTTGAAATATGTAATTTTTCCACTGAAGTCATGGCCATGTTATATTTCAGAGACGTGGTCCTGCTAGGCTTTTGGACTCATCTGCAAATACTTTTGAACAAAGCACAAGGGCATACAACACCATGAACAAATTTCTCAGTTCTTTTATTAATCACGTATGTATTTTGACATTACTGTATTAAGGAAAAAGACTAAGTATTGTAAATCAGACTGTAATTTCTGTTAAAGCATATGTGCTTAAAGATTTGTTGTTAAAGACTGGAACAGTGCTTCATTCAAGAAAAATAACTGGTGTACTGTCTGAGAGTACAACCTGTTCTTAAAAATTACAAATCCTTTTTTGTTATATACTTATTTTTGTATTTGAATAGACCAGTGCTTTTCTTCATTCACAAAATGAAGCTATACTTCACTTTGTAACAAGTACTTTTTCTTTGAAGTCATAAAACAACAAGTATTGTTTTTCCTTTTCTTATAGGCTCATAAAGAAATGGATTATATTGTCAAAGATAAGTTGCTGTTTGAACGGATTCTTGGCATGGAGTTCATGGAACCCATAGAGAAAAGTCTTTTTTACAGTGGTAAAAACATTTGCAACTCGGTATTTGTACTGTTATAAGTATGTCGGTTTCTGTGTCGCATTTTTTCCGAGAATTTACAATCTAAACCGGACTTTAGGGAAGGAGGGGTCATTAAATGATCGCTTGTGAGGGAGGGACTGAAGAGAAGTTCTCCAGGTTACAGAAACCCTATTTATATTTTGTCACTCAATTGCAATGATTTTTCTCTTAGGCAACTGAAAAGATGCTCTGTAGAGATGGGCATGTGTTTATGAAGTGCTCCTTTTGACTTGCTGTCTGGATCCAATATGCACCTTGGAAATGGCAAGAAGACCCACAATATTTAAATAGCTTCATGCTATTTTTTAATATATAGTACCAAATTTCTTACGAAACAACTAAAAGTACAGAAAGACAATTTCTTTATAGAGGATATTGATCACAGTGAGGACGTTTTAGTGGAATACTTGATGTTAATACACCACACATCTTTGCAGACTCCACTAAGTAATTTGGGTTCTTTAATATTTTATTTTGATGCTTTTTAAGTATTGCTAATGCTTACAGCAAAAAATTAGTATTCCAGCAGAAATAGGGGTGACACCAGTTCTGATTCTGCTCCCTGGAGTTATGCAAGGTCAGTTAGACTTGGGTTCTCCAGTGCAACATCCTGAATCCTAGCCCTATGCTAAACTTAGCCGTAAGGGTTTTCCAGGTGAGCGGTACATGTGTTAAAAATAGATTTAGTGAAAGTTCTTGACCATATCTCAACCTTCAACCTAGGTTCCTAAATCAGAACCTCTGGAAGATTGATGCTGTGGAACATCCAAGGCTCTAAAAACCTTAACCTATTAATAATTACTGCCAGGTGACCAATACCTGCATCACTGGTATCCTCATCCAGTGTTAGGTCCCCCACTTCCCCAACTTCATCCAGGTTCTGAAACCCAGAATCGTGTTTTCCTCCTACTAACAGATGTGGTCTGTATCTGGACTGGTATCCACACTACAGTGAAATATGAGCTATAAACTTAGGCCTGATACCAGTCAGCTTCTTCAGTTCCTGAGCTGTACAGAATCCATCAGAAATCTGTGAAAACCTCAGTTCAGACCCTGATTCTACCCCTAACCATAAACATGGCTATCACCTGCATGAAAACTAAACATTAGCTAGTGATCTAAGATGATGCAAGCCCTCATTTTGAGACCCTCAAGTACTTGGTTCTCCTGCCTCATTGTTACTTAGAATTTATAAATTCTAAACCTTATCAGTAGTGTAATCCAATCCATAGCTATTACCAGATAACTATTACACATCCTAAATATGTCATTATTCTTATATAACAGCAACTGCAGATTATATCACTGAGCTGTGCAGAGCTTTTCCTGCTTTATGACACTGGGGCTGCAAAAGCTGAAGCCTAATTTGAATTTCAAACCTTGCTGTGTAACCAGTAATGCAGCACATGCTTTCAACAAGCCATGGTTGTAGTCTGGTATTTTTGGTCAGTTTAGATGTCTGAGCTACACCTAATTCACTAAAGGCTTGGGCTCTCCTCCCCTGTCATGGTGAAGCACTGTCTTTAGTAATAAATGTTCCCAGATAGCCAGTATCTGCCTTATAACTAGGACTTGCTTCAGCCTCAGTCTGTGATTCCACATCTTGCAAAATCATAGAATAGTTTGAGTTGGAAGGGACCTCTAAGGTCATAGAGTAGAGGCCCCTGCAGTGAGCAGGGACATCTTCAACTAGATCAGGTTGCTCAGAGCCTTGGACCTTGAGTGTTTCTAGAGATGGGGCATCTCTACCACCTCTCTGGGCAAACTGTGCCAGGATTTCACCACCCTCATTGTAAAAAAAAAAAAAAAATTCCTTATTATCTAGTCTGAATCTTCCCTCTTTCAGTTTAAAACCCACTTCCCTTGTCCTATCACTTACAGGCCCTCTTAAAATCTGTACCCAGCTTTTGTATAAGCTTTCTTTAGGTACTGGAAGGCTGCTCTAAGGTCTCTCTGGAGCCTTCTCTTTTCTAGGCTGAACAAGCCCAACTTTCTCAGCCTTTCCTCACAGGAGAGGTGCTCCATCCCTCTGGTCATTTTTGTGGCCCTCTTCTGGACCTGCTCCAACAGCTCTGTACCTTCCCTGTGCTGAGGGCCCCTGAGCTACATGCAGTTACTCCAGATGGGGTCTCACCAGGGCAGAGGGGCAGGATCACATCCTTTGACCTGCTGGTCACACTTCTTTGGATGCAGCTCAGGATATGATTGGCTTTATCAGTGATTCCAAAACCCTATTCTAAACCCCAGGTCTACTTAGCCATAAATATTGTCAAGTATGCAATGGCTGAGTTAGAATTAAGTGTATAAGCATGATGTGATATCTTCAAATTGTGCATTAGTCAACAAAGCTTTGGTCTTTTGACTGCCATTGTTTCAAAATTCATAATCCTAAGCATTGATATAAATGTATTCTTTGATAGTTTAGACTGCCACGGTTCCCAGTGTTTTAAATACAAATCAGGATTTCATGGCAGTACTTACACAATTTGTAATAAAAACATGCTGTTTCCAATAAAACTTGCCACAGACATTTTTCTGAAAAAGGGAAGAAAGTGTTGCTTTCTCTATCGAAAGTGGTGCTTTTTGATAGAGGAGTGGGTAAGTGGTCTAGACTACTTCTGCTATGAAAAAGGTATTTTAAGCTTAAAAGACCCATTTTTTTGTGAAACTGCTTATCAGTGAACAAAGATAATGTCAAGCTTTCCTGTCTTCTTATCAGCTTTCTCAGTGTGCACTGCTGAACTCCACGAACTTGCACTTCACAGAAATAATGTTTTTGACAAGTATTTTCTTTCTGTAGATGAAGGACAGTCCTTCAGTGATGTTCTCTATTACGGCAATGAGACAACGCTGCTCATCTTTGATATCCTGTTTTTCTCTGTTGTGGATCTGGCTTCCCAGAGTTTTGTCTTAGCAGCTATTCTAACCTATTTGCAACAAGAGGTAAATTTCAATTGAAGAACACAGTCATATTTTAAAAGCCTGGGTTAGTGTGGCAGTATAAGCAGTTAACTACATAATTAAAGCAGTAAGTCAGCAATATGTGGTGACAGAGGACTATACTGAGAGCTTATAAAATAGGGGTTTGATGTGATTTTTTTGTCAGAAAGGCTTGTGAGAAATTATTTTTATTCACATGCCTGTCAGGAATAAAGAGGCTACAAATAACCTTCAATAGAAAACACGAATATCTGTTGGGATTAATCACACATAATTATATCATATTTCAGGGTGGAGATACAGAAATATTTCGAAAGCACTGAAGGGAGTTAAGCACCTATTTCATTCACGTTATTTACAATTTAAAGATAATACGAAGTTACTACTTTATGTTAGTTACTGAAACATTCTGTTCTAAGCATTTCTTCATTAATACATTTTTTTCTAAAATATTCTTAGATATTCAGGTTTATTCGTAGTACACTTGGGCAGAAGAATTTGGCATCCAAAACCCTGGTGGATGAAAGATTTCTCATCTAATTAAGAAGATGAAAAACTTTGTTGAGGAGTTCATGGTGGATGTTATGTCCATGACCAAAGTATCTCTGACTGCAGATTAATTCTAGTGCACTTTTCAATAATAATAGCGTGATGTTTTTGAAAAGGGTAATTTTTTATATTGTGTGCTATTAAACTTTATTTTTGTGTATTTACAAATATTTTTTGAATTTATGAACGCTAAGCCATAGGCTATTAAAAGGAAAGGCACATGAAAATAAGAAGTAAACTTAAGTGTTGTTATTAGTAAAATAAGGTAAATATTTTCTGATGGTTTTTGGTAAGATAGAGACTGCACACTTTTTTTTTTTTTCTGACAATCCCTTACATCTTTTTTATTATGTTTAATTTATTTTGAGGTACAATGTATATCAAACACACAGTTTTACACAGCACAGGATTTGTTCTCAAGTAGGCTACTATTTCAGGAGGACTTTTTAAAGATCTCTTATTTATAGTGACTCCAACTTGAAATTTGAGCTGTTCTTTACTGTGTGATAGTATTGTGTGCTTTTGTCTCTTCTTGGAGTTTTTTCTTGGGTGTGGACTAGATATGACAAAGTTTCCTTGTGTTTGAGATTCAGTAGTGTTACGGTGATGCAGAAAAACAGGTTAGTTATGATAGAGCAGCGGAGATGCTTATAGGTGCTGGAGGTTTGTTCCTGATCTTCTGTCATCTGATGTGAAATGCATGGGGAAGTAACAGTAATGCTTTTGTGCTGTTTCCACACAAGTGAAGCAGAAGCAATCGTTCTTATCCTTCTAGAAGTGTTTTCACAGGTGCCTATCTATGCTCATGTACCTCTCTCTCTCATCTCTCTGAACTTTCTGGCTTTATTATTTTTAGGTATAACCCAGAGACCATAATCATTTTACCATTATTATGTTTTTGGAATTTAAACGAGTTAATAATTATTCAAGTGCCACTTATTAAGTATTAAGGGAGATTATGAATGGCCTTCAAAACACCTTAAAGTGAGGTGTCTACCTCCCATATGTACCTCTGAAAAGTCTCCCTACCTTTTTTGAAGTATGTTTTTCAGTAAATGGTTAAACCTGAATAGTGTTTGCTGTTTTTATACCTGTTACTGTCCTTAGATGATTCCACAAGGGACTTTCACCAGCAAAAACACCATAAAAATGTAAGCCAAGGTTAGTGTGTTTATTCCAAAACAGAGACGGAGGACATGATTAGCTGGAACTAGGAGATTTCCAATGCCAATGTGCTCATCTGAGTTGAAGCAGCATTGTTCCAGGTGTTGCTTGGCTTTATAAAAAGGAACTTGTTCTCATTTTGATACTACATCATACTATCATGATCTTAAACCTACTGGAACATGGACATAAACCTCAGGGTCACTATTGGCTGTAATATATTTGCTTTTAGTGTTGGCAAAGGATGTGTAACTTGCTAGTTCAATATAGTTGCTATTAACTGATAGAACGTGTCTGTCAGTAAGTCTGTAGTAAGAGAGATGACTGAAGAGTTGATTTGTAGCAGGACATCCATTTATCAATATGCAGTTTAGCACAGACATTTCCATGTCCTGCTTTCCTTTCTTCTGTCTGTTTATGTGCACAATGCTTAGTTTGTTGGTGCACACTATGCTGCAAAAAAAAAGGTGCAAATACAGAACTTCCAACAGTGAAGTGTACACTCTAAATAAAATTATTGTTGTTGCCTTTATAGTGAATGTAGAGATGGAAGTGTCCATTAGGTGCTGCATCCATTAAAGTAGCCAAAAAATTGTATTTCTACTGAGTATCATGATTGTATGGTTTATTAGTTGTGAGGTTTCTGTCATACTTCCCGTCAGTGATCTACTGAGTGCCAAAACTGTAAACTAAGCCAAGGAGCCATCTGAAGAAGGGTCTGCAGCAGGACATTAGCAAGGCAGTAGTTAAGCTGACATGATGCCCATGTATTTCTTTGGTCCATAGCTTAGCATAGCTTAGCTAAACTTAATATCCCAGTTCTTACAAGTCCTACTGAAATGTCAGTGTACAAGAGGAAATATACTCTTATGTGACCAGATTTATTCAAGGTGACTGATGTGACTAAAGGGGCGTAGAAAGTTGCTGTGGTCCATAAGTGATCAAGTACAACCCTAATGAATTATCCTAATAGAGATCTTTCCTTATTGTCACTTTCCAGCAATAGTACTGTATGTCACTGGCAATGGTAACAGCCTCAGGCTTTTTGTCTGTGTGAATTCTGATGATGTGTTCATGGTCATGAAGGTATTCTAGCGAACAGAGCCACACTTCAAATGTACCAGAATGGTCTGACCTAGGACCAACTTCAGCCAGAATAGCTAAAACATAGTAGCCAGACCAGGGTAAATCAGGGAATGCCTGCAAGCAAGTGCCATCTGTAGACACAGACTTGTAGTTTTAATTAGCCCAGTACCAGCAGAAGTGGGGACATTTCAGCTCTCCCTCTGTACCCTGTTGTCAATGCTTTTGCTTAACCAGCGACACCCTTCTGTGCAAAAGTCATGCTTTGAGTTTGCTTTAGATAGGCCTTTAATTATGTGCTGCTCAGAAGGGCATGTGAAAGCTTTGATGACCTTCCACTTTGCAAGAACTACTGCTACAGGCAACTCTTGTTAAAGATAAATGATAAATTAATCTGAAAACGTCAAAACAGTTCAGTTGCTTAGTGCCCTTTTCTCCTCAGTGTGCACACTACTCTGTTGTGTTTTATTTTTCCAGGTCATTTACCTAAGCTGTTAAATCAGCTAACATAGGCACTTTACATGATTTAGGAAATAATTACAGGAGTCAAAAGCTCCAGGCGTTCATAGCGTTCATAGATGCGTTTCTTCATCCTTGCTGTCCAGTGAACACTTGAAATGCGTTGACTGTGCTTTGTTCTCCTGTTGCTTCGTGTTTGTTCAAGGAATGTCTCTTGTGATTTTATTTCCAACTTAATGTTTTTCCTTTTTTTAAAATTAACATGCAGCTACACTGTGCTGTTGATGTAATGAGTGTCTTCCAAGTTTCTAAATGTTTTATTTAATCACATGGCATCTCAAACCCTCACATCTCTCCCTCTGAGCAATAAAATATTTTCAAGGATTGGAGTTGTTTTGCATTTGTAAAATCCGTTGACCCAAGCCCATAACATGCTCTTCCTCCCATGAGCATGGGGGTTTCAGAGCAGAGCAGGAGGCTGCTACTGGCTCTGCAGTGCAGAGAAGCTCTGTCAGGACACGTGTAAAAAGAGGACTGTCCAGTCAGTGAGGCAACAGAGGGTATGTTTCTGAATAGCCACAACTGATGGAATGAGATGGTTCCTTTTTGACAAGCATTTTAGGAGTTAGACACCAAAACAGTTAATCCCACAAATAATTATAACTTGTACAGAAATTTCAGTACTATGTTTAAAATTCACAGGTTTCATTGACTAGTGAGGACTTGGTTGATTCGTATTTCACTACAGCATTCATTTAGTGGCGAGTGTGTGATTGAGGTAAATGGTACCAGAGGTGAGAAGGGCAACTGGCATGACAGTCAGCATTCCTCCCTGCCCATCAACTTGCTGCAGCTTGGGCAGTGCAGCAATGCCAGCCACGCCAGGCTCAGGGGGTTGGCTGGCTGTGTTCAGCCTGAAGGGGGTGTATGGGCAGTTGGTGACTAGGGGAGGGTGACACTATGATAACACTCCTAAAATATCGTCTCTAAGATGAACTCTTCCATCTTACCTTGGTAGTGCTTCAGTAAGCCTTGATGGTCTGGAGCCCTGACCACCTGTATCCCTCTCTGATCCAGACTGCTTTGCCTACATACTGGTGCTCTACAAGCCCTGTCACTTACTTTGTTTTCCCAAGTGACCTCCATCACAGCAGGAATAACTGTAAGTCTGGCAGCTGGGGAGAGGTGAGAGATTAATTCGGAAACACTGGATGCTCAAAGCTCACCTGTGGAACAGCTCTGCAAGATCAGGAGCAGCACCAGGTTAGCTGACACTGAGAATTCTCTTTCAGTGTTCAGAACTGTTCTCTTTTCAATCTGTGACAGCTAAGCCCACACCAGGCAGTCTCCTCACAACCTGTGGTGGTCATGGTATCAAAAGCAGAGGCTACATCTAAGCAGGGAGAAGGAAACATACTTGTCATAGCTCTAAAGCAGTTACTAGAAAAGCCTAGAACAAGAGACAGATCTAGATGGTTTCTTTCTGTGGTTGGGTTGGGAGGAGGTTTTGCGTAAGTGCTATTACAGCACTTACTGAATTCCCATTTTACAGCTCTGTGTGGCAAGAAGTCTCACACAGCATGGAAAAAACTGGCATGAAAAAAACAACCTCTAACCCTGTTGTTGTCTCCGTGACCTTCCCACCCTGGTTTACAACTGCAGGAAAATAATCCCCTTCGAATCATGGCACGAAATAGGTCTCCAGTTCTGCCTGCAAATGCTGGCTGGAGATATTTGCTTTGGGCTTTGCCTGATCCCTGGGACATGAAGAGTTGCACTGACCTCCCTCCTGAGCAAACAGCTCAGAATCTCCAGGAGCCTGATGCCCCTTCCCACCCGTATCCCACTGCAGCCAGCGAGCTGGGATGAATGGATGTTGCTCTTTCATGTGCAGTGGTTTCCCCTGAATCCTCTCCAGCACCATGGAGCTGCGGGGGCATGGTGGGGGGCAGCACCTCCTTCCATAGCCCGAGGGGAGGATGGATCCGGGCACTGGCTGTGAGGCACATCCCCAGCTGCCACCCCTCCTACACCAGCCCTTCCCCTAACCTCTTCACTTCCAGGTTCACCTGGGCCCACAGAGAGCTGAACCCCAGGAATCTTGGCAAGGGGATGCAGAAGTTATGCTGATATCTGTTTAATAACAGCTTTGCTGGAAGCTCAGTATTTATGGCATTGCCTTGAAAATAGGAGCAGAGACGATGCCGGGAGAGTTACCTCACAGGTGTTTGTTTCTCCTAAAAGTGTATGGTCACAGTCTGAGACACAGTGTGCTTTTTTGTGGGAAGGAAAGGCTGCATTTCCCACTCTCAATATTCCCTACCCTTCTGGATGCTCGTCAGGGCACACAGACAGTGTTTTGTGCCCAGCTTGTTGTGCAGAGCTCGGTTGTATCATGGGGCACCCGAGCTTAGTGCAGAAATTGCTGAGACTCTGGGTTCTGCCTGCATCATCCCAAACCCGCAGGGACAGTGAGGCATTCCTCCCCATGGGGACGAGACAAAGCCTGTCAAATTCCTCTGTGTAGACATGATCACAGTTCCAAAACAAAAAATAGAGTATGTCTGCTCGGTTTGCACAGGCAGCTGGCACCCTCATTCCTGGCTAACACTGATCTTGCTGAATGTTATCCCTCTTAGATGACATCCTGCATTTGCATTTGCAGAGAGCCCAGCAGTATGCTGTTTGGAAGGCAAAACAGTAAATTCATTTGGAGGCTGGAGATGCTGTGATGAGTCTCAGGGATCTGGGAGCATGGTAATGGGAAAGAGATGGATCTGAGACCTGTGGATCAGAACCATCTGGCCTGGCAACAGAAGGAGCAGGGTCCTGCAGTGATGCTGTCTGTTTTGGAGCTGCAGATATGCAGCTGTGACACACACACACACCCCACCCAGGTTACATAGGTTGCCGTAAGGGAGGGTCGGCTGCTATCAGTGGGAAAGCTTTGCTTCCTCACCTGAACAATGCAAGCAAACAGCAATTTCCTCAACCTCTGCTGCTGTTTAGAGCCAGTCCTGCTCTCCAGTGGCGTATTCCTGACAGCATTAATAAATGCAGAGTGATGGCTCAGTGACACGCTTCTTGGAAATAACAATATTCATTGCCCACTCTCACCAGATGTCAAGCCAGAAGAGCATATGAGGTAATGGAGCCTCTTCTGATGGTGCCACTGGGTGCTCCCAGCTCCACTGACCCAGCCCTGGATTCCCCACCATTGTCATCAGGGGCAATGCTGCAGCCTCAGCAACCATTACCAGGGAAGGGCTGGGATGCTTAAGGATGCAGTTAAGCAGCAGACACATTTAAATGTATCTAGATGGAGGAGCAGAAAGGAGTTGATTCCCTCTGGGGAATAGCTTTTGTTTCCTGAGGCTTTTAGCTTCCTCACCTTCCCTTTTTTTCCAGCAGTGCTCAGTTGCAGCTGCTTTAACTGAGAGAGCTTGAAATGAGTGCAGAGAATTTGGGAAGGTTTAACCGCCCCCCCCAAGTCATTGTGGTAACACTGGTAGCTACAAAAGCTGTACTGGAAACAGCAGTGTGTAATTAGAGGAGGTGGATGTTTCCACCTCCTGTGCCCGTGTACATGCTGGAGTGCAAAACCCCAGCTGTTTTTCACACCCCTTGCTGGTCTCTCAGCTCAAGGATGGTATAATAGAGTCTGCAAGGAGAGCAAGCCAGCACTGCGGGTGTGTGTGCTCAGTGACAAACACCCCTAGAGACCAGCCCACCGCTGGGAACCAGCCCTGGCCCCTCACATTGTCTGTGCTACGGCTGCGCTGAGATGGATTCAAACGGGCAAGCAGCTCAGAGGGCTGTCAGTAGGCAAGGAGTCCTGGCAGGGTTTGCTGCCCTGCAGGGCCAGGATGATGCCGGTGGCACCAGCTGAGAGGAGGAGCAAGTGAAGGAGCCAGGTCTGGGAAGAGGTTCCCAGGGCAGGGGGCCGAGCCTGGCCCCAGTGCACCAGAGCAAGCCTCAATGTCAGCTCAGGTCCACCAGCTCCTCTGGATGTTGTTTTGCATCGTGCAGGGAATACAAAGCAGTCCCAGCGTGCTCCTTCCCCGAAGCCCCTTTGTCATTAGAGGAGCACGCAGTAAATGTGTGCTGATTGTTTGGTACCACCGCGATCCCTGGCTGTCTGCAACCGGCCTGCCTGATGTGCACTGAGCTGGGACGAGAGTGGGGGACCCCAAGCCCATGCAGCAGAGGCACCCACCCTGTGCTGACACCTTCTCACGCAGTTTTGTATTCAGATCTGATCCAAGTATTACCAGAGAGGTTCCCTTGTCCCAGCAAATACAGCATGTCTTGAGAAAGGTGCCTACAGCCCTGGATTTGCCATCTGCAAGCTGTGACAAAGGCTCAGGACACCCACAGTACATACGTGACTGCAGCCTGCAGGTGTGGTGTCTGGAGCCTAGACACGCTGATACTCCTGTTTGATCCCTGGGCTCCCTCCTGGGTGTGTGGCCACGTTTGGCTGCCTGTGGGTGCCCAGCCAAGGCAGCCTGATATGCTTCCATAGAATGGCTTTGGTTGGAGGGGACCTTCAAAGATTGTCTAGCTCCAAACACAGGCACGCACACCTTCACTAGACCAGGTTGCTCCAAGCCCCGTCCAGCCTGGCCTTGAGCACTGCCAGGGATGGGGCAGCCACAGCTTCTCTGGGCACCCTGTGCCAGTGTCTTACTCTCTGACTCGTTACTCTGCAACTGGTTTTACTCCTGCATGAGAAAAAAAAAACGATTTTGTGAGCAAGTAGCTCCTCCCAGGCCCCTCTCTGATGAACACCAGTTTATGCTAGAGAGCATCTGCTTCAAGAGCCATCGAGGCTGCATTTGTCACTCGGGGTGAAACCAGCAGAAATTGAATGCACAAAGTGAAAAGCCTCCCATGATGTGGTAAACAGCAAGAGAAAGGCTGTGCACGTGCTGGGTTGAGGGGAAGGCGGTGTGTCTGCGGTTCCTTTTGATAAACAGCAAAACCATCTGGAGCTCCTGCTAAGAAACAGGGAAACTCATCTGCCTCTCCATGGGACATCTTAACAGGCCAAAAAGCACTCTGGAGCAGTTTCAGGAAACATGTATTTACTGAGAGAAGATGCCATTTTAATTTAAGAACAGAAGCCAGCAGAGGGTATGTGCATCTTGAGACAAGGAGGCACAAAAATACAAAATGTAATCAGTTCTAAGTAATGTTAAGTTTGATGGCTTTGTAATGGAAAATAACTGCGGTGCTTGAAGGTAGTTGACATAGTTTCAGGCCCTCAGGACCTCAGTACAAAAGGTGTGAGAAAAGCAGAATAGGAGGACAGGACCTGGGGATGGGGAGTATCTGGGATTAGCAGATGTCCAGGGTGGGCACAGATAAACTAACTGACGAGTAAAAG